ATTACAAAGCACTTTTCTTAAGAGTGGAGAAAGAATGGAAATAGGCTAAGGAAGAGTAAAGGTATGAAGCAGAGTTAAGGAGATAAGCAGAGGAAATCCAACATAAGGTAGAAGAAGAAAGGGACTAGGGAAGGGAATAGATATAATTAATAACTTTTAGTAAATTTATTTAATATTACCATAACCTGTTTTTATGGTTTTTAAGAGCTAAAGATTTAATATATTCTACTATAAGAAAGATACCTACACCCACTAAGAAATATTACCTGTTATGACTCTGCCCATAGACTAATTATAAATCTAGGCAGTAAGAAATCTACTACTCTGTTTATAATTATTTAGAGCTACTAGAGCAGGATACTAAGTAGCTATTTCTTTTATATATTATGCTAGAGGGTTTTAGGAAAGAACTTAAAAGGCCTATAAGTAGTGAATAAGATTTAGAGAGCTATAAATAATTTAGTATAGAAAATTATATTTATAATATTATTATAGTACTCTATAAGAACCCTACTATTTAAGATAAGTTCTACTTAAGTAATAGAGTTAGTTTTAATAATTATATAAATACCCTTAATCCTCCTTAAGTTAACCTATTATAACTAAGAGAATTATTAACCTTATAGTATTCTAGACTAGATTAGTTTTATATATATTATAGTACTTTAAAAACTATCCTTATAATAATTAAGTATAAATTACCCTATAAGCTAAGTATTAAAAATATTTACTCTAGATTATAACTAATAAAATTCTAGAAAGAGGTAGTAGTACCTAATTCTATCCCTATATAAGAATCTAAGAAACTAAGATATAATATAGCCTAGCTTATAGGCTTAGTGCTTATCTAAGAGTTCTATATAATAATCTAGGAAGGGCTTAAATATTCCTACTTAATAAATAAATTAGTAGTAGTTCTACTATAAGTCTCTTATAATAATCTAACTACTTTATACTACCACCTCTATAAACCTAATATAGAAGTAAACCCTAAGAATAATTAGAGCTTTTAGCAGCTAGTAATAAGTATTATCTATATATTATACCTCTGTCTTATAAGCTTTAGTTTAAGATTATATAATTAGAATTAGTAAAATAATATATAGAAATAGCTTCTAGAATAGAAGATAAGTTTTAATTATAAATATTCTAGAATCCTAGATATAAAACTATAGCAGATCCCTCTAGATATATAAAATACTCTATTAGTATATATAAGCTCTAAGGATTTAGTTTTAGTATTTTTACTATTATCTCCTTCTAAGTCCCCTATAGAGGGATATTAATTACTAACTTTTAAACCTAGTATATACCCTTAGATCTAGTCCTTTATAATAATCCTTCTAATTCTAATAAGGATCTAGTACTTAGGGGGTAGAAGTATTACCTTAGTTAAGTTATCTTATTTTTATTATCCCTATCTATATAGTGATTAGCACACTAGATAGGCTCTAGATATATTCTAAGTAAGTAAAGCTAATATTATATAGCATAATTTTATACTTAGTAGTATCTACTTAGCCTATAATAGGGGGGCTTTTTAGATGATTACTACCTAAATATAATACTCTACTAGAAGAGGGAAAATACTAGTTAGTACCTTATTAATACTAAGATATTAGTTTAATAGATAAAATAGCAGCTAGATAAGAATATTAACTCCTATACACCTATAGGAGGCTATAGAGTATCTAGGGTACTATTTAAAATCATCTATATAGTATATAGCTATACTATTATTAGGAAAGAAACTACTTCTTACCTCTGGAATAAGGTGTTATATAAGGTAGACATCTATTATATCCTTTTATAAGTATAGGGTTTAGTAGTTCTAGTATTTCTTAGAGTAATTAACTTAGTTAAGATTTACTTCTTATATAAAGCTAGAGAGATTTAATATATACTGCTTATAGTATAGGTAGGAAAGCTAATTAATAAAACTAAAGTAATAAGCCCTAATATCTCTAGTTCTATCTTAAAATCTATTAATAGGATTTATATATTAGGAGTATCATATTAGGACCTTTAGCTAGATAATTTTCTATAGAATGATAAGCTATGCTAGATTCCTATTATTAACTTTTATTATTTAGTGTTAGACCCTTAACTAAGAAATAAGCAGATGAGGCTACCTAGGAAGATCTTATATAAAGCAGATACTCATAAGCAAAAGTAACTTTGTCTATTCTGATAGGTAAAGGCATTAGCATCATATATAGTCATCGAAGCAAATTTTTTGATTTTAAGGGCCACAAAGGCGTTGGAATCGCTTTCAAAAATGCTTCCAAGTTAAACTGTGCTTTTAGTTTTGCTGATTCGGCGCTAATCTGGTAGGGTTAGTACCACTCACCAATCAGTCTTGTTATCCGAAAAGCGAATTATTCTTAAAAACACTAATAGGCAAAAAGGCAGTCCTGGGCTTGTAGGTAGGGTCCTTGAAAAGTTGCAAAGAAAATCCAGTTTGGAAATTTCAGAATTTTCTAATGTTTTTTTTTTTCTATTCTATATTTCTCTACTAGTTGAACCTCCTTAATCTAGGAGTAATACTAAGACCTTTTTAGCTAATCAGAGGCTATAGTTTTTCTTATCTTATAAGAATAGACTAATTATAATTAGTAGCTAGCAGATGCCTTATTACCTAGAAAAACTATATATAAATACTAAGAAATAGTAGTGGATTTTATATAATAATATTAAAATATATATCTTTAACCTATTAAAATTCACTACCTACTACTACTATTACTATTATTACTATAGGAAATTTATCTTCTAGATAATAGATAAAAAATTCAGCTAAATTTATAGCTATTTATAAATTTTATAAATAAAAAAAAGTAGGCTCCTAATCCTATATAAATTTATATAGAGAATTACTTAAAATACTTATAAGAATACTTATCTATTAGATTCTATATATCTATTATTAATACTACTCTAATTTTAATTAAATTTTTAACTCTATCTATACAACTACTTATATAAGCTAGTATAATAGATTATATAAGATATATTATAAAGAGAAGATAAAGAAATATAGAATTTAGTAGATAAGTATCTTTAAATATTAAAAAGTATTTATCTTAATAATAAATTAATAATTAGAGATAACTATCTTTTATAATATCTACCTCTTTTATATATTTTTAATACCAAGAATAGCTTTATTTCTTTAAATACTAGATCTAAAATACTCCTCTTCTTTATCTAAGATTATAACTACTATTATACTAGATTCCTACTATAATTTTATCTAGATAAAGGTATTCTAATAGCTTTAAACTATATAGTATCTAAATCTTATATATAATAAATCTATAAATATCTATAAAAAAAATTATAAGTCTTAGTATTAATTTATAAAGATATAGCTACTTTCTTCTAGTAAAAGATATATTAAATAAAAGCTTAACTTCTTATATAATTTCTATATAAATTAAAGCTTAGGTTAAAAAGCTTTTTACTAAACTAAATAATAACTAAAAGATATAAAAATTTATTAATTCTCTCTCTACTAATATATCTTCTATAATAAAAAAAATATAGGAGATTCTATAAGTAAAGCTAATATTTAAGAAGATGTTTATAATTCTCTATAGTTCTTATAGGCTTTAACTAATAATTAAAGATTTATTAAATCTTTTTTTATTAATAAGCTCTTTAAATTAGTAGCTTTTATTATAAGATATTTTAAGAAATTATCTCTAAATTAAGTAATTCTTTAATAAATATAGAATTAATAGCTAGATTCTATATTATCTTTACTTATTATAGCTATAGCTACTTACTAGAGATCTTAATATAAGATATTTTAGTTAGTAATACTAAATTAGAAAGCTTTAAAGCTATTTATAAAGAGAGAAAAAGATAATATAGATAAGATTTCTTAGATTCTTTATAAATTAGGCTTCTAGAGTAATCTTTCTAATCTTATTAGGCTATTTAAGCTAGTAGATAAAGCTATTAGATACTTAGAATCCTAAAGGTATAATCTTATACTTATAAGTATATTATTATATTTATCTATATTGTTTATTAATAAAATAAATAATATAATATTAATTAGATATCTAAGGGTAGCTCTCTAGTAAAAGCTATATTTTTATATTTTAAGATAATCTCTTTTTTTATCTTTAATCTCTAGTAGATAGTAGAGAGTTAGAGAGTCTATAAATAAAGTAATTTAACTACTAACTTATATTTATTTATTAACTTAGCTACTATCTATACTCTAAGATATTAAATATATAGCTTTTTCCTTCTCTTATATTAGATCTATAAAATATAATCTATAAGTATAGTAGTAAGAAAGCTATAAAATAATTTAGATTCTTTTAGAATAAAGAAAGAGTATTCTTTAATAAAAAATTTTAATATAAAAAAAATCTTAAGTAGTTTTAGCTTATAGTAATAAGAGTCTTAATTTACTAAGAAAGTATATATTAAATACTAATTTAATTACTCTCTATTAAAAAGATATAGCTTTTAAAATTAGTATTCTTATTCTCTATCTTTATTATATTATTATAAATTTTATTATCTCTAAATAAAGCCTTTTAATTATAAATCTATAGTATATAAAACTATAATTTAAATAAAAACTAAATAAGTAATTTAAGTAATATTTATCTATATAAATACTTAAAGCCTTTAGCTTAATAGATACTCCCTATCTCATATAAGCCTATATAAAAGCCTAGAAGATAGAGATAAGAAGCTTATATAATAGGAAGTAATCTTACTAGATAATATAAAGTATATCCTAAGCTAGGCTACTAGTAAGGTAGCTAGTATTAGTAAGACTCCTATTAATAGCTAGGCTAGTAAGTAGATAAAAAATACTTAGATTTTAGGGAAGTAAATATAGGAAGAATAACTCTTTTTTTTATAGAATTAAAATTTTTATAGAGGATAAAAAATAATGTCTTTTATATTAGGTATAATTTTAAATTTTACTAGTAAAATATATAGGTAGAAAGAATTAGGGGGAGATATTTTACTTATATAAAAATATCCTCTAAAAAGATAATATTTTTTTTCTGGAAAATGGAAAAGAAAATAAGACTCCCTAGTTGAAGGTTTGGGATGTCAATTGTCTGTGCTTGGGCCTTTTTCTCAGGGTACTTTTCCCATTCAACATATCTTTTCAGAACATCCAATTAGCCTCTTTCCCCCCCCCCCCCTCTCTACAAGTGAAGGAAGGCTTTCCAGAGCCCTGTTCATGTGATCGCTTACCCTTTCCAGCCGCTCTCTCGAGCAAACAGCTTGCCACGGTCACCAACAGCTGCAATAGCTTCCTCATCCCTCATAGTCGTTTTAGGCAGAGGAGGGTATAGATACACGGTCTCAGTTCCACTTTGATCCAGCACCGGGAGCTTTTGTCGCCAGCCATTCCCTGTTCGATTTTCCATCCATCGGCGCGATTGACGGTGTCCATGTCCATTTGAGCTGAGAGACTGGCCATTGTGTTCTTGTTGATATGAAACAATATCAGGATATATCAGTTTCAATCAATCAATCGTCAGGATGTGAGGGGTGCGTCCACGCGCTGCGGCTCGCTCGGCGGCGCTCGGGCAATTCATGATGGCTGTGTGACTGAGTCTACGTCTTTGACATGGTCCAGCTGATGAAGAAGCGGATAGATGGCTTCTGAAGTAGTGTTTTGGCTGTTGAAGCAGACAGGTGGTTGGAAAGTGTTTCGCGCGAATGGTTACTGGGCAATGCTGGGCGTGATGTACTACTTAACTTCCCTTATATTCTTGTAGATTGTGTTGGCACTTTTGCACATACCCGCCCATCCTCTTACCGGACGCATCTGATCGACTGCATGAGGTGCTCAAAGAAGAGCACGGAGAGAAGAGTACAAAATAAGAAGTAGGGCTTGACTCGTGGTTGGTTTTTCTTTTTTTTTTTTTCGTGTTAGGAGTAGATGATATCATGGCTCGAGGAGAGCTCTTCCTCCGAGAATATCTCTTTAGAAATTACCTAGGTGGTGGTCGGATCATCTCTTCGAGTTCCAACTCTTCTCTATATTGCATTATGTTTGAAGCCTAATGAACTTCATTGATATCACACTGTCGGTGGATTTGAACTACTCAATATAGGCATGGAGACGACTTTCCAGGAAAATTCTTCCTATTTCACTAGTCAAACTAACGACCACTAGATAGTTCTAAACAATATCCTCCGTGTTTCCGAGGTCCTATCCTCGATTTCTGGAGCTCGTCGAGTGCTTACACCATTGCGGATGCGCAGTCAGGCAGACCACCGTCGCTTAGATGAGAGTGGACTCGACGGGGGCGAGAGTACCGTTCTCAATGGCACCAGCATGGTGACGGGCAACGAGGCCGTAGGCGTATTGGTACCTATGCATGTTAGTTTTGAATTCCAAAAAAAAATGATAGTGACGAGGTAACTTACTGGTCAAGGTAGGGGAGGACCTCAGGAAGACCGGGAGTGGCTCTCCAGTCGCGCATCAGATCGGTGACAACGCCAAAGGTACCCATGAGGGTGACACCGGCCTTCTCCATGCGGCGGTTGGCATCGGCAGCCAGCTTAGGGTCGAAGGTACCGCTAGCCTCGGTGTTGGCGAAGACCTCATAACCCTCGTCAATGAGGGAGAGAGCCAGGAAGGCGGTGCCTGGTTCATCAGTTTCTCGTTCCATCGTACAAGGTCTGATGGATATGCAGGCTACTCACAAACTTCGGTGACGATACCACCGAGAATCAACTGCTTCTTGCCGGTGGCGCGGACGGCAGCGCGGAAGTCGGGGTTGTCCCAGGCATTGACCTCACCCTGGCGGCGGACGATGGTCACGTTGGGGTGCATGGCGGCGACCTCCTTGATGATGAGGCCGTTGGGGCCCTGGTCGGAGGAGGTGGTCAGGACCGAGGGGATGTTGAACAGAGGGCCCAGGGCGGCGTGGCCGAGCATGTTGTTGCGGAAGTCATTGGTTCCGTAGTCGCGCACCAGCTGAGCGAGACCGACCTGGTAGTCGATGACGAGAACAGCCTGGATGTGGTTCGTTAGCGATCCATTGAGCTTTTTTTTTTTTTGGATCCGATCGACAGTTGGACTTACCGCGTTGTCCTTGTCCAGTCGGTTCCAGGCCTGAACACAGGTGGAAGTGGCCAGAACGGCGATGGTGGAGAGGGCAGTGCTGAAACGCATCTTGAACGGTTTGTTCTTTGGGATTGAGGAGAGAAGATGGGTTTGAAGCTTTGGAATCGACCTGGAGCTGGCTTGTTCTGTGCTGGAGAGAAAAGTCAGTTGGAGCAGGAAACGGCCACCTTTTTATACCCCGACTTCTCTATATCGACAGTCAATGTTCGTGTGAGAGCACCCCTGCCCGCATTGCAGCTCCTATTTGTTGATAAATCATGACAGAATCTTTGCTAAGAGCCCATGTGGACATGGCAGATGCCCCGTGGATGTACCCAACAACTCGGTCTGCAGGACGCTTGAGGACTGCCATGCCTCTTGTCCACGGCCAAGAACGAATGGCTGTCAACCCCAAGGAGAGCATACTACCACCACATTCTGCATGTCTCAGACCAATATCGCTTAAAGCCGCTGTCGAAGCCAAAATTCATGCAAGGACTCCGTGGAGGAGATTCTAGCTCCCGATGAACATGGGTGACTAAAGCCGTTGTAATGCTATGCTAAGACGGCAGAGCCCCAGAAGAGCTCACGGGCAGGATTTAATGCCTGTCAAGTTCTTCACGCTAACTAAGCTCAGGAGTCAGGTTGCATGACAAAGTGGTTGATCAGCTGGAGCTAGAGGGTAGAAAGAAACTACTACAGTAGAACTGCAGAAGGCGCCCGTATTTTGACTCTGTTAGTGATGGGAGAGTGATGGGGTTAGCAACGATGACTCAGCTCAGTAAGCATTTAGTAAGGGACCGACATGTCTTGGCAAGGGCTTCCACCAATCAGATAGCTTCCTGTCTTGGGTCCATCCTCTTTTAGGAATAGTCGCCATCTTGGGGGGCTCACGTGACTTTGATGGGTGACAGACGGGATGGACTGGGGAGTTGAGAGTTTCGACAGACAGCTTGAGCTCACTACTAGGAGTCCTCTTTCCTCTCTTCTTCCGTTTCTTCGCAGACGGACTTTACTCCGTACTGTTCTCAATGCATCCAGTCTGATGGTTTGCTGGGAGGATAGAATCCCATGCTCTCATGCATCGACCAGGGTTGGCCATGCAGGTCGGTCTTCCTTTGGTTCTCATCACTTGTTAACCAGATGAACAGATCCCACTTATTTTCAGACAGTCTTCCAATGATCCTCTGGGAAAGTGCGGATGATGAACTCTTCTGCTGTGCAGCCTGAAGAGTGACCAGTTCAAGTCTGCAGACATGTACATCACTCGATCCAACGGAACCTGCCTGCACTGCCCCAGGGTGGACATGAGTCTTCACAAAAGACAAGAAAAAAGCCCCCAAATCCTTCCACCGATTCGACCGGCACTGCTTAATAACCCTAATACGCCTGATCCTGCGTAGATAGGGGGCTCAGATATGCTTATCTGTGCATGCTGATGGTATCTGATAGTCGATAGTTGTCTGATATGCGGTGATGTTCTTATCGGGGGGCGGGGTAGCCCTAAGTCGGACTTAAAGGCTGACACTGGCCAACATGAGAGTCGACGCTATTACGCCTGTCCATACCTAGGTAGTATCTATCTTTCTATTTATCTATATAATACACACTCTCTACTACAATGGCAGAGATCCCGCACGTACCAAACTGGGTCAACGGAGCCCCAACCCCTCCCACCCCCAACCGGATCACCGTCCTCAACCCCGCAACGGAAGCCCCCATCGCGACCATCGACGCAACACCCCCAGAGACCCTCGAATCCATCCTCACAGACTCATGGCAAACCTTCCACACCGGGCCCTGGTCCCGCGCCGACGCATCCGAGCGCTTCGCCGTGCTCTCCAAAGCCGCCACGCTCCTGCGCGCGCGCATCCCCGAGTTCGTCGAGCTCGAGACCCGCCAGACCGGCCGGCCCATCCGCGAGATGCGCGCCCAGCTGGCCCGCGTCCCGGAATGGCTCGAGTACTTTGCCTCGCTGGCGCGCGTCCACGAGGGCCGCGTCACCCCCTTCAAGGGTCCCGTGGTGAATACGCTGACCCGGCTGCCGCTGGGCGTGGTCGCGCAGATCACGCCGTACAATCATCCGCTGCTGATCGCGACGAAGAAGATTGCCGCCGCGCTGGCGGGCGGGAACGTGGTGATTGTCAAGGCGTCGGAGCTGGCGCCGTTGTCGGTGCTGCGGCTCGGCGCGCTGTTCCAGGAGGCTGGCTTGCCGGACGGAGTGCTGCAGATTGTGAGTGGGTTTGGCTACGAGACCGGCAAGGCTCTGTGTGAGAGTCCGAGGCTCTCGCAGATTGATCTGACGGGCGGGCTGGCGACCTACAAGGCCATCGCGCCCGTCGCCGCGGCCAATATGATCCCCATCATTGCCGAACTGGGGGGCAAAGCGCCCGTCTGCTTCTTCCCGAGTCTGGATGTGCACATGGCGGTCAAGGCTGCGCTGTTTGCCAGTTTTATTGCCAGCGGCCAGACCTGCGTGACGGGGAGTCGGCTGCTCGTGCATGCGGACCTGTACGAGTCGTTCAAGGAGCGGTTACAGAAACGGGTCCAAGCTCTGCGCGTCGGCGATCCCACCGACGAGCGAACGCAGATCGGATCCGTCATCTCTCGCGTCGCTGTGGAAAGATGCGCCGGCTTTGTCGCACGGGCCGTGCAGGAGGGAGGCAAAGTGCTCTGCGGCGGCAAGCCGACCGCCAATGCCGCCGGAAAGGGCTTCTTCTTTGAACCGACCATCATCGAAACCCGCGCCGACTCGGACCTGGCCTGCAATGAGGTGTTCGGGCCGGTCATTGCTCTGATCAAGTGTGAGTCGGAAGAGGAGATCATCCGCGTTGCGAATGGCACGTCCTTTGCGCTGGGGGCGTCGGTCTGGACCAACGACTTCAACCAGGCTCATCGGGTGACGGCGAAGATCGAGGCGGGCATTGTCTGGGTCAATGGACATCATTTGAACGACCCGTCCTCCCCCTGGGGTGGTTTCAAGGAGAGCGGGATGGGCAAGGAGAATGGTATGGAGGCGTACGAGAGCTACACCAAGGTCAAGAGCACAGTGATCAACTACGGGGTGCAACCGGTGTGGTTTGACGATGAGATTGAGAATGCACGATACGGCTAGTTTGTTCGATCTACATGGATTATGTGAATGAAATCTTCTCTTCTCTTCTCTTCTCTTCTCTTCGAGAATGGACTTGGTCTTATTCCATATCAAACGAGTGCCCAGCGTGAAGAGCACCATCCCTTAGACTTTGATGCATTACCGCGAATAGGCTAATGTTCGTGTCCGCCAAGGACTTCCCATGGGTCCATCTCTTCCGGTAAGATCGCAATCATACTCCGTTCGGAATCGTTCTAGGAGGCGTACTAGCACTACAGGAACACCGCCTGAGTCCCAAGTGATCTACATAAGACAGCGAGAGTACAGCGCAGCTCTCAGTCCTCCTAGCCCCTTTCTGCTACGGCCCCCAAATCTGCGCAATCAATCCGTGGTGGCGAGCTGTGCGTTCAACTTCCCCTTTCAGTCAAGCAGCAATATCTTACTGGAACCACCGCTGGCAAATCCTACAGTCTACTAATTCGGCCGGGAAGGATTGTCCAGCATCCTGCCTGGTCATTGGCCTCTTCGTCTGAGTCTTGAAACTCTTTTGTTTTTTTTTATATCGAGAGAATCAAGATTGCTTGTCGGACCAGGAGACAGCCCCGATGTTGCATGTCGGGTAATACTGTCTGTCTTGCCCCCACTGCAAAGACCAGGCCAAATGATGAAGAAAAGACATCTTATCGCCATCAGATTCGGTTAGACCATTCTTCTGCCTTCTGGGACGCTGCAGCTAGGGGTTAGTTATTCTGATCTACCAGTACCCTGGCGGTCATCAAATCGCGTGGCGATGGGATCGGCGCAGGCATCAGACATGCTGCTGGGGGGACTATGCAGGGTCGAGACTCGAAACTGACTCCATCCGAGACCGGATGAGGAAAGTACCAGAGACCGTGATGGTCTTTTAGTATAGAAACCGCTGGTCTAGCGAGGCATACCTCCAGGGACCATGTCACCATACTCCGTAGATGGTATAGATAGACCATCGACTATAGCCTATAGTGACCATAGCGGCACTGATAGAGACCGTCGACCGCTTATTCAGCAACAAGCGAATTGCACTCCCCTCATTAAGGTTCGGCTAGAATTTTGGATTAGTGAACAGTCTACTAGTACTTTCGTGCTGCCGATTCAGAATTAGTGATTAGTGAACAAGTTCCACGCAGTCCCAGACCACGAGGATCCCCGGCTGAAGAAAGAAAGAGTGGTGATGCCGTGATGCCCCCCCCCGGAGAGTATCGGCTTCTGCTGTCAGCCTGTCACAACCCAAGCGAGAGACATTAAACCAATCTTATTTTTTGCCTCGGGGATTCTTAAGATAGCGACCGACCTCGTCAGCTCGTCTAACTCTTCTGATTATTCAGGATTTCAGACACCGACAGACCGGATGGAACCACCATTCATTCCTTCGGCCTGGATCCGTGGGATCGAGCCTCTGCTTAGGGCTTAGTCTTGCCAGTACCAATGCTAACTAACTACCGAATGAGTTTAATGAAGGCTCCTGATTCTTCCATTCATTAACAATAATGAGACGATCCAGCGGCAACAAAATCCCAGTGGGCCTGGGTCTGTCTGTCTGACTGACCGGCTTGTCCCCTATCTTAGCGCGATCGAATAAGAACCGCCCATGATCCCAGCTTGGTTTAACTGTCGATTCCCCGCAACAAAGCTGTCTATCTTCTTCCTTCCCCTCCCCTTAAGTGACTGAGAATGGCTGAGCAGTCTGGCTGGTATATGTCGGGACTAGAGCTCTTAGGGATACCACACCACACCGCGACTGGCAAAGATCTCTACGATCAGGGCTCTTCCTCTAACTTCTCAAGTCCAAGTCCCAGTTGCACGACACCGATCATCTTATCCGCTTCCTCCTATCCTACCTTCGGCGCCATGGTCGACGGCCAGCAACCAGACAAATCGGGTCGCCCTCGGAGGAAGAATGTTAGTACCCGCGCGAAGAAGACGAGCGATGGACTTCCTAAGAAAAGAGGCCGTCCTCAAAAAGATACGAATGTTGCGACCCCTACCGAGGTGAGTGACTCATGATAAAAAGAAAAGAAAAGAAAAACAATCGCATCTGGATGTCCTTGCTCAACAAGGAATCAGAAACGTCGAACGCAGATCCGTCTGGCGCAGCGCGCATATCGCTCCCGCCAAGAAGCAACCATGTCCCAGATGAAGAACCGGATCCAGGAATTGGAATCGGTGATCGAGACCATGACGGAAACTTTCATCGCGTTCAGCGACACGCTGATGCAGTCGAGCATGCTGGCTTCATCTCCGGGCATCGCGCAGTCCCTGCAAGAGGCGACGGCGAAATATGTCGAGCTTTCGAATCGGGTGAACCCAGTCGGGGAGGAGGATGATAATAGTGATGCTGCGGCTGCTGCTGCTGCGACTGCTGCTGCTACCCGCTTGTATGAGAGGCCGTCGCCGCCAGCAACGGCCTCGATGATGGCTTCCCCCGAGTCATCAACAGCGCGGTCGAATGACCCGTCCGAACCCAGCCCCCTGGCCAACGCCGACACAGGCACCTCCCCGCCTCGCAACGACGCATTGCAGATCTTCGATGGCTCCCCTCCCCACATCACCTTCCCCTCCGTCTACCAGAACAACCTCGGCCCGCTCATGTCGCATCTGTACGGGCCCCAGAGCCCATTCTTCGCAGAGCGACTGCACTGGGCCTGCTCCGAGCGCGCATACCAGTACCTCATCAATCCCAATATTGCCGACGCCCGCCTGACCCGCGCGTTCGGATACTTGTTCAGCCGCATGAGCCGCGCCCAGGTCGTCTCGTTCTTCGGCACCGTCCTGAGCTCGTTCGGCGCCCCCGAGGCGTTCGACCAGTTCCACATCCCCATGCTGAATCTGGGCGGCGCGGGCCTGCATTACCCGCGGAAACTGCCTCTCGCCGCGACGCCGCATCTCCTCAGTCCGCTGCCCGCCGGGGAGCAGATCGAGGCGCTCTACGAGAACGCGTTCACCGCGAGGGATTTCGAAGAAGTCTGGTTCGACTCGGAGGATTTGGAAGGCTTCCTCGAAGAACATGGCGTGATTCTGGGGAGCCGCGATACGGTGCCGGAAGTCATTCCCGGGGGCCCGTTGGAGGTAATGAAAGCGACGCGGTTGAGTATCGTCAGCTCGGTGTTGGAGTCCACGAGCCGTCCCAACGCCCAGCGATTCCTCTCGCAAAGTCCTATCTTGGCTGTCGATGAAAGCCAGTTGATTGACTGTAAGCTAGATCCATTTGATCCCCCACAGCATACAGAAAAACACTCACGCTGACTTTGTCGCAATCTATAGGGCTGTCCGTGCGCGGGATTTGCCTCGGCCGAGCAGCCGGGTTCCGCAAACGGGACGTGGAAAGCTTTCTGTTACAGCATGCGTGGCCGGTTGTCACTCCGCAGTTTCCATTGTAGATTTTATCATTTATCATCATGACTCATGGCTATTGGTTATGTTTTCTTAAGCTTTACTCAAATGTTGGCCTTGCGCAGTCCCACCTGCTGCTCCACCACATCCTTGACCATCTGGTCCAGCGACCTCCACTTCATCCCGAGCACCTTCTCCGCCTCGCTGGTGTCCAAGGCATACGACGCGCCGGGGATGCCCTCCGCAATCTTCGCCCCGAGGCTGGGGTAGTCTCTCTTCACGATCCGCGCCACATCGCTCCACGAGGCCTTGGGCCCCGCCAGCAGGAACCGCGAGCCGTCCGGGACCGCGTCGTTCAGCGCCTTGATCTGGGCCTCGGCCACGTCCTGGACGTGGACCGCCGTGATGTTGCCGCTCGGCGTGCCGGTCATGATCGTGCCGAAGAGCATGCCGTTTGTGCCGCCGATATCCTCCGCCCTCGTCTGGGTGTGGTTGTGTCCGTATACGAAGGCCGGGTGCAGCGTCACGAGCGAGAAGTGTGGGTTTTCGGTCTTCTTGAAGTCCCAGCTGGCGTTGTTGGCGAGCAGCTTGGACGCGTGGTAGAGTTTGAACGCGGTGGCGGCGGGGCTGGGCCCGGTGAAATCGGCGCTGGCGTCGACGCTGAGGTCCCAGCCATTGTTCTCTATGCATGGTCAGCCTCCTTCCGTCTTCCCTCAAAAGCTGGGGAGGAAACAGGTGGAGGGAAGATCTACCTCGAATGACGCCGCCGTCTGGAGCCCCCGTGATCGGAATCAGCGCCGCAATCGACGAAGTGATCACGACTCTCTTGATGCTCTTGACCTTGGCCGCTTCCTTCAGGACCGCCGTGGTTCCATCCACCGCTGGTCCGAAGTAGGTCTCCTTGTCGACCCCGTGGGGAAGAGGCGAGGCCAGGTGGAGGACATAGTCGACGCCGTCCAACTTGCCTGCGAACGACGACTCCTGCGTGATCTCGGGGACGACGACGAATTCGATCTTATCTTCGTACTGTGCAAAAAGCTTCTTGAGTTGGGGGACCTGGGACTCCTTGCGCACACTGATCCGCAGCCGGTATCCTGCCTTGAGGGCTTCGAGGGCGACGGCACTACCGATGAAGCCGGTAGCGCCGGTAATGAAGATGAGGCCGGAAGACATTTTGTATAGTAGAGACTCGAGGTTAATTGGATCGCTATATAAACTTCTAGAATGGGAGCATCTCCACGGAGGGACGTGGTCTCTTTAAATAGTGGTTCTGGTGGCCGCCGAGGAGAGAGGGTGGTGTCATCCGGGGGAACCTATTTATTGTTTACTGATCATGCTGGGCAGGCGTTTATCTAGAATCTAGATTGATCCGCGTTGAGCCTCTTTAATTTCATGATTAGTGATATAGTCACTGGTCTAAATTATGCATAAATGATTAGTATTCCGTCCGATTGGGCTGTCAGCGTTCACATGAAGAACTGAACAGCACCATCACCATCAGCACGGTCATGATCGGGGCATCTCCATCCCGATCGAACAGTATAAAAGAAGCTTAATCTTTCGTGTAATCTGATAGACTATAGTCCTACCCCATCATCATCATCATCATCATCATCATCATCATCATCATCATCATCATCATCACTCCATCAAGATCCACTCAGACAAATCACACAATATCCACCAAGATGCCCCGCTGGCTCATCCAACACAGCCCCAACACCCTCACTCCAGAGGAGAAAGCCACCCTCGCCTCCGAAATCACCAAGATCTATACCCGCGTTGGTCTACCCGCGTTCTACGTGCAGGTCCATTATGTGGAGATGCCTCCTTCAACCGCCTTCATCGGTGGCGAGCCCCACCCCAACTTCGTCGCCCTGACCATCTTTCACCTCGCGCGGACCATGACCTCCGAGGAACAGGTGCAGAGATTCCTGAGCCGCGTCGACGCGGTGCTGACGCCCGCTTTCGAGCCCAAGGGCATCGACTGGGAGTACTTCATCACGGAAACGCCGCGGCATCTGTGGAAGATCAATGGGTTGGTGCCGCCGCCAGCGGGTTCGGAGGAGGAGAAGGTGTGGGCGGAGGAGAATAGAGCCGTCAAGCTCTGATCAAGCCTGGTACCATTTGTATTGGATAGATGATAGGAGGGTAGTTGGAATATAGGATTATTCTTCGTGCGCGCTTTTCTTTCCTTTCTTCGGTGTCTGTGCTTCATGGGTCCTCGTCAGACTCCTTTCCAGGCCCCGTCGTCCTGGATCCCGGCGTTCACGTCGATATAGTCCTCAAAGCCCAGGATTGCCGAGTCTAGACTATTGTACATGTTCCATGCGTTGGTGAATGCAATGCGAGCCATGCGATACGGCATATCTGGCTTCTCATTGTCTTCCGTTTCCTCATCGTCCTCTTCGTCGTCTTCATCTTCATCTTCATCTTCATCCTCTCTGTAGGGAAAACACCCCTTGCATACAAGACATGTATCGTTCTCATATCCCCTGTTGTCAATGATCATCCATTGCCCAGTCCTCAAGCCCAGGCCCCGCAAGGTGCGTTCATTCTTAGTATGAAAATCGTAGATCTCATCCGGCGAGCAGCCGCTAAAGCTGTCATTTGCCGCTGAGAGAGTCTCTCCATCCCCGTCGAGAGAACCAGTCGACGGCGGCTGCCCCTTGATATTCTGTTCTGGTAGAATCTGCCTCTGAAGTAAGAGCCATGATTCGTCTCCATAGTCGTTGTCTTCGAGTGCACGGAATGCATCTTTCGCTTGCTTGGCACTGTTAGTCTGTTTTGCATGCTAGACTGGATGGGGGGGGCTACTTTGGAAGTGGCAGTGACATAAACTGGCCACGACATTTTTCTGGTCGTTCGTATTATACGATGTTGGCGTGGAAGGAAAGGGGCTTTATATCCGTTGCTCAAGCGGGGCTCTCTCGTCTAGGCAGCCTTGTCAATCATTACTTGCTATATAGTCTAGTCTGGCTTCCTATACTGCATTCTTGTACATATATGAATCCTGATGATTGCTGATTTCCTTCCTATTACATTATCCACTATTCAACGACCAGTCCTTCAGGAGCCGGAGGAAGAACGGTCAAGACTGAGGGAGGCGAAGATAAAGAACCAAGTGATCAAGAAATGGCTGGACGTCCGAGACAGTCTGACAGTCGCTACTCTGGACTCTATAGTCCGTCCAGACCTATACAGGAAGGGGAAAGAGAGGGGAACGGAGGGCCACTCTGTGGCTGAAAGGATATTGCAAATTCCAGTCAGGCGCTTGATACACCCGTAAGTTTTGCCGCTTTCAAATATGAGGATAAATTTGTCGCAGTACTAGCTATACACTCTTATTGCTTTGTATAACTTCTCATAAAGACTCGGTGTATGTGCTCAGCATTACATCAGTACCGCCGCTTTCACCCATGTCTTTGTGACTGTTGGTGCCTGGCCTAGCACACAGCCTCTGTTTCAAATACCATATCTAACTCGAGTTTTATTATCAAGGATGGATTGGACAAAAGGCACCATAACAATTCACAGTCGAATCGACACCTTGAACCGTATTAAACCGTTATCTGACTCTTGACCTACCGCAGCTGTTGTGGTACTGCGGCAACAAAGGGCACCGCCAGGGTATCTCAAAGGCATTGCCCAATCTCTAGCAGTGTCTTATTCTCAGTTGTTCCTGGTATCCCGACGAGGCTGTCTTTGCATTGTGCCTTGTTCTTTGTTCTCTTGCTGCGAAGTTGAAGGTAGTCAGCGATGCATATAAAGCTGCTAGAATCTCTCCTCCTCCGACTGTTTTCTTCACCACCGATCTGACCGATCTCCCTCTACTCATCACACTAATACAAACTACCAAGTTTCTTGCTCCCAAACACTATACACACACACACACCATGTCTACCTTTCACCAAGTCCTTGAGTGGAAAGCAACCGGCGTCGAGGAAACCATCGGCTACAAGTTCGCTGACCGCGCCGTTCTCAAGGAGGCTCTGCTTGCCCCCGGCTCCGTGCCCCTGGCCATCACCACAGAGCGCACCGGCAACAAGGACCTCGCGCAGATCGGCGACGCAGTCCTTAGACTGATTCTCATCCTGGACGGCTATATCGCCAAAGCAGATAGAGGTAAGCTTTTTTTTTTCCACCTCATATCGTTGTCCTTTAGTTGAAAAGTGACTAAATCTCCAGTACAGCTAAGATCAACGACGTCGTCTCGCCCATGGTCAGCAACCCAAATCTGGCGGCAAAGGGCTTCAAAGTTGGACTCGAACAGCATATCCTCGCCAATCCTTCTCAGCAGGGTCTCGTCTCCCACGGAGTCATGGCGAACGCTGTCGAGGCGATCCTCGGTGCCGTCTACCTCGATAGTAATCTGAATACCCAGGCCGTTCGTTCGGCGATGGCTTGTCTGGGCTTGGCCTGGCCTGTTGGAAAAACTACTGACTGAGCAATGGTTGTAATATTCTCGCAGCTCTGGGTCGTGGTTGCTACCGTGGGACTGTCCGAGGGCTTCTTTTGCGGGGCCACTGACTCTCTCAGTCCATGGCTTGGGTATGTCTTAGTGCACGGCGCATATCCTTGGACATAGGACCTGCCGTTTGTTTGCGACGCCCCAAGCCTACTGACGTTGGGTCGTTGTCCTGTGCAAGAGGCGTCTCGAGATTCCCTGACAGTCCTGGAATGTCTGAGAGCTGGGAAAGGCAATATATGCTGTTTCAGGTAAGTACATTCTACGGAATGTTGTGTTGAATGTTCGATGTGCGATGTTGGGATTTTTCGAAATTTTGCTCCGACAAGCCTAAGAATAAGTATCAATCAATCTCATATAGATGGAATAAGGATACTCGGCTTGGAACACTGTCGTAGTACATCTGAGTCAGATTCCCTCGAGCTGATGAGAATCAATCCGTCAGTCGCCTGGCTAAGAATGCCTCCCTCTTCATCTAGCCCAGTAACGAGAAAGTCTGTATGGTCAACATAGCCTCATCTAACCGCCGTCGTGACGCAGCTGCTTCGACCAGGGGCAATCTTCACCAGTCATTTGCTGAGCCCCGTCAAAGATGATAAATTGAACCAGTATAGGGCATTTCAGCATTACGCCACTGATCTCCTGACAGGTCCCTGCCTATGCATTGTCCATGCCAGCATCTGTCCTGCTGCCTACGAGATGTTGCTGGATCACCAGCTGATCATGTGACTGTATCATGTGACTCTGTCGATGTTTTAGAAAGAAACTCGTTTCGCGTGCTTGCTTTGGGCTTAGTGCTGCCCACAGTATTTCTGACTGGTTTGGGATATCCACGGGTTGAACAATCCCCATGAAGATCTATATCCCTAACCAAAAGAAATAGACATGATAATATAAAAGAGGGAATCACCTCGTGGCCGATACCCGACAGTAGTGGGGCCTCGGAATCGACAGCCATAAATCCTCCCCTCCCTCCCCCAACAACAACGTGTAGATAGAGAATCAAATCCCTCCTTCTCACCCAGTGATGAACCCCTTCCGACCACCGTCTCAGGCAGGGGCAGCCTGGCACTTCGTCGGCCTCGCGTCCACATTCCCCGACATTGGCCAGGATAACGACGACTGCCGGATCTCCGCCCGCTGCAAAGCCTTCAAGATCCCCACCACCGCCCACGATCCCCCGGGCGCCGTCCAGGCAGACATCGATCTGCCGGGGGATCTGAAGGATCAAGTCCTCGTCTTCAGATACAAGGGGAAGGTGCATGCTGTGGATCATGTCAGTATTTTGTGTTTTTTTATCTTTCCCCCCCCCCCTGGTGAAAAGACGAGCGCGCGCGTGCGCTTGGACGCAGGCTGACCCCCGCCCAGCAATGCCCTCACTCATCGTTCCCGCTGTCGAAGGGGAGTCTCTTCGACATTGAAGACTTTGGCGTCGTTCTTAGTGCGGGTATCACGTGTTCCAAGCATGACTGGTCCTTTGATCTGTTTTCCGGCCAGGCGGACCGGGGCAGCTACAAGCTCAAGGTCTGGGAGGTGCAGCTGCGTGACCCTGCGACGACGACGACGACGACGACCGAGGAGGTTTCCGAGACTGTCGACAAGGAGGTCTGGGTGAGGCGGAAACAGCGGATTGGCTAGTGGTGACTACGGAGTACATAGGTAGTTGTGTTTTGATAGATCGAGTCTAAGATCGGCAACTATTGATTGGCTAGGCTGGGCTAAGGTATGGCGTTGTACATATTTACTCTCTGATTTGCAGGGCAGATCTCAGGAGCTATTGCTGATATACCTCTTGACAGTTGAGTTAAGGGTAAAGTGAAATGATTATGATATTTAAAGAACGGATCTAGTATACAACACCTCTTGTCTCTCGAAAAAAAAAGAAAAGAAAAACACAACGCTCAGTCAAATGATTGTATATACACACTACGAGTCCAACTCACAGATCATCTACTGGGTGTAGAGACATCCGTTGGGGTTGGAAGTCTCAACAACACGAGCAGCGATGCCAACGCAGTCGTGGTTACCACCGGGATTGGCAACACCGGCAGAGGCCCAGATACTCCAGGCGCCGTCGATGCTGTTGGGGCAGGCAATCAGGTCGTTACCACCGAACTGGAGGTGGCCGTCCTTAATAGCCCAGCCGGTGCGCTCGGCGTTGCGGGGAGCGGGCTGAGCACCGGTGGTGTAGCCGATCTTGCCCTGGCCTAGAGAAAATAAAATCGCCCGTTAGCTCTGTGATTAATACTCATGCTGCGGAGTCCGACTTACCCATGCCGGAACGGTCGACGTAGAGCTCCTGGGGAGTAGCCGAGGCGGCGTAGAGGTAGAGAGCGCCGTCCTTGATGTAGAAGGTGGCGGACTGCTCCTTGGGGCGGTCACAGCTGGCGTTCTGGGAAGGAAGGCCGGCGAAGATGCTGCTCAGGGCAGCGTTAAAGCCGGCATACTGCACGGCACTGCCGGAGTGGATGGCGACGAGGCCAAAGGTGTTGCTGTTGCTGTTGCTGTTGTTGTTGTTGTTGTTGTTGTTGTTGTTGTTGTTGTTGTTGTTGTTGTTGTTGTTGTTGTTGTTGCTGCACACGTCGGCGGGGAGGGCAGAGGCAGTGACTGCGGCAGAAGCGGCGAGGACGAGGTTCTTGAACTGCATTGTGAAGGATATGGGAAGATAGCGAATGTGAAGCTGTGGAATGTTATAGTGATAAGAGAATTCAAGAGTGAGTGTGGTTGTCGATGAGTAGAAACGGAAGATATGTTGCTGCCTTTTATACCTTCCGAAGCCCTCAATGTCTTCACATCCTCGGTTGACATTGACGAGTGTGGCTGCGCCAACTATGCCAAGCTCTTGTCTAAGACACTGATGATCAAATTCATAACGGGGGATGTTGTCATTCTGTCCAATCAAAGAGCAAATAGCTAAATATAGTACTGCAACGGCTAGGAGGGTAGACCCACTGGTTCGAAATATGGGGGTTCCGTCCAGGGATCTGATCATCTGAGGGACGAAGTAACTGTCCAGTCCAAATGACTGGATACTGGATACTACACCTACATCCTCAGATGAGGGAGAGTAGGGCCCGGTACTCATCTCTCGAGTGCATCAAGGGTGAAGCAATTCTGATCTGATCGATGCATTCATTGCATGGTGGCAACCGGCAAAGAAAGCATTAGCACACCCTCACTCCACATGCCTCCCCAATCTCTCCACCACACGAGAGTCAAATCCAATCAGAATCTCAAGATCATCCGGGTAAACAGCGAGCATGGTCTACAAGGTCCAAAGCGGAGTGCTCTCCGTTTCGACAACGGGGAATGCGTTGGCACCCAGATCGAAGACTGTATGCCAGATTGCCAGGACTAAGAATAGCTTCTAGTCGAAGAGCCTGGAAGTACTCCGTAGTCCTATTCACTTTTTGTTTCAGTCGCTTACTTCTTCGAAAATATCTACACTGGGTCACTTCTTGTGCGCCACTCCATGATGGATCAGGGGTTTCTCCAGAGTTACGCCGAGCACCCCTCATCCTTAGTCTGTGGCCAATATAGATAGTGGCTCTAGTCTCTACACACCATGTGCTGATCTGCGGCCCTAAATTAGAACTGACCCTTCAACCTCATATTAACGTCAGTCGGGAAAACCGGAAAGAAGTATTGGAAGCTGAAGATACTCTTCGATCTGTTTGATGATGTACAGAATGGGGCATTTGTGAGACATTCAGCTCAATAGTCAGGAGGTGTCCGACCATCCAGTCTATCAACGTATGCCGAGATGGGCAAAAGGGTAGTTCTTCACCATTCGATACCCAATGATATACCCAAGGGTCAAGCCACAGTCTCATAACGATACACAGCAGGTGTGGTCTCGAGTCATAGGGTTCATCCAGACACTGAAATCTCACGTGCCTGTTGTCTTAGCCATCAACTTGAAACTGGGGGAGAATAATCAGACGTAGAATCGCAAGTTATAAACATTCTGCCTTCTCGATCAAATCTCTTCCGTCTTCCAGGTTTAGCAGTCCAGTCTGGGGGGGGCTTTCTAAATTCGCCAAATGACCATCGATATTAAAATTAGGTCTAGCGATATCAGTAAAAGCCCCCTCGTCAGCGATCTTTGGACGCCTTGTCCAGGTCATGGAATCCTCGCGATTCATTTTCTCGGCCAACGCGAGATCTTCCAATTCGCCCACCGATCTGAGTACTGATGAAATGCGTTGACCCTGGAAGCGGATTACACAACCCTGGATGGCCTCTTCTGGCACACTGGTCACCGCTCCATCCTTATTTTAGGATGCATAAATGCGCGCAAGATCAGACTAGGGTATCCTAGCCGGCTGTGCTTGAGTGGACATGTTTCAAAGCTGCTCCCAGCAAAGTCTTTGCCTTGACAAGGTCTCCTGTTCTCAACGCCACCCATGTCAGATTGTTCGGTGCCTCGATGGCTTTTCTCATGCTCAGACACGGTCATGCTGGCCGAGGAATATGGCCAATGTTTTCAACCCCTCTCCGACTAGGCCTCGCGAGTACGATATCGAGATCCACTAACTGTTTTCATCGAGCATCATCCTTCTCTCTATATAGGTGTCTACAGGTAGACATGTTTCGCAATGTCACTTGTCAGGGTGAGTGTTGAGATGAAGTGTTTGATTCGTTTCTCCTCGATACGCGTACTACTGCTCAAGGGGTTAGCAGCCTCGACACCTCACATTGTCACAATTCAGTTCTTATACTCTGTTAGACAAATCAATGATGTCGTGTGTTCCTTGTTCTATCATACGGTAAACGGGCAATGGAACATGCCCTTTCAGAATTGATGGGATATGTATGTTGCACCTGCCACTCTGTCAATAGTACTCCATTCGTGTAAAAATATATTCAGAACCTCCAAAGTAGACAACCCGGATTTTTGGTTCGATAGCAGCCCACAAACGTCTTTTTTTCCTTTTGCTTTAAAGGCATCAAGACCTATCCAACACCCAAAACGGTATCAAGCCTCGAGATTATCAAAAAGACCATTAAAAAGATGATATTGATCTTCGCCGTCATATTCCCAGGGTGATCAAGTAAAAAGTGCATTATATTTTATAATAGCAGCAAAGATTATAACAAGAAGGCCTGCTGGCCCAATGGTAAGGCGCTTGACTACGAATCAAGAGATTGCAGGTTCGAGCCCTGCGTAGGTCATTTCTTCTTTTTCTTTTTTTTACTTTGTCTTTTCCGCACCGACCCACTTTATGGTCAAGCAAGTGTCTAGTTTAGGCCCTTCACTGTCTAAGTTGTAGAGTACTTTGTCTCTTTTCAGCATGCATTGCACTCTCGACCTTGGTCTCCGAGTCATTCCCCAATTTTGATGTAGCCCTTAACCATTACCTGGGAACTCCCCTTGCCTTTCTTCAGTTGGTGCTCTTATTAAGCCATGGACAAGCTGTTTCCATGCCTGCTTCCACCTCCTGATGCTTTGTGAATTTGTGATAATGTGGGTGATATAGCTGATAATTACATAGCCATCATTCAGGACATAGTATTAGTGGTTCACATATTAAACTGGGCCCAGGCCTCATCAGAGCAAATAATCTCAGTGTCCCCCCCCTCAACTGCCGAATCTTCTGAGAACCTGCGACCGAATGCAGGATCCTTCAACGTCTGTTATGATATCTACCTGTCATGGCTTGGAAGAGGATGCCTTCTCCAGCACCTGGGAGTAGATCGACAGCGCCTGATCATACGTTGCGTGTGACGTCCAGCCATCCCTCCCCATGAGCCCTGAAATAGCATCCCAGAAATCCTGCACTTCATTCCACCCTTCTCCTTCTTCGTAGTGCCGACGGATTTCCTCAGGAGTGAAGTCAAGTGGGCATTCCGCCGAGCGGCTCAGGAGATCCCAGTTCCTTTAGAAATGGTCAGTGGGCTGCAATATACAATGGAATGGCATGTTCGCTCACTTCTGTACTCTGATCAAAGCCTCTCGCAGAGGTAGGATGTCTCCATCCCAGGTATCTCCTGCAAAGCGAATCGGGTCCGTCATAGTCATGCCATTTGGATATTGGAATACTTTACTTAGAATTGGGTTTCGTTTAGCAGTATATTGCTCATACAAATATACTATTATCGACCTGACCACTTGGTCTTTCGTCGCAGCTTGTGCTTCCTCGTCGAGCTGTTTGAAATTATCTGGTAATTTGAGGATGATTTCACCATTATAGTCGAGGAAATGCGGATGGCGACCTTCTAGAAGCAAGGGTCCAGCCCATGTACTCTGCCAGTCGATAATACTGGTGATATTACCATGGTCATCAATGAAAATGTTAGGTGTGCGAAGGTCAGTATGCCACAAAAAAGAACCCAAGAGATCTTCATCTTGAGGAAGCAGATGAGGTGTCACAGATAGGTACCGCCGCAGAAGTGATATGTGCTCAGCAGGATTATTCTGGCTAGGTGATACGAACAAGGGATCATCGGGAGAGCGTGGAGTTGCATGTCTCTGGATCCAAGCTATTTCCCGAAGGGCGAGAGCCTGTATGTAATCGACGGTAGAAGTCCCTGCCGGGGTGATTAGTCTAGACCAATGAGGATAAATGCGTATGAACGCCTACAAGGTCCACGATCAATTTCCATATGGCCTCGTTCCTTATACCAGAACGACGTATCCACCACGGGGCCAACGGAGAATTGCTCAGCGATTTGATTTCTGAGTTGAGGTGATAGTCCATCCCCATCAGCTGTTGCAGGTTGAGAGCTGGCTGGAGCGTCCCTTCTGTAATAAAGGAACCCATATCTGCTTGGATCAGAGAGGGTACCCGAGATCGAGCGGCATAGCCATAGTTCAACTAACCCAGAGAACCTGACTGATAAGAGTTTTTGTTGAATGTTCACGATATCTTTCATGGTTCGAGCCTTGAGCTCAAGCTCCATCTCATGCCATTCATCTGCAAGGTTCTTACCCGCTGCATGCTCCATGATTATGTACTCAGCCCGTACACGATTCGCAGCATCCACTGTAGCATTCCAAGCAAGAACCTTGGGAACAGGAAGATGGAGTATGTTTCTCAACTAGAGTGGAGTTAGCTAACAGCCTGTTAAGAACACCAAATGGATATAGCTGAAAATTGAAGTACAGACAAAATCCATTGTTGCGACCTCTGATGCTGTTGTCCAAAAGGATGGCCCAGCATTTGGATTTGGGATACGAGCGATGACTGCTTTTCCATTCGCCATAGTGAGTTTGAATGACTTGTTGTATGACCCTTCTCCTAGCTTTTCCATTCCGATACAGCTCCCTGCAGATGTAGACACTGAAGCAATCTTTTGCAGATCTAGTATATCAAATTCCCGATATCTCTCCTGAAGCTGATCATCTTCATTCCACACCCATCACCCGCTTGTATACTTGAAGAAATCGCCTGGGTCGTCCAAGGTAGTCGCCATCTGATGATTAGAGATCTGAGACAAAAGTTTCGCATTGGAATAGTTCAAACGGCTCTCTCTGAACAAATTTGGTAAAGGAGTTTTGATTCTTAGTACCATGCGCGAGAAAGCAGACATGGTTAGAATGTAGTTAAGAGGATCTTGTCGAACAGATGAGTTACTGGGGGTTTCATGACTTGAGAGATATCTCGTGATTCAGGTGCTGGACGAGTCATCAATGACATAGCACGTCTATTGAACCTGCATTTTCGAGGCGCCCCTGTAAAGACCATCTATCCTCACTTATCACAGACTTGTAGCTATCCATCGCAGAAAACGTCAACGTCCTGCCATTTAACCCTTGTTACTGTACGATATAAACCACCTCTTAGCAACTTCAAGCACATACGACCACAGGGTGTGGAGAACAGGGCTTCCCGTCCGCTCAGCCGTACTTAAGCCACACGCCGGCCGGTTAGTAGTTGGGTGGGTGACCACCAGCGAATCCCGGCTGTTGTATGTTTTTGATTTTTTTTGCTTGCTTTGACATATATATCTTTTTTGCCCTGTCGAGTTTAGGAATCTTCGCTGGCCAATGTGACGATGGTGGTCGTCGCAAGGGCAAGGAACTAACTCCTTCATGTGCAGATGGTCTAAGTGTCGAGATTCCCCTTGAGTGCCTTGCAGGTACATAGTCCATGATGGCCATAGCACTCTACTGAAGTAGACGGCGAATATATCCTGAAAAGGTAGTAAGATCGTATAGGCTACGTCGTGAGCAATGAATAGCAAGCGAAGAGCGTAAGTCGTTGGAATCATTTCTTGGTTTGTCATGTGAAAATATCTAACTGTCTATGCCTTCTCAAACGTCCGCAGATAGCCCATCACCTTCTCTACCAGGAACTTCCGTGGCTCAGCCTGATCATCATTGCTCAGAGCATGGGAAGCATTGGGGATAATGGCGCTGTGTTCCTGATCCCATAGATCAACCTTTCCATTGTGATTTGCAGCATTTCTCCACCTCTCCAGCAACTCCTTCTTATTCACCCAACTCGGTACCGACTGGTCTGCACCGGATTCCAGCACCATCAGCTTCCCCCGCAGCAGACCCCGGGGATGGATCATCCCAAAAGTCGTCTTGAGGTGCTCGTCACTCAGATCCGAACTGAACAGGTCATCCTCAGCCGGTGCCTGCGGGCTGTCGGGACTGGTCAGACTCAGGAACCGCCGACAGCTCAGCGGAGTGTTGCCCGGATAGCCGACCTGCCCAGTCATGGACAATGGCAGCAGCACGTCGGACCCGGTTTTGTCGTCGCGCACGGCTTGCTTGGCCATAGCCTCGACCTTCTCGTAGATCTCCCGCACCTCGGCGCCGGTCTTACCGCCGATCCCCTCGCTGAGGACCCAGAGGATGGCTTCGCGGTCAGACACGGGCGCCTGCATGATTGCCCCGTCCAGCGGCGGGCGTACGATGTGCTCGATGTCAGAATCAAAGGAAGGGATTTCGGTGTGCGGGTTCGGCCGGGAGAGGTAGTGCACGACGCACTGGCTGCCGGTGGAGTGGCCCATGAGGACGATCTTGCCCTGGCCGAATTTCTCGGTCTTGTATTCCTTGATGTATTGCAGACAGCGCGCGATCTCGTTTGTGTCGCGGTCCAGGTGGCCCAGCCCCCAGGACTGGTAGGAGGATGTGAGGTTTAGTGTGAAAATGGACCAGTCGGTCGGTTGCAGCGCGTGCACGAGATCGGCCATGTAGGATGTTGTGGCGAGTCCATCGCCCAGACCTCCAACAAAGAGGACACTATTTGGTTTGCGGATGGTGCCTGTGGTGTATTCGAATGTGACGAGGGTTTCTGTCTGTGTGGAGGGTTAGGATCAGCGATCTCATTGTGGTCGTTGCGCGCAAAACATACGTAGTGGTGCAGGATGCCCTGCAGGCCTCCTTTTGGCCAGAATTTCGAATACATCTTGACTGTGATTGGATTCGAACTCCTCAAGTAGGGTAGACTTCGTAGAGTAGCTCTTCAGTGTGAGTGCAATTCGCAGAAAATTTTCTTCAGAGTGTGAGGAGAAACAGAGGGAGACTGGAACTGGCATGGATGATGGTGTCATCTCAGACTCCTGTACCAGTGCCTCTTATCAACCGGCAATATTTGCCGCCACCTTCCATTTCTGGGGCAGCTTGAGATATTTCCGAAATCGGCTGTTGCGTGTGTGTCATGGAGGGGTGCTTTTGAATCATATCCACATGGTCGTAAGCTGTGTAATATCGTGGATCAAAGGAGGAAGAGGAGAATTACCCGTATCGACACTCGGAATCCAGATGAAATACCTGTATTCATTTGGTGGTGTGTAATGATTGCAATACGTGTTTACACTTTACAGAGTAGTTTAGACGTCCAGGAACAGGAACGCTAGCCAAAATTACACGGCTGGATCTGATTAGATATCTTTGTGTCATGGCAGCGGATCTGATTAGATTGCTCCTCGGCTGCAGAACCTGATTCAGGCTAGTCTGAACTCTGATTCTAAGCGCTGGAAAGAATTTTCTCACCGGACACCGAGTCACTAACAGTTACAGACGTAGTCTGAAGTTCTGAACTCTGATATGACTTTGGGCTTTGGAGTTTGGACCCCCATCTGAGATCCATACTAGCAGCTAGATAGCTCGAGTGGATGTCTCTGATAAAACCACCCGTGGCTCTGCCTTACGGACCTACGGAGCGTTCTACACCCCGCTCTCGATCTGATAAGCGCTCGTATTCTGACGTTGATGACCAAACTATTGAGAATTTCGCTGGAAAATTCCATGACAGTATTAAATACATGAGCACCGTAGACTTCAGCACTATAGACAAATTAAACACGATCTTGCAGACACTTACAAGCATATTGAATTCAAGCCCGTCCATCAAAACCACAGTTGCAGTGGCAGCCAAGGACGCAGGCAATTTGATTCGGAGAAAAACGGGCACTTGCGTGATGCGTCTTACGGACCTGACATGGTGGGTCTTGATAAGGCAGAAAAACACAGTTTGGTATTTTAATTGATACTATTAGGGGAATTTTTCCCCCAGTTACTCGGTATCTGGTGACCTGGTCAGTTCTTTCTTTCTCCCAGTTCCCACGCATGATGCAAGGCCAAGTGAAACGCATCTAAGAGTCCTAACTTCTAAGACATATGTCCAGCTCCATTGATAGTCCATAGGGCACAGATTTGACAGTTGATAACCGGGGAACTGGTGTCTTGGAGAGACGATCAACTGAAAAATTTGGTTTCGAACAGGTAAGACGAACTGACCAAGGCGTGCATATCCACTCCTTCTCGGATCAGATAATTTTTTCCACGGCATCCATGGAACATGCACCCGGTTTGGCCATGTGACTGAGAGGGTTCATTCTTTCGCTTCCGTGAGCGAATTGTTGCCAGGATCAAGTTCTCCGAATTATCTGATTAGATTGATAATAGAGAATCCGGTGAGAATTCTAGACTGAGGAAGAGGATCTTGGCGGATAAAACCAGCTTATGAGGAGTCATACTAGTCAGTACAGAAGGATTTAGTGTCGTACAAGTTGTACGGATGCTCGACTTCCAGGTCATCTATCCCCGGTAAAGATCATATACTCCGTACATTCATCAAACAAATCCTGCGGCATTATAATTTTGCATCCCACGCCATCCGATCCGAGTTCTCCAGGGGCCTGGCGCGTCCATCCCAGAACAGCGGACACAGCTGGAACCATTTTTCTCGGCTGCAGTACACATGAACAGACCGCTTGTGGCCGAGGTCCACGTATTTCTGCACTGTCAACCCGTGCGCATTCTCGTAGGAGAGAACCGTGGCACTCGTTGCCTTGGGCTCGCCGACTACACATTGCGTGCGCGGTTCGTCCAGGAAGATGTAATGGATTACGCTGGCCCACCATGCATTCACTCTGTACGCGCCGCGAACACTGGCCTCGCCATTCAGAGAGTGCCGTCCTCGATCGTAATCGCCGGCGTCGTAGTGTGCGCCATAGTGGTCCTCCTGCGGGATATTAGTTGATGTGCTTGCGCTGGAGGAGGGTTGTGGAGGAGAACGAACCTTAGCCCAGTAGACTTCGAAATATGCAAACTTGAAATCATCAAAGCGTCCAAAAAGAGACAGAACATGCTTATCCTCATGCAGCTGACGCAGATACTTGCGGTGATGCTCAAGGTCCCCTGTTTCGTTCCATCCCTTCGCCACTCGGGGGTCGTTCTGCCATTTATGGAAGAGCTCGAGATGCTCTTGGTTCTGCCAATCCACCACCATCAACGAGAAATGCTGATCCAGGTGCGGGATATAGCGACTGTAGACCAGCGATCCCGGGGCAGGCTTCTGAGGACGGATGGGGTGTCTCGTGTAGACGCGCTCGCTGGGGAATTTCATGGAAAACTCGTAGTTCTGCGCCAGAGGGGGATACTGGCTTGCTGAGCCGCGGAGCAGCCCATGGGTGCCCTGGTCGACCGCCCAAATGGGCCGAGGGCCAACTGGCGAGCCGGCGCCTTGCCAGAAAGCAGACCGCAGCAGAACCAGAGTATTTGTGTCGGAGGCGGTGTTTTCGTTGCCAAAGGGGATGCGACGGGAAGGGAAGGGAATTGCCAGGCCGGTGCGAAGGCATTCCTCGCGGACGATGTCGCTTCTGGACCCGTCCAACTCAAGACGGATCATCTCGCGTTGCGGATATGTCACGAAAATGGCGTGGATGACGTTCCAGATCTGAGCCAAGGTGGGCGGCTCCTGTCCCGTCCATTGGAATGATGTACCTGGTGCTCTGCGGCTGCGTGCCCAGGGGCTGTTGTCGTTGTCTGGGATATCTTTGGCGGATTGATCGAAGGACAGGTCTGTATAGCGCAAGGAGTCGGAGTGGAAGGGCTCTGGGAGAGATTGTCCAACCTGGGCGTCGTGTAATTGGAGCTGCAGCACTCGGGGGGTAGACTCAGAAACGACATGGATCTTGTATGTGGTCAAATAGGGATGAGGAAGCTTGATCCAGGGCAGCTCCTGCTTCTGCCCAGGAGTGGACTCAATGGATGTGCTCATGTCGACAGGAATGTGAAGGTCAGTTGAGGTGATTGCCAGCAACAATGGGAGCAAATTGGTACGAAAAAGAATCTTACTCAACCCCAGGGATCCAAGCTGATAAATAAAAGATCTGACCGAAGAAGGAGGATGAATGGCCGAAGAGTGGAGCAATGGAGATATTAACCACAGCCGGGGAGAATTGAACCAGATCAGTTGCAATATTTATGCTTTTTATAATTAATCCTGTCTGGTACTTAAACATTGCAAGTGCTTCCTCATTTGAAGCCACACTCTCTATCCGCTCTCCATAAATATTGCCCCAAACATGCCACCTAGCTTGCAGTATCCTCCCGTTCAAGGGTGTCTGGTCTCATTCCCTACGCCGCATACTCTACTCCTCACGCTGAACCGACCAGAACAGCGCAATTGCATCTCCCTAGCCACAAGTAACGAGATCCAACGTCTCTGGGAATGGTTCGACAACGAGCCTTCTCTCCAGGTCGCCATTATCACCGGCACAGGGAAATCGTTTTGTGCCGGAGCAGATCTCAAAGGTAATACCTCTCTCTCTCGCACCCTATTCCTTCGCTTAACAATAATCTCACGCTTTCTGCAGAATGGAACGACTTGAATGCACGCGGCGTCACCAATGAAATGACCGCCCCCGGATTGGCCGGTCTTCCCCGCCGCCGAGGCAGCAAACCAGTCATTGCCGCAGTCAACGGGTTCTGCCTCGGAGGCGGCTTCGAGATGGTCGTCAACTGCGATATTGTTATCGCCAGCGACCTAGCGACTTTCGGATTGCCAGAAGTGCAACGGGGCATTGCGGCCGTTGCTGGCTCTCTGCCTCGGCTGGTCCGTATTGTTGGTAAACAGCGCGCTGCTGAGATAGCGCTGAGTGGCCTGACTTTTCCTGCTGCCCAGCTGGAGCGCTGGGGTCTGGTGAATCGCGTGGTGGAGCCTAGTCGGTTGGTAGATACGGCGGTGGAGTTGGCCAGCGCGATTGCCAGGAATAGTCCGGACAGTCTTCGCGTAACAATGGAGGGGCTGCATTACGGATGGGAGATGACGGGTGTCGAGGAGGGGAGCAGTGCGCTGGTGGACCGGTGGTATCCCCGGCTCATGGCGGGGGCCAATTTCCATGAGGGAGTGAGGGCATTCGTGGAGAAGAGAAAGCCACAGTGGAGGAGGAGCAACCTGTAGAGAGCGACATCCATATCAATCAGCGGGATGATTCATGTTTTACTAAGTATTACGGTATTGATCAATACTGTTTGATAAATTACTGAAATTACAATACCTGGTTAGTGACAGCGATACGCGAACACAATCAATCTTACGCACTCAAGTATCAACAAACAAAATTGCGCATCAGAGACATATGAAACAAATATGCCGTTAGAACTGTACTCTGTACAACAGTACTATACTCCTCCGAGTCTGTACCCCTCCAAAATATCGAATATGGATCCATTGTTGATTACCTTTACCCACCTGCACTGCAGACTATGGACTACCTGCTGGGTCGGGCATCTGTCGGGTTCACAGCCACTGCATGGCGATCTCGGATGGTTTCTTCAGTCTTGTAGATTTCACAGTAGCTAGTTCTATATAGCGTACACCTTATCACTCTAGTCACATCCCACTCTCCCCGCCACATAATACACACAGCTGGACTGCCGGTACAATGGGATCAACACAGACTCACATCCATGAAGATGAAGGCAGCAGATCCTTTCAAGTCACTGAGCTGGGAGATAAGCAGACTCTAACAGGCTTGAGAGAGGACATTGTGCTGCTGTCGTGGCTCATTGTGCTCCTGCGGACGCGGGAAGCAGGCCACATTCGATATGAATGGTCATACACAGGTCAAGAGGAGGAGCCGGTGGCTACAACTCTCTCAATGGATGAAGTAATGACAGGGTTGCAAAGCACACTTGCAGAGACTGCGGTCGCCATCTCCCGTCATATTGCGACAGTCGCATCGCCACAGGGCGTAAAGATGTCTACCCCTCTATCCCTCTTGTTGAGCAGTGGATCCCTCTCTAAGACGTCGGAAGAAGCGAAAGATGAGGTAATTGAGTTGTTCAGCTTGGACCCCGCCAGGTGGCTGATCATAGCAGGGCCTGCTGCACCTCCAAGTACGATTCGATAAAGATCGCCTCAATATCCGGCCAGTATGGCATACCGAGAACATCCTCCCATTCACGGTGACGCGGCACATCGAATCCCTCGTTGACACTATTAAACTATGCCAAACAAACACCAACCTCTCTATTGAAGACTGCCTCCGGCCGACGACATATGACCTGAATGAAATATGGCGATGGAACCACGATCTTCCCCCAACGTACAGCTTTTGTATGCACGAGATGATTTCCCAGCGAGCACAAGAAACATCAGACAAAGAAGCGATTGCCTCCTGGGACGGCAGCCTGACTTACGGTGAAATTGACCGGTATTCCAATCATGTCGCACACTCACTCAGGGATATGGGGGTGAAGTTACATGACGTGATCCCGGTATGCTTCGAGAAGTCCAGATGGACCGTTGTCGCCGTGCTTGGAGTAATGAAAACCGGTGCAACCTTTGTTCTCATGGACCCGACGCTACCGCTCGCTCGTCTCCAGAACATGAGAGAGCAAGTCGGTGCCTCGACCATGGTGGCCTCTCGCAAGCAGTATAAGCTAGCGACGTCTGTCATACCCGATGGGAAGTTCTTCGTTGTGGATGAGGCCGCTTTCACGTCTCTGCCAGATACTCAAGACCCTCCACCACTGCCGCCTGTACCGTCTTCGGCCTTGATGTATATTATCTTTACGTCCGGCAGCACGGGCACCCCCAAGGGTGTCAAACTCTCCCACGAAACCTACACCAGTAGTGCCATTCCTCGAGCCAAGGCAGTCGGATACACGCCGAACTCGAGAGTCCTTGACTTTGCTTCATACGCCTTCGATGTGAGTATCGACAGCATGCTCTTGACTCTAGGCAACGGCGGCTGCCTCTGTATTCCCTCCGACGAGGACCGACTCAACGATATCAATTCGGCCATCCGAAGAATGCGGATCAACTATGCCGGCCTGACTCCTTCGGTAGCCCGAATCTTGGACGCGGATGTGATTTCGTCGCTCGAGGGCCTTGGCCTTGGAGGTGAGGCTGTCTCCGCGAGAGATGTGACGCTTTGGGGCAAGGATACCAGAATCATCATCGGGTACGGGCCATGTGAGTGCACAATCGGATGCACAGTCAACAGCAGCGCTGCCACTGGCCGGGACTATATTTCCATCGGACCGGGTAATGGTGCGGCTATGTGGATCGTGGACCCGAATGACCACGAAGTTCTCATGCCGGTTGGCGCAGTGGGTGAGCTGCTGGTTGAGGGTCCCATTGTCGGACAGGGATATCTCAACGATCCTGAGAAGACCGCAGCTGCCTTCATTGAAGACCCCTCCTGGCTTGTCGCAGGCCACAGTAGTTACACTGGTCGTCGGGGACGCTTATATAAGACCGGTGACCTGGGAAGGTATGATCCCGACGGTTCAGGTGGGATTGTTTTCGTTGGACGCAAAGATACGCAGGTCAAGCTGCGCGGACAGCGGGTGGAACTGGGAGAGATTGAGAGCCAGCTTCGCGCCAGATTGCCATCGGACACCAACGTAATCGCCGAGGTGATTGTACCAACGGGATCCGGAGGCCAACCGACCCTTGTCGCTTTCATTGCACCTCAAGCCGTCAAGCAGGAGACCGACATCACGCCACAGGAGCTTTCGGACGAGCTACGGGAAACACTTTCCAAAGCTGATACAGAGATCAAAACCGTTCTTCCTCGGTACATGGTGCCTACTGCATACATCCCTGTCAACCACATTCCCACCTTGATTTCAGGCAAGACAGATCGCAAGAGACTTCGGCAATTTGGTACCACCGTTGACTTGCGCCAACTCGACCAAGGTAGACAGAAGACCGCTAACCGGGATCTGAGTGAGCTCGAGCAGCGGTTAAGACAGGCCTGGAGCCAGACCCTCAAGCAAGAGGCCGAGTCGATTCGTCTGGAAGACAACTTCTTTGCTTTAGGCGGTGATTCATTGACGGCAATGAAGCTCGTTTCTGTCTGCAGAGATCAAGGTCTCGACCTCACAGTCGCCGATGCGTTTGGCCATCCGACTCTGTCGGCAATGGCCGCCATCGTGCGTACTTGCGAGTTGCAGACGCACACAGAAGTGTCACCATTTTCATTGATTTCCCAAGAAGTGGAAAGCGCGTGCGAGGAAGCGGCACAGGCGTGTGAAGTGGAAAAATCTGCTGTCGAAGACATCTACCCCTGCACTCCCACACAGGAGTCCCTCTTTACTTTCTCGCTGAAATCCGTCAAAGTATACGTCGCGCAGAGAGTGGCTTGCATTCCATCACATATTGATCTGGAAATATGGAAAAATGCATGGGAAGAGGTTGTCAATGCTATCCCCATTTTGCGGACTCGTGTCGCCCAGCTGCAGGAGCCGGGACTGCAGCAGGTTGTGCTGAGGGAACCCATTACTTGGAGAGACGCAACCAATCTGGCTGAATACCTCGAGACAGACCGAGTTGAGAGGATGGACCTCGGCCAGAGACTTGCCCGATATGCCATCATCGACGACTCAGCCGATGGCAACCGATACATGGTCTGGACAGTCCACCATGTTCTATACGACGGCTGGTCGGAGCCACGCATTCTGCAGCAAATTAGCAACGTTCTGCAATCTCAAATTATTGAGACCCAGACGCAGATGCGGGATTTTGTCAAGCATTTCCGCGACACGGACGATGCTGCCATGCAGGAGTTCTGGCGCCGCGAACTGAACGGCGCAGTGGGTCCTCAGTTCCCACGGCTGCCCTCGAGAGATTTCCTGCCTACCCCTGACGGCATGATTGAGCGCCAGATTCCACTCGAGACCGCTGCCGGATCGCCGTTCACGATGGCTACCCTGATTCGCGGTGCGTGGGCACTCGTGGCGTCGCAGTACTCCGGCAGCGATGATGTCGTGTTCGGCGAGACCCTGACTGGTCGCGACATTCCGCTCCCTGGGGTCGAAAGTATCGTCGGTCCCCTGATTGCGACGGTGCCAGTGCGTGTTCGGATCCACCGCACAAGCTCGGTGGAGACATATCTGCAGAGCGTTCAGCAAGGTCTCTTGGCCCGCACACCGTATCAGCACATGGGTATGCAGAATATCCGGAAGGTCAGCCATGATGCGCAGCATGCCTGTGAAGCTCCGACAGGCTTGGTCGTGCAGCCAGAGCCCGAATACGTGGGCAGTGAGCTCGGATTCAAGACCGGGGATGTTGTCAGGGAAGCCCTACATTTTAACCCATACCCGTTGATGCTGGCCTTCGGTATTCGCAAGGGCGGATTCAGGGTTTGCGCCAGCTTTGACACTAGCTTGATTGAAATTTCTCAGATGGAGCGGATCCTTGCACAATTGGAGACGGCCTGCTCGCAGTTGAGCGGTGATGTTTCGAGAAGGATCAGCGAGATATCTTGCTTGCCAGGGGCTGAATTGGATCAGATTTGGGGATGGAACCAGACTGCCCCATTGTCTCTGGACGAGTCAACCCGCAAGCTTCGCGCGGATCCAGGCCTCCAGCCGGGCTCAACGTATCCGCCTGCTGTCGTGCCCTGGGTATGCGACCCCCGGAACCCAGCTCTGCTCTCTCCCATCGGTTGCGTTGGCGAACTCTGGCTTGAAGGGGTCTTTCTGTCTGGCGATATCGTAGATTCACCTGCTTGGTTGGCCGCTGGCACACCTACTTTCCCAGGTCGGAGTGGAAAATTGCAATCAGCCGGCGATATGGTCCAGTTACGCGATGATGGTAGCCTGGTTTTCGTTGGTCGGAAAGAGAATGTCGTCGGAGTTCAAGGGCATGCGCTCGACATCGCAGATCTCGAGGCTCACTTGACGAGAAAGCTCCCGTCAACTGTTCGTACAGCAGCAGCAGTAGCCCAAGCATCCACAAAGGGTGAGGACGCGCAAAATCAGGAGCTGGTTGTCTTCGTCGAGCAACAACCCTCGCAGGAAGGGTGTGTGGATATTCTACCGAAGGATCTTGAGATTTCCTGCGAGAGCTTCGAGACGACTATCCTTTATGGAGTTTCCACTACTTTGATCGCTGCACTCAAGAAACTCGACAGGTTTATGCATGACTCTCTGCCGTCGTATATGGTTCCCTCTGTGTATGTCGTGGTGAATAAGCTCCCCCAACAATTGGACCACGGTCTACTCAACCAGCTCGCCTCAAAGATACCGCGTGAAACCATCGCTCAGCTTCAGCAAGGTCTCAAAGACGCCTGGTCGAAAACCTCACTACAAACCAGCCTGTCAGCTGCGGAAAACATCCTGCAGTCATCATGGGCCGAGATCCTCAAGATTGAGCCGGAGCAGATCGATGTCGATGACAACTTCTTCCGTCTCGGCGGTGATTCTGTCCTTGCAATGAAAGTCGTTTCATTCCTTCGTTCTCAAGGACACCGTTTGACTGTGGCCGATATCTTCCAGAACATGCGGCTTGGCGATGCTGCAAAGGTGCTGAAGATGGGCGCAGTGTCGATGAAGAATAGCCAGACATATAAGGCTTTCTCAACGGTTGGAGACGTGAACCTTGAGAAATTCCTATCTGAAATTGTCCGACCACAGCTGGCTGATGCAAACTGGTCGATTCGCGATATCGCCCCTGTGACTGATTCTCAAGCCCTCGATATCAGAGCGACAATCCAGCCGCCACGAACCTCAGTCCAGTACACGATGCTGTACTTTGACCACGGCATTGATAGGCCGAAGCTGCTTTCTGCCTGCACTGCATTGGTCAGGGCACACGAGGTTCTGCGTACTGTTTTCATCGAGCATGAATCGGCCTTCTTCCAAGTAGTCGTGGAAGCGATGGATGCTCCTGTGATCATGCACAAGGCCGAGGGAGATCTGGATCAATTTGTTGTAGATCTCTGCAAAACCTACATCGAGTCAGAGTTCCAGCTGGGCTCCTCATTTATCAAAATTGTCCACGTGGAAGGCAGTGATGGTAAGGAGTGTTTGGTTCTTGGTCTCTCGCACGCGCAATACGACGGCGTTTCCCTTCCCAGACTTCTTCGAGATCTTGAGACTCTGTATGCTGGAGGAAAGATTGTCGACTATGAGCCGTTCACATCGTACATGGGCTATACCCTCAGAGAGCCGGTGAAAACAAAAGCCCTCAGCTACTGGCAAACCCTCCTGGAGAACTCGTCTCTGTCTGTCCTTGACACCTCCGCTCAAGCCACGGACAAGTCCATCTTCCACACCAAAGCCGTCGACGTCCAACCCCTTGCGGACATTACGACAGCCAACCTGCTTACTGCAGCTTGGGCCCTTGTCCTCGCTCGCCGCCTCCAGACCGCAGACGTGACATTTGGCAGCGTCACCTCCGGCCGGACCATCGACATGCCCAACGTTGAGAATGTCATTGGCCCTTGCTACCAGCTCACGCCCGTGCGTGTGCCATTCAACCCTGAGTGGACGGCCATGGACTTACTGCGCTTCGTTCAGAAGCAAAGTGTCGAGTCCGCAGTGCACGACTTCCTGGGCTTCCAGAAGATTGCTAAGCAAGCGCAATGGCCGACAGAGTTCTTCGACTCGATTGTGCACCATCAGGATCACGAGGACTTCGATGCCATGCCATTCGCCAGGGGCAGCTGCCGGGTTGATATCTCGAACCCTCATGGAGATGCTGCGTATCCTATCAAGGCTGTCTCGTTTGTTCGTGGAGGAAAGATGCATGTGGGGGTCGTTGGGAGTGAAAAAGAGGTCGAGTTTGTGGATGGCATCCTGGATGAATTGGCTGAAGCTGTTCAGACGTTGGGAAGGCGCCCAGAGGGATTATTGTTTGACAATTAGATCTGAGTTGTATAGCATTATAGACTCAAGATAGTTTATTGGTTTCGTTTCGTTTTTAAATATTTATACCAATGCAATGCGATCAACAATATAACATGTGGAATCTTCTGACTGATGGAAGAGAGTGGCTCGACATCAGATACATTTAGGTTGACACGACTACACTCAACAAGGTGCACAGCGAAGTCATAGAATACAAGTAAATCAATTCAATCTATCCGAAACGCCCATTAAAATATATCATGCCAAGAATATCCAGGTCTACTACTCTGCCACCGTCTGGTGCATGACATTTGCCCTGTAGCTGTCTGACCTCTGGAGCAATTCCTCATGCGTCCCCCGATCAGTACAGCGACCGCCATCGATCAAAAAGATTACATCTGCCTTGCGAATCGTACGCAGGCGGTGCGCAATCGCAATTACTGTGATCCCCCTGGCGGCCTTCTCAAGCCCGTCCTGCAACAGCTTCTCCGACTCGGCATCCAACGCACTGGTCGACTCATCCAGGATCAATAGCTTCGGCTTGCGAACAAGCGCTCTGGCGATTGATAGTCGCTGCTTCTGACCACCAGAGAATTGGCTGCCGTTTGGTCCACATAGCGTTTGGTACCCAAGCGGCAGCGCTTGAATGACGTCGTGGATGTTGGCGAGCTTACATGCCTCAATGATGTCCTCCATGGTGGCTTGGTGGCCTGGTCGCGCACCCAGACCGATGTTGAACTCGATGCTCCCCTCAAAAAGCACGCTCTCCTGAGGTACCAGCGCAATGCTATCACGGAACGTGACGTCGCGGCGCTTGGTCACGTCGACGCCGTCGATGACCACGGATCCCGACTGCGGCGTATACAGCCGCTCAACCAAGGAGATGATGGTGGACTTTCCAGCACCACTGGGTCCAACAAGAGCGCAGAACTGCCCGGGCCGAATGTCAATACTCAAACCGTTGAGCACTTTGATATCTGGCCGTGCAGGATAGGAGAAATGCACGTCGCGCACCTGCACGCTCGAGGCGGTGCCGGATTCGTGGGCAGACTTGGGCTCGGCGCTCGACTCGACATCCTTTGCATCGGGGAGCGCGGGTCGCACATGCCCCTGCATCTTGTCGGAGCCGATCTCGATGAGACTCAGGATCCGGGCCATGGCAGCCCTAGCGCTGGAGAGCTCCGGAGCGAGAGCAAACATCTGACTCCACAGTAACGCACTGACAAGTAGGGAAAAGACGACGATAAGGAACTGGGTCTGTGTGTAATTGCCCGAGATAATCTGTTTGGAACCCCACCAGTATGCGAGTGCGTTCACCAGGTTGCCTAGGAAGTAGGTCATGGCCTGCCACAGACTGGCTTGCATGGTGACGATGAATGTGTCCTTGCGTGGACCCTTGAGTGAGCGCCGGTAGGTTTTGAGGGTTTCTTCCTCCAGAGACAAAGAGGCAATGGTTTTAATAGATGTGATAGCTTCCACGCCGATATCGACCGATTTGGTGTATGCGGTTTCGTGCTTTTCCTCGAACTTCCCAAGCACCCGCAGCTCCATGAGACCGGCACCAAGTAGAAGGGGTACCAGCGCGAGGCACACCAGTGCAATTCGCCAGGCAATGATGTGAGTGAGGATGATGGCGGCGATCAGGTTGACAGTGATGGAAAAGAGAGTACCAATGACAGAGCCGCTCAGACCTGCCAGGGCACTGCCATCCTTGGTGATATAAGAGAGAAGCAATGCAGGGGTTCGGCCATTAGACTGATGCCACTGCAGGTCCTGTTCAAACAACGATCGGAACGACAGCACTCGTACTGTGTAGACAATCTTCTCCGAGACCCAGCCAAACCCAGACCAGCTAACCAGATTTGCAAAGAATTCAATAATGGCCAGAACGAAGAACATCAATCCGAAGAAGTTACCCTTGGAACGAATGCTGTCCGGGCTGTGGCAGGGATTCAGGCTACCGACGGTGTTGCCGAAAATCACAGCTTCACCAGAGAACGCTCCGCCGACGATACTTGCGCCAAGCAGCGCCATGAAGATAATCAGGAGGTGGGGTCTCAGAGCAGGAGCATATCCTCGCGCAAGGGCCCACAGAGACTTGTTAGGCGTCTCTGGCTCATTCTCCTCTTCTGCGGACTCACTGACGGGAGTTTCAGTGGCCGATACCTCGTTCTTTTCAAGAATTTCTGGAATATCACTCGATAGACTAATCTTTTCGATGTCACCCTCTGTGGAGGTCTCTGACTTGCTAATGGTCTCGATGTTTATATCTTTCGTGTCTGATGCGGATCCGATAGTTTGCAGCCTGACGAGCTCAGCATAAGCTCCATTCTTCGCCATGAGCGCCGTGTGGTTTCCCTCCTCCACGATATGGCCCTTATGCATGACAATAATGTTATCTGCGCTGGTGATCGTTGATAGACGATGAGCAATGGTAATCACTGTCCGGCCTGTAGCAATGTTGTTGATTGCGCGCTGAATCCGCTGCTCGCTGTGGGAATCCAGAGCGGCCGTCGCCTCATCCAGAATGAGAACGGCAGGATCCTTGACCAATGCTCGAGCCAGAGCTACTCGCTGCTTCTGTCCACCGCTGATCAAACGACCACTAGAGCCGACAGACGTGCCGTAGCCATGCTGCAGTGCACTGATGAATCCATCCGCATCCGCCAGGACCGCGGCCTTCTGGACCAGGGTGACAATTTCGACCACCTCCGAGCCTCGTTCCTCGGCTGCCACCATCAAATCTCTTCCGTCTCTGACTTCGCTGGCAAGATCGGCTAACTGGGAACTGAGGAGTATGGGCGTCAGATGTGTATGCACGGGGTTACTCGAATTGATCAAGCCATGCGCGATGTTCTCCAGTAGCGATCTGTCAAGCAGAGAAGGCTCCTGCTGCACCAAGCTGAGGAAGCTTCTAAGGTCGCGCGTATTCACATCACGAATATCGTGGCCATCAAACAGGATCTGACCCTCGGTGGGATCATACAGCCTGGTAACCAAGCCCGCGATGGTAGATTTGCCGCTTCCTGAGAGGCCGACGAGGGCCGTATGCTTGTTCGCTGGTAGGCTCAGGCTGATCCTATCCAGAACAGTGATCTCCGGGCGAGATGGGTAGGTGAAAGAAACATCCTTGAACTCGAAGCCGCCTTCAGCCTGGGTGAGACGAAGGCCGGACGTAGTTGTACCATCAATCAACGGCTCACGGTTGATATCGTCCCGTAGTTTCCGGTGCGAGGCGACGGCTGCGACGAACAGGTGGAGGAAAGGAGCGACCTGACTGAGGAGCAGAGTAGCTAAATTCTGTTAGCAATGGTCGACAAGAGGATTATGCAGTAACTAACCTTCAACCAGGATAAAGATCACAGTGAATGTGGCACCCACGGTGGCACCGTTCGAGTCACCACTGACGGAATCGGCAATCCGTCTGCTTCCTTGCCAGAATGCAAGCCCATTGGCTGAATACGCGATGAAGTACAAAACCCCAGATTGCGTGCCAACTGCCGTCGCCTTTTTCAATCCCTCCTGTTCCGCCGATTTGAGTGCTTTGGAGAATTTGTCCTCCAACCGAGCATTTGCCCCAAACGCTTGTACGACAACGGTGTTGGACAACGCTTCTGACGCGATGGACGCAGCCGTAGCAGCATAATCCGACATCCTCCCCGAGAATTTCTCAATGTAGTGGCTTCCAACGAATGACATGATGAAATATGCCGGGATTAACGAGATAAGCATAGCAGCAAGGCGGTAGTCTTTGATGAAGGCCACAACATACGCTGTGACAAAGAAGGAAGCACTGGACAGGCAGATTCCGACCTTCTCTGACGTTCCCGAACGGATTGCCTGGATGTCGCCATTGAGTCGCGAGGCGATCTCACCGGGAGGAAGGTTATCAAAGAACGAGGGCTCCTGTCGGAGTAGGTTCTCTATGTAAGTTTCGCGCAGTCTCTGCGCCAGTCGAGCGCCGTTCAGACTCCAGCATGTGAGATGGATGTAGATCGCCACGAACTGAGCGATAGCCAAGTACACGATCATAAGGATTTTACCGTTGATGTCATGTTGGTATTCGGCATCAGACTGCGAGCTCTCATCAGAGCCGCACGTCACTGCATTGAAGTCGTCGAGGAGCTGACCGAACAGAATCCCGATAATGGGAAAGGGCACACCGGACGCGATGGCGAAGATAATCCCTAACAAGAGGCGACCGATATCGATCTTGGACGGATTGCCAGCCAGAAGCAGGCTGGGATAGCCCGAGAGCTTCTGGAGGAGCGGCATATTCAGCTTCACCTCGTGATAGTCAAAGAGTAGTGAACTTGAGCAATGTGCGGGCTCATTGAACTCAAGGACTAGCCCGTCGACAGTGATGTGGGAAAGCTAGCAAAGGCAACGCCATAAGAATGCGTCCACATGTTGGTCAAAATTCTCTCCATTCCGATGCCGCTGTGGACACTGCACAATCCGAGTGGCTTGGCTGCTCTGTGATGGCCGAAGAAAGAGAAGAGAAGAGAAAAAAGATGAACGCGCGAAGTGGGCATATGTATTGTTACGTAAAAGTTATCAGATCCGTAAGAATCCATGGTTATAACCGGGGAGAGTTATAGCCCGCCCCACACTGATTGATAACTTTTTCTCATTACGCTTAGTGTAAAGCTAGTGATATACAGGAATACCATACTTCAATACACTCAATCATTATGTACAAAACACCATCGATTGCCTTGGGTATTGTTGTATTTTGAGATGGTTGGTTAGTGAAACTTCAATTTTTGTATTTGTGTATCGCGTTAATTCCTCTTTTTCTACCCGACGCAGAGGTTCAGAACAGGTCGCTTAAACTAACGCCGTGTATCGGCCCTAGGGAATAGCTCTTCAGTCTCCACGCAATCCTGGCTAACATCCAAGGTGGATGTGGACTGGCCCGACCGTCTTCGCTTGCCTTGGCCACGAGCAATCGACTTGAAAAACAGGACAAGGGAGCCTGTCTATCTTGTTGATGTCTGCTACTCCTTGTCCATCGACACTCCCCATCGACCAGAGCGTGCAAGCGACTCAGACCATCCAAAATGCCGTCGTCCTGGCAGAAGAAGTTCTTTCAGTCTGCAGATTCCGCTGCGACAGATGTCCCATCGACTTCTCAACCTCCTCTAGACTACGGGGCCACGACTATGGAGGGTGCGACGATGCCTGGTTCAAAGGGAGCTGTCGAAGTCGTCAACTCGGATGCGAGCGAAGAAGTGCCCGACGAGAAAGCTCAGGCTGGTGTTAAGGAGGCTGAGGCTATCACTCTGACATGGACCAAGGCTTCCCTGGCAGCGGCCTATATTCTGTCAGTACTGGTCTGATTAACTCGATATGTACATTAACTAACCACGAGAGCTCAATAGGATGTGGTCCTTGTACTGTGTGAATGCCTTCCAGTCCTCCATTACTGGCAATTTGTCGAGCTATGTGACCAGTGGATTCGAATCGCACTCCTTGATTCCGGTCATCTACATTGTTTCCAGTGCCATGTCCGCAGCAACGTACATGCCCCTCGCAAAGATCCTCAATCTGTGGGACCGATCGGTCGGTTTTCTGCTCATGGTGATCATTGCAACCATCGGATTGATTCTGTCTGCAACTTGTCATAATATCGCAACCTATTGTGCATCCCAGGTAAATATCCTCGGACCATCAGACTCGCGAAGAAGGCTGACAGTCCGAAGGTGTTCTATAGTGTCGGCTTTGCGGGCATCATCTTCAGTATCGATGTCATCACAATTGATACCTCCAGTCTGCGCGATCGAGGTCTTGCCTTTGCCTTTACTTCGTCCCCATATATTATCACCGCATTTGCTGGCCCTGCAGCGGCCGAGCAATTTTATGAGTCGAACTGGCGATGGGCATACGGATGTTTTGCCATTGTCCTCCCTGTCATGGCCACTCCCATGTTCGTGCTTCTGCGATGGGCATACGGATGTTTTGCCATTGTCCTCCCTGTCATGGCCACTCCCATGTTCGTGCTTCTGCGATGGAATCGGAGCAAGGCCAAGAAGATGGGTGTCTTGCAAGAGAGGGAGCCTAGTGGCCGAACATGGATCCAGAGCATCATCTTCTACGTTATCGAGTTTGACCGTAAGTCAATCATTCTTAATAATGTTGTACCCTTTGCTTACCCCCCCCATTTTTAGTCCTCGGAGTTATCCTTCTGGCGGCCGGTCTCGTACTCTTCCTCCTCCCATTCTCCATTGCTGGTTCCGCAGAAGATGACTGGCGGACCGCTCACATCATTGTCATGCTGGTGATTGGTGTTGCATGTCTGATCGCCTTTGCCTTAGTCGAACGCTTCGTCGCACCAGTTCCCTTCCTCCCATGGCCCATTCTAGCTTCCCGGACGGTGCTTGGTGCCTGTCTCGTTGATGTCTGCTACCAAATCGCCTATTACTGCTGGTTCGACTACTACTCGTCGTATCTCCAGGTGGTGTATGGCACCAGCATCACAGTTTCCGGATATATTGTCCACATTTTCGATGTGGTCTCCGGTGTCTGGCTGATCTGTGTCGGTCTTCTGATCCGCAAGACTGGCCGCTTTCGCTGGCTGCTCTTCGCTGCCGTACCCCTATACCTCCTTGGAGAAGGTCTGATGATCTACTTCCGCAAGCCTAACTGGTCTGTGGGCTATACGATTATGTGTCAGATCTTCATTGCCTTTGCTGGAGGTACGATGATCATCTGTCAACAGGTTGCAGTGCTGTCGGCAACAGACCATAACAACGCTGCTTCCGCCCTTGCTTTCCTGAACGTCTTCGGCACCATGGGCAGCGCTGTTGGTAGCAGTATCTCTGGTGCAATCTGGACGCACACCTTGCCCGGCGCCTTGCAACGTCTTCTTCCCGAGGCGGAACTGCCCAATTGGGAGTCAATCTACGAAGACCTAGCAGTACAGCTGAGCTATGAGAGAGGCTCAGCCGCGCGCCAGGCCATTGCTCTTGCTTACGCTGATGCGCAGAGCAAGATGCTGATTGCCGGCACTTGCATTATGGCCCTTTCTTTGATCTGGATGTTTGTCATTAGAGATATCAAGCTGACGAACAGCACACAGACCAAGGGTGTCTTGTTCTAAGCTACTGGATGTTGTGTACGAGACTACATTCACTGGGTCATAAATATGGTCCACATTGTGTGAACAGGGGGTTTGAGGCTGCGTTGCCAGTCTCGCTTGCTGTCCAGCTTGATTCATATTTTATCGTTTTTAATTCTCTTGATGTTTTGGAATACCTGGATAACGGCTGGATGTTATTATATAGGCCGATGAATAGCTATTATTTGATATGAGAAAGGCAAAAGAAGTTATGAGTTAGAGATGAATTGTAACAAAAACCATTTTATGTTCACACCTACCTAGCCAGCTGCGTTTTTTCCTATCATTGCTTGGTATGATCCCAAACCATGATTCAAATTCTGTCATTGTGAAGTGCTAAATGTCAAGACATTGCCAAAATCACTTCGCTCTCGCAGCCAGCCTTGTCAAAGAGGCCATCTCTTCCACATGAACCTCGTGCATGAGACCCTTGCCAAGGTAGAAGACATTGACAGTTAAACGAAGCATAGCAACAGATCAAATCCTCCGAAAATCTCTCTCAATGAGGCCAAAGAAAATTCTGCTCCTTGGCAGGGAGCCACCAAATCTATTAGTTGACACTATCCGTACAGGGGAGAGCTATCCTCGTATTTACAAAGTCAATTAATAGCCCATCACTGGTACGCGGTATCAGATGATCTGATAAAATGCGCAGCTCCGTTTCCGCGCTAGAAAGATTGACCCACTTGGCTGTATTTCCGTATTTCCATAAATACAACGAATCCTGCGGTAACTTACACTGGGTATGAAATGGTATCCCTGTGTCTTTCTCTCTGGAGCGAAATGACAACTACAAATTGTCTCCCTTGGCAGTAGAAAGAGTCGAGCTAGATTGATTCAGTGCTGCAGTCATTAGGTAACAGACTCTCGTCCTCTCTTTCCCCCCCATCCGGATAATGAGTCTGCCGTGCTTTCATCTTATCAATCAGTCCGAGCAAAACCCTGTGGATTAGAAGGCCCATGTTTTTTGCTTCCATCCATCGTTCTCAGCCTATGGTTTGATCTGATAACCTGTTTGAATTTTGATTCTCCAGGCATTGTGGATAGACCCAACGGTCGGGTTTATGAGGATGAAGAAATATGGAATCGGCGCATTCGCTCCCGCTGCCGACGTCATGCGCAATTGCCATCCCTTCCGGTGACGGTGCTGGCAAAGCTCCGAGATTGGAGGCCATCCGGGAGAGAATTAATGCTCTCATCCTGCAGAACTATACTTGGAAGAGTTGTAAAGTCCATGTTACTAGGATTGCGTCAATCGTCGTGCAAGACTGTTCCTGCTTCCGGGCTAGGATATGATCCTTCATACCAACTATCAGCTTGATTCTCCAATAATTCAGAGTACAATGGAAGCCGATACTGGCTCATTAATTTTAGTATGGTCTTAATATCACCAGGCTTGACTTGAACTTATATTTGTAGGTTAAACCAAAATCCCATTAGCTACAACCTTGCGTACGTGGACACCACATTTAAATAAGCAAGACACAGAACGCATGTTCATAGCCAACTTGTAGTTTGAACAGAATGAGCATCAAGCCAGCAAACAAGTCTGATGATGTCTATCATCTGCCCTACGATGGAATCAAAGGCAATGTGCACATGCTCGACGGCAATTTAGCCTTCCATTCCTCATTTCTCCGGTTTCTCTCATCTCGCTGATAGAAACCATACCAGCGGATGCAACATCCACACTGAGGCATGCAATGCCATCTATCGCCAGGCCGGAGAGTCCCCATCTGACCTTGCAATCCCTGCCGTGGTTTAATGCAGCACTGGCAGGCACAAGCACAGCAGCCCCCGTTTGCTTTACACTCCATGATCTGCTCTTCGAACATCTCACTCAGCTGCTTGGTGAGAAGCTCCCTTATCCAAGCTCCAGCAGGAGCGTACCGGCGATATGTCAACTTCTCCCGATTAATCCTTCTATAAATCGACAGTATGTCCGCATGTTCTTTCTCCAGGGCGTCGAGCGCGAGCTTCTCCTCCACTGTGAGACCCTTCTCCTCTTGCCTTTGACGCAACTGCAACTGGTCCAGAGTTTCAAGGATGTGGATCTCGGCTTGGATAAGAGCGTACTCCTTTTTCATGGTCACGAGATACTTGCATCGCCAGGCGAGTTGCCAACGTTTTCTTTCGTCAGTGGTAAAGAACTTTGCCACTTTGTTGACAATTCTTGCCCATTCACGTCGGTTCCTCTGTATCAGATAGTGCTCTAGAGTGGCTAAAAACCCGTCCATGGAGTTTCTTCTTTGTTGGATCTGCGTGTATCCGGCACTCAAGACAAGAATTGTAGACGCTAGGCGTAGCACTGATAGTAGGAGTAGCATAGCGCAGAGTTGACTTAAACGAGTCTTGTTATCTTCGAAGGTCTTCAACTGGAGAAGTTTTTTTTTGAGGACTGAACCTCTAGTGGGTTAACCAGACAAAGTATATATGCACACTTGTGTTGACGCCTAGCACTCAGTATACTCATACCACTGACATCACCATTCTGTACGAATTACTCTACCCATGGATAGGAAAAACAAAAGGATATATAGAGTACGAGCAAACAGATAACATAACATGATAGCCCTGGCTGCCTAATCCTAAATTCCCGTTCTGGTAGCGGCGATGGATCTATGCCCCTTTCACTTCTCTCTACTCTTGCTGCCTTCTGTCTCATGAATATCTGACAAAAAATGACAGATTTCTCAACCAGCCTCTTGTAGACTTTCTCCAGCTGACAAGTTGCTCTCTTATCTTCAAATTTGTTCGAAAGATCGAGGAGTCTAGATCATACCTATATTGACTTGAGTCTACTGAAGCTGACCAGGCAACTCCGCTATGACAGTATGTATATGTCTCACTTGAACCAAAGTTATTCAGTCATTGCTAATTACTACAGCTCCCATATCGTTGCTCTGAGCTACATCTCTCACTCGGGAACTGGCCTTCTGTCTATCCCTCCTACGAACAAGATCACATATCAAACCCTCCTGCTGCACAAACCACACATTCCGCGTCGCCCACTCCTTCTCAGGGCTGTGCAATCGAGTCTCAAACTCGCGCAAAAGCTGCGGGATAATCTTGTGCATTTCAATCAAGGAAATATTCTTCCCGATGCAGGTTCGCGACCCGGAGCCGAAGGTGAAGAAGCTGTGCTCCATCTTCTTCAACTACTGCGGATCACTATCAATTCAGCGCTCGGGAACAAACGAGTCCGGGTCGGGGTAGACCCTGGCATCCCGGTGCAGGACCCATGCGTTGATGCCGACGATCGTTCCGCTCAGTATGTGTTTGTCGCAGATGGTTACTCCTCCCTTGGGTACCTCGCGTTCCAGGATAAGTCCGATTGAGGGATGCAGCCGCATGGGCTCTTTCAGGACGGCCTGGATACGGAAGGTGTGTTGTGGTTTCACGGTAGGAGATCGAATTGCTCAGCCTTCCATTTCGGTCAGCATCGTCGATCTCGACTAGGAGTTTGGTCATACCAGTCGGGTTCTGGAGGAGGAGATAGAAGACGGCCCAGAGTGCAATGGCATCGGTATCTGACCCAGCAAGAAATTCGTTGAAAGATGAACAATGACGTCTCTTCTCGGGGTCAGACGCATGGACGGCGGGTGAGCTTCAGGAACCTGACCGCACAAACTAGTATATGTCAACATGCCCTGGATAGCTTCAATTATCCCATCCATATCCCGCGCCTCTTCTAGAAACTCGAGCTTCTTGGCAAACGTGAGTTCCCTGACCACATCAAAGGTGTTTATTGAAGCCACGTGCTGAGATCGACGGGCATTTTGTGATCAGCAAATTTTCTGTTCTCGGTGGAATATTTCGTCGCGGGCGGAGAAGAGGTTCATCTGGGGTTTTTTGTTCCATGTTATGCATTGAATAGGGTAGTAGAAGCTAGTCTGCATCCCATTAGCTGCAGCCTCTTAAGCACTTATTTCTCGCACATACCTTTGTAAACCCTTGTTCAAACTGTATATGATGGGAATGACACTAGGATCTCCGAGAGATATATGCGGCATAAGCCTTAGGGAAGGAAAGAAGGGTCAATGCACCCATGTTGCAAGAAGACTCCGAGTAAGAATGTGCTGGATAAGCACTTCCAGGATCATTCATCCACCGTGGAGGTGCTGCTCTTATACGCTTCCAAACGTAACGGCCTTATCACATCACCTTGCAGTCGCATATCCGATGCGGAGGTCGGATCGGAAAAAACTCGGATCTCTCTGTTATCCACGTTGCAATTGGGAGAGTGACGGAAAGTGACAGATAAGAGTTATGGAAGCATTGGTCAGGAGGGCTCTGTAATCCCTTCGAATCAGGCGGATGATCCCCGTGGGGAAACGCGGGGGCGGGGAGATCTGCAGACAAGCAGGGAGGAGGGCAGCCAATGGGGAGGTTTTCCCAGTCCAAGAACAAGGAAATAGTCATTGAAGCCCTAACTTTGTCCCCTCAGGGAGGCTCAACTATTGTGAAAGCACTTCAGACATGCCAGAATTGCTTAGAACTGGCAAAAGGTTTCATGACCGGAGATGTTTACACAGATTTAGAGAGACCTTTTACGAGCTGCAATGGAAAGGTTGAGAAACGAAGATTATCTTGAGTGCCAAACGCGTTTTGTACAATCGACTAAAGCACACTATATTGTACATTTTCCTTGGGAATAACTCCAGTGTTCAACTGCAGAGGATATGTTCCAGCGAGCACTGTTGACTTGTGAAAAGGCAATGGTTTAGAATCTATGCAAATATTGGAAGCGGCTCAAAACTTGGAGAATCTAGACTCGGATGAGACCAGAATTTGAGAGGCAGAGATCAAATCTGACAAGCACTTATTAGCAAAGAGAAGCTCGTGGGTCCAGGTCATGGATCCACCCTAAGGGCAATCCAAGACCTCGCACGCCTCTATTTATTACACCAGCGTGTCTTTACAGGCTATGAGGATGGCCCGCTCACCCTCTATATCTTGAACATTGGCACTCTCTACAAAGACCAGAGAAACCTAGAGGTAGCTCGACGAAACAAAGATATACAAGCAAGTGCTCGCACTCTCTGCAGGTGCTTTGGATCCATATTATCGACTCTATTATCTGACGACTGATGAATGAAAGAGAGACCAGAGGAAGCAAAAACAATGTATCAGGAGCTCCTGATGTCTAAAAAGGCGATGCTGGGCCCAATCACCCATCTACAGTGTTGGTAATGCAGTCTGTACGAAGAGGAAAAAGCAGGGGCGACGAGAAAGCGAAATAAAACACCCAACGCAAGTCTACTACAGTAGCGAAAGAGGATGGAGCTTCGTGTTCAGTTTCAAAGCATGATTGTACTTTCACTAAGACATGGGCTCTAACCCTCTGCTCAGTATATGGGCATGGTACTAACGTATTGATCAAAGCAGTGGCCTGGTCAACAAGTATACTGCACCCCATTCAAATTGTGATAGAATGATCGTTCCAAATACAGTGACCATTTCGAGAATATTCAAGTAACTTTGAGTCAGAAATAGCGGCAGGGGCCATCATCAATGCATACGGAGTAGCTTCAGGTTGAGAAACCTGGCTATCAGGAGAATTCTGGGAGAGTGCTCGGTGGCAATGAGGCTCAGGCCACGGAGTTGCTGAAACGTGGAGCATTCTTGTCCTCTAAGCTTGAATTGAGATCATCAAATCGGTCATCCGGGGTACAGGCAACCATATAAAACCTTGTACATGCTAAGCTCTTGTTATATTAGTCTGCAGTTGACCAAACGATCACACGGCAGCTTTGAGGAGAGAGCTTAGCCAAGGATGATATATTGACACTTGACAGGCAATAATCCCCCAGTGCAAGCTACCAGGACCTATTGGTCACCCGGAGTCAATATGAGTCATTGACGGGTCATGCTAGTATAACATAGCATTAGCATAGATTAGTCTTTCTTAATATGATTTCTCCACAGCTTCTGCCTATTGCAGTGCCATTGTCCCCTGTTTGAAAGTTGAACACCAACAACGACATAGATGACTGACCAATAGGCCGCCGCTACGTATGGATGATCTCAGACGTTTTGACTTGTGTATGAAGGTATAGAAAGAACTGTGATTTAGTTAAGGCATATAAAATTACAACTAGGTGTGAGTTGTTTTTTTTTTTTTTTTTTTTTTTTTCAATACAACCAGAATCTATCGAATATCGGTATACCTCAGATAGACGAATACTAAGCATCAGAAGTTGAACTCCCCGTCCCCAATTCGGCTCCATTAAATATACTAATAGCATCTACCAATATAGATAAGCCCAAGCTCTCGAAATGAAGCTCCCTCTCAAAACCCTTCTATTCCTCGGATTTGCCTCCGTTGCGCTGGGTGTTCAACTCCCGGCCCCAGGCGCCACCGAAGAAGAATGTGGACGTCTGGGAATCATGTATTATGATCCCGAGGATCTCCCTGAAGGAGTCACTCCTGAAGATGTCCGCCACTGCGCGGCTCATCCTCTGAGTGCCCAGAACTACTGGGGCTGGGGCGATTACTTGCCCAGATGGTTTCCTTAGACGCATGCCGACGATATCAACACGTGCTCGATACGGACCTTCTCACCATCGGCTGTGCTTCTTTGATAAGGAAATTCGAGAGGAAGGCTGTGAGATACATCTTACACTTCCTGGGGTTCAGTTGGTGATAGTGGTTGGATATTATGTGCCTGTTGGAGGAATAGCATTCTTCTTTGTAGCTACTTGTCATCATTCATTTATCTCCTCAAGTAGATGCAAAGATAAAGCAAGTTCTAGCGAAATATTGATTAGAGCCGACCAGAGTAGGCACTTCCTACCTCATCAATCGAACTATTAGACTACTGTACATCAAAGTCTAGCCACCACATATAGTGAATTATGCCAGTTCCAATATTATCACTTACGCACAACTGTGCCTCAGATTGCTCGTCGGCGTGGAGACAAACATGGAGGATGATCGCGTCCAGTCGGAAGATATGAGCCAGCCATATCCTGGCGAAATAGTCGGGCGAGCATCCCCTCAGGCAGTAGTCAAAGGATATTGAATATTGGGGGGACTGATCGACGTGGGGGCTCTGGCGCATCAAATTCCTTGCCCATTATCAGGTTGATTTGGTTGGCAATCCGAGCCACAGTGAATGCGCTCGAGATGTTCAACGAGGAGGGCAAGCTTATCGAAATGATCATAGGATCACTCGGTTCCATCACAGTACTTGTGGTTTCGGAAATGTGAAGACATTGAAGAAAGTCCTGCGCCAGCATCACACTGTCATAGCCATAGCACAAATGCTCCGATTTTGCAGAACTTTTCGATCAACGGCCGAGCGCGAGAAATAGGGGGAGCACTGTACTACTTGGTTGACGCGAATCGCTACTCATATACTACCAGGCCATACAGACAAGGGGTTCATATTATTTTTGTTCGCGAAGAACTTATCATACCCCTCAATCTATAGATGCCTCCCAAAGAAATCCACCACCTTCGGCCCGGACACATCTAGGTGATCATACAGATCGGCATGTGTCACACCCTCGATGACCATCAACTCCTTGGGCTCGCTGGCCTTCTCGATCCCGTCCTCGCTGAACCACTTAGACCCCGCTTTGGTGCCCGTGATCATCAGCAGCGGCCGGGGGCTGATCATCGAGTTATACGCAAACGCATCAAAGTTGCCCATCAGGTCCCAGCTTCGAGCTACACACGTATTTGTCGCACGGGGATGGTTGGCACGCGGGGTGCGGTAGTAGCCCGCCAGATCGCGGAACGACTCGGGGAAGTCCGCAGGCATATCCTCGATACGCTCCGGCAGCAGGTGCACAAGCGGCACCTTCTCGCCCGTGAAGCCGCTGTCGCGGTCCCGGCCTGCGGCTTCAAGCTGCGCGTGCAGGATCTTCATGTTAGACGAGTCCTTGTCGAAGCCGCGGCGCGCCATGGTGCCGACACAGACGGCGACGACGGTCGCCACGGCCTTGATGCGTAGGTCAGTCTGTGCGGCGAAGGTGGCATAACCGCCTGAGGCGCAAATGCCCAGCACGCCGGTGCGCTCTTTGTTGACGTCACTTCGGCTGCGCAAGTATGTCACGGCGCTCTTGATGTCCTCGACGCGCTGGGCGGGGTCTTCAAGGCTGCGTGGTTCACCGTCGGATTCGCCCTGGTAGGCGGCATCATAGGCGAGGCAGGCAAATCCAGCTTGTGACAGGGCGCGGGCGTAGTTTGCAGAAGATTGTTCTTTGATTGAAGTCCAGGGATGGGCGATAACAACGGCTGCGCCGGAGCGATTGGGAGCGTTGGGCGCGGGATGGTAGAGATGAGCAGCAAGTTTGAAGCCGCGGGAGAGGAAAGAAACGTTCTCGGTGGTAGTCATCTTGTCAACTGTTACTTAGTTATTGTTATAATGATTGAATTAAGTCGGCTGGAAGCGCGTTGGGCTTTTATAAGGGCGTTCCGCCATATGAGACGTGTGCGTCATGCCGAAAGCTTCACTAAATTCAGAAATTCTTCGGGCATCATCAAATGGCCCACTTTTGAGATAATATCCCCGATACCTCCGTGAATGTAGACATTCACTCCGTTGATCGCATGTGACTAGATGTTTTGGTCTGAATATGTTGAACTGGTATTGTGGAGTAAGATGTAGTCGAGCTGGAGTAGAATCCGGGGTAAGCGAGAGGAGCCACAGGATCACAGCACGGCATGATCTTGATCCATTATTGATATTGATATTGTTATTGTTTGAACTGATTCAAGGAACACGAATAACTGACGGTTCACGGGTCCATCTACCCTGTCATCCAACTATTTCTCCTGTTGTCCTTCATTTGACCTTTCCTACCCTCGGACTCCTCAGAAACTCTTCCTACAGCTCAACTCTGGGGCATCACTATACCCCCAACGGTCAGCCCCAAACAGTCTACTTTCAGATAGCAGTCTTTTGTTGTGGTTGTTCATCGTTGTCAATGCTCCTTACACATCATAGGATATGATACGTTCGAGCTGGCCGGCAACGGCGCAAGGTGACCTGCTGGAAGATGAAGGGTATGCGTTTCGTCTATCTCACTCTGTGGGCCGGACCACTTCAGCGGCTGATGTTACTCTCATCTGCTACCCGTTATTGGTTTCTTACTGATCCTGTGTAAGGCCACGATGATGCCGAGACAATGTACTTGATGCTCTCAGTCTTCTATTCAACAGGTTGTTGACTTGGTATTGTCCAAGATACTTTCAAGAGAATTTCCAAACACGTGAGCACTTCGTGCAGTGTCACTCAGGTTCTTATTTTTGCTCAAAGTATCTGGTCGAGGTGCCCCTGACTGCACAGGCCCGCAAATACCTTCGGCATGAGCAGCTCATAAGGTGGGGGAGTCGGGAGGCGTGCCATATTCGCATGAATTTTGTACTCAGCAAACCAGTGAGTATCTGCGGCGTCATTAACATTTGACAACGGGCAGAGTCCTGAACGAAGAATAGCAAGTAGCTGCATAGGTCAAAGGCTCGATTGTAGAGGGACGTAGCCGTGAGAAAACAAATGTGTCTCGCCTCAAGCCATGGCACGGCCTGGTGGACTCTGGTCCGGATGGCTTTGGCTGCGTGATCTTCATTACAGACCACGCGGCTAAACAATGCAGATAGCTTGGTGTCAAAGTGCTTTGCCTCCCGGGTCTTTCGGCCGGAGCCAGAGTTCGCTAGTTCCCTGGATGTGGTGGTATCATCAGGGCTAGGGTGTATAGCCTGCAAGCCTGCAAGCTCCTTGATTTCCAGGTTAATTTCATCCTCTAAGTCATTGGTGCTATTCACCTAAGCTCCCTTGCCCTTCAAGTTGACTTTGGACACCGTCCTCATGGCCAAGGTTATGTACGATGAGAGGACAACTATGCGCGATGTGGCCACCTTCATCTCATCTAATGCCTCTAGTCCCTACTTCAATTCCGGCAGTGTATCAATGGTACAGAATTTGCATAGGAAGTCCAAGGTATGCACTGAACTGGAATCAAATAGGAGAATCGTGAATGCATCGCCCAGGCGGGCAGTCAGCTGACGTTGGATGCCTTAGTGATCAAAGCAGCCAGCTAGGATGCCTTAATTTCCTTCCCTCTGTCTGGTAATTCTTTCTTCCAGTTGATCCGAGGGTTTTAATTGCTTCCGTCAACGATTAATTAAAAAGAAGTCGGTAGCTCAAGAACCTTTCTTTGCCGTCAGGCATATTTGCTACTATCCCCAGATAGTTTCCTCAAAGTTTGTCGTGAAATGTAAGTAGCCATGGGGTTGTAAGCCATGGGCGTGGATAGCTGTCCAATGCTGAATCACCTTGGACAATAGCGGTATCTCGAAAATGCACAAAGCCATCACGGTGAATATAGGGTCAGATTGCAAGTGGCCCAGGGACACCACACTCGAGTCACTTTCTGGCTGTGTCCAACTGCTGTCAGCAGCTAGAGGAGAGGAATATATCGGTCCTCTGATTCATGCTTTGTCTCGTTTCTTTGTACCTACCAGGCACTGATCTTCAGTGCTTGCAGAGCCATGAAAGAGATGGTTTGGTAATTTGGCGAATCTCGGGTATCTAGATCCTTTAGATGAGGAGCATAGAAGAAGAGCATCATAGTATGCCTGATTCCAAGAGGTTGGTAAAGAAGAAGATGATGAGGCAGGACTCTCTGTATGTATGTTGTGGCAGATTATCAATCAGTAGTATCGTGAATAGCCTCTGTTTCAGGAAATCCTTGGTAACATGCAGCCATTCACTAGCTTCTCTCCTGATAGATTGTGTCCCCCAAATCTGCCATTGACACTCCTCAGAGTCCTCCTAGGAAGATGTTGGGAGATTCTCAAAAGAAAAAAAGAAAAAAAGAAAAAGACGAGCCTGGCGGGATTCGAAAACAGGCTCTTTCTTGTGTAGTCACGTGATGCGAGGATAACTGACCAATCACGAATAACCACTGTCTCACTCTGTCACACTGCGAAATCCTTTGTCCATCTCAATCTCAATTGTGATCAATCCATCTTTTATTGGAGTCGGTTTGAAGATCAGTTCTATGGTCATTGGTCAGATCAAATTTCTTCAATTTCCAGCATGTCTCTCATTGAGACAGCCCAACTTTGGGTGGTGCAGAACAGCAGTGGCATTCAGCTACCCGCTTCTTCGGTCCCACAAGAACACGGTGACAGTGACACAGATTACAAAGTGGGTGGCCTTGGGGCCCCAACCTCGAAGCTCAACAACTGAACAAAACAATCATAGATCGTTGATCGATCAGTGGGGGGTCTCGGTTAATTTCCAAATCACTACTACTACGTATGTACAAAAGTGGACTGTTGATAGCTCTCATCCACGGTCTACCTTCTCGAGCAATTTCCTTCGTTCTGGGCGTCGAGTGTCCAGACCTAGACCTAGACGGAGACTCAAGGTCGTGGTCTGAAGGTTAGCAATAAAACGTCAGGTTGTCGGAGTAGCTGTGCTCTGCATGTTCGAAATAAGACTTGTTGCTTGTTTGGATATCCAAGCGTCCTCTCGACTCATCTCATCTGCAAATATGATTTGCTTGGTCGGTATTACAAGTAATGGGAGGACAAACCCGCACCGCCGTGCGTTTCCTTTCCTTGCATGGTGCAGTGCGAGTCACTGAATCACACAATAATAGTCCGGAGTACTTCATACCAATTAGCAATGCCGAAAGTTGAAACTGTCTCGGATTAATTCCTATCTGCTTACTACTTGCCTTGCAACTAGCATTATTAATATTATTATTGTGCAATTGTCCACTCTTGGCACGACTCGGGAGACACCCGCAGCAAACGCCAGGCGACATCGCAAACAAGCGCTCGGGAATCACTCGGCAAGGCACAGGAGCTCGTTTACATAATTATCAGATGCTACGCAATTCCCGGCTGGCGCAGCAATTCCTTTCATGTCGCTCAGTAGCTACACTACTTCGTAGCTGCTGCTGGCTAGCTGTGGTCGTCTGGTCGATGAGCGAACTCTCGATTCCCGCGAGGCAACTTCAAGTCTACAAGAATAGATACCTACTACGGCTAGCAGATGTCAGTGGATCCTGATATGACCTCGTCGGCTGGCGAGGTCCGTTCCTATTTCTTGCTTTGCTTGGGAAGGGGGATTTCCATGTTTTAATCTGGGTATCGAATATCCAGAAGGAAGTAGGCAGAAAACAGGCTAGTGCGATACGGGGAATCGGTTTCATCTACCTTAGAAGAATCCGATGACGCTGTGGCAGCAAATTGCACGTGTAGGGATTAGAATGGACATCTAACGGGTCTAAACGTCTGTTATGGACGGGTGTGTATATAATGGAAGCCCACCTACACTATACCGAGGGAGGCTGTTCGTAATGTGTAATGTGCTCAAGCGAAGATGCTTTTCTGCCTGCTGAGAGTTCGACGGACTTGTGGAAAGAGAAAGGGAAAGCAATCGTCGAAGAAATAGAACTGACAAATGCGCAGTGAACTAAAAAATAGCCATGTCCTTGCACCTTGACATAGTGAATAGCAAAGCAAAAATGTATCATTAATGATGAGCTTTATCTCATATCCTATCAACTCCAATTGTGCTAATAAACAAAGATCATATATAGAACTGCGCTCCCGCTTATGTGTGCTTTAGGTCGATCGAGAATTTGGGTACAGAGAATGTGACGTTCTTCGGAGAGGAGAAGGCCTCGGAGCCCAGCTGGAGCACACCCATATAGTCGCTTCTTGAGGGGTAGATATCACCGTTGAACGTGAAGAGATCCTCGATCAGAGGATAGAGATCACCGGTAAAGTCTTCTGCTGGTTCGGGTGCCAGCCACGTCATGACGTTCTGCTTTTGGCCGTTCTTACCGACGTAGAGCTCACTAGAGAACACAATTATCAGCAAAAAACGTGTAGTACCGAAGCGACCATCACTCACAATGTCGTCCCATCTAAAACCTTGGTTTGAACAGCATTAGGCCATCCAAGGGGTTGCGTCGCCGGGCCAAATCTGGCAAACCACACCATGACTTCATGCGAGGCCTCAGTACTCTTCTGTGCCGTGTTCGGATCGTTGTGCAAGAACATATCAAGGGCGACGTTGGTGTTGAGAGAGGAGGTGTTGAGTTGCTCAAACATTGTCGTTTCCGCGGGCTGTTCGCCAAATCCATATGTCCAGTGGAAATCAACGTTCACTCCCTGTAACTTGTCGAGCTGAATGGGTAGAACATCATCGACCATGACGTTGGGGAACGCGTGCACAGGTTGAGTCTCCGGACCTGGGTCGAACTGCCATGTTACGGAGAATTCGGGAGCTGTGACCTTGCTTGGATATGTTCCATTTTCGAATGTGGTGATCTACATCAACGACAACCGTTAGTACCGTACAAAACCAGGAGGACCGGCTGCATCAAAAGACCTATACATACGTTCATACATAATGATCCGACGGTGTCGCTTGTCACGCCCCATTGATTGGGATTTACTATGGTGGTGGTCAGATTCCGAATTCTTTCGTCCATACAAGGCAGCATCGGCAAACCCGCCCGGCACACTTACAGGTAAAGCTCGCTCCCTTCGAGGATGGCGTGATACCATATGATAGCTGACAGAACTGTGTGTTTGTGACTCCATTGTGAGTGGTGCTACCACTACCTCCTGGAGGCGAGGACCCTGAACCAGGCCCTGAACCAGAACCTGGTCCTGATCCCGAATCCGAGCCATCGTCACTGAATAACGGCGCCTGACCTGTAGCCTGTCGATGGGCATCAATTCCCATCAAAGCTCCGACGGTGCCTCCGATCGGAATCGCCAAAAGGCCAGCGTTGACCACCCATCGAAGAACCATGATCGTTTTGGCGAGATAATTGTGGGAGTTGAGGTTAAAGATGTAGTCTAGTGTTTTTTTTTTTTTTCTGGATAGAGAGCGAGTTCAAGGTTGTCTGCCAGGCTGCTTGTCTGGATGCAGCCGGGAGGATTATGATCGTAGTGGGGAGTTGCAGCTGGAAACAGCAAACAATAAGCTGTAAGGTGATTACAGAGTAGTTAATAATTCCAAAAAAAAAAAAAAAAAAAAGAAAAGAAAAGAAAAAGTACTTAACAGTACTGTATGGAGATAATCAGGCAAAAAAAATAAAATAAAATAAAAAAAATAAAAACAAATAATTAAATAAATTGATTGATGAGTGAGTGGATTTGAGTTTAGGATGGGTGATCAGGGACAAAGAATAGACTAATGACATGCTTGTCCTCGATAAGCTGTGGGGCCAATGTCTTAAGATGGAGTTATGAACTGGTAATGTGGCTGTATCAGAATGGACACATTGTGGATATTAGGATTATTTAATTGGTTGAGGCAGCCGCCAGCTTATGGGGCAGGCGCAATTTCCGGGCCCTGTTACAAGAAATGAACAGAAGATTCAACCGTGGACCAGATTAAAACAGGGAAGCGACGCTATTCGCTACTTGGAGGAGCCTAGCATGGGCCGAATGCAAATGTATCGAGAAGGATGACGCAAGCGGAAGGGGGGGGGGTGGAGACTGGAGAGTCAGAAAAGTCTTTTATCTGGAAGTCCGATGGAGTCGGATGGTAAATTTGTGGTAAGGGATCTATTTATAATAGCTTATCACAGGCTAATGCGAAAGCGGGTGGCCCCACCGATCATGTTATTTCTGCATCCAGATTACGCTAGTTTCAGGGTTTAGCCACTAAAATGACCGTTATTCGGTATTATTACTTTAATTGATTAAAGACCTTAATTTACTGGTCTTGGGATGCCTGGGGCAGATCCTGATCTCTACTCCGAGTACGTACTCCGTACCTTACCATTATTACCATAGCTAGACTCTCACTACTCGGTAAGGTTAGAGGCAGCAGGGAAGAAAAAGAAAGGAAAAAAAAAAAGGGAGATAAGTCATGATAGGACAAATCATAACGCCCAACGAATACTCCTACAGTAAGTACCTACGGAGCGCTCCGGACTGGGTTACTTAGGTACTTGCTGGATGTTAGCCTACTCACTACTTACTCACTTACTGTTCTCAGCTGTCGGTTGATCAAACCAAGTCTCGCCAGTGCTCCCCAATCCTTTCCTTCATCGGTGTCTGCCTTGTATTTCCTTTCCACTATCCTCTCTCTCTCTCTCCTCTCTCCTCTCCTCTTCCATCTCTCGATCTATCGATTTATCTATAGCTTTCGGAGCTCACCACACTCGTTTCGATCCGGATACCATTCAGATCCATTACACAACCTTTTAAATGCTTTGATTCCCTTTCTATAGCCTGGATACCCTATATATATATATGTACTACAAGGTGTTTAATCAGTCGATTTAGCATTGTCCCACAGTGATCTTTACCAGGTCAAAATGAGCGAGTACCCTGGCCAGGATGGTCACGAAGAAAAGATCGGACTCAGGGTCCATCATCGACCATGTCATCACAATCAGAGCAGTTTCGACTCGCTAGATCAGGCCGCTCCGGGAGCTCTGACGCCGGCCAGACCTGGCGAGATTCCTTTGGAGGATTATGGCTCGCCAGGGTGGTATCAGTCGACGGCTCGGTCCTCCTTTGCAAACACTCCTCTTGATTCTCGTTCTGCTTCACCATCCTTGGTAAATATGACGATCTCGCTTGCTAAAGAAAGATTACATAACTAACGGGTTCGTCTTTGCGATGAACAGTATCAAAATAACCAGATTCAACAAAGTCACCAGAGTTTGGCCCCCCTCGTGACCACGGCAGCGTCCCCGGTGTTTGTAAAAGACTGGGTTCAATCAGGATCGATAGCTCGCCTTCATGACCGCGATGATGTGGAGATCTGGAAAGGATGGAAGCGATGGGTTTTCCGCTTCGTACCACTCCTCACGCTCGCCAACACGGGTCTGTACCTGTTTTACCTCGGTCTGCGTATTGCCTGTATCATTCTGGCACAGAGAGCGGCAGGTTTTACGTACGCCGGTGCATGGGTCTTCGTCGCCATTGAAATCGCGGTCGCCATCCCATCCCTGATGCACAACTGCTGGACTATGATGGCACTCAAGAAACGTGGCAGACCCAAGCTGAGATTGACGGGCAATGAGGCTCCCACGGTTGATGTTTTTGTCACCTGCTGCGGAGAACAGGATGAGGTGGTTCTTGATACGGTCCGTGGTGCGTGCGATCAGGACTATCCCTCCGACAGGTTCAGGGTCATTGTGCTCGACGACGGCCAATCCGCTACTCTGGAAGCAGCAGTGCACCAGTTATCCATGACCCATCCGAATCTCATGTACATGGCCCGAGAGAAAATTCCCGGAAAGCCACACCACTTCAAAGCGGGCAACCTGAACTATGGTCTCGAACGAACGAATTCTCTGCCTGGAGGTGCAGGCCAATTCATGGCGGCGCTGGATGCTGATATGGTATTTACCCGACAAACTGTTTTATTTTATTTTATTTTTTTTTTGCCCCGAATTCGTTCCAGCTTTTCTGACTGATCTGGTTTGTAGATCCCTGAGCAGGACTGGCTCCGGGCCATTCTTCCCCACTTGCTCGTCGATCCCAAAATGGCCCTTGCATGCCCTCCACAGCTCTTCTACAATACCCCTGCTTCAGATCCTCTGGCACAGAGTCTAGACTTCTTCGTGCATGTGATCGAGCCCATCAAGGACGCGCTTGGTGTGGCCTGGTGTACTGGATCCGGCTATGTCGTCCGACGCGAGGCGTTGGAGGATATCGGCAACTTCCCTCTCGGCTCGTTGGCCGAGGACGTTGCGACTTCGACGCTGATGCTGGGTAAAGGGTGGAAGACAGCATACATCCATGAGCCTCTTCAGTTTGGAACCGTGCCCGAGGACTTTGGTGGCCATCTCAAGCAGCGTACCCGGTGGGCCATCGGTACCGTCGATACGGCCGTGAAGCTCAAGTTCTGTCTCTGGGGTGACGGCGTCCGCCAGATGAGCATGGCCCAGCGCTTCTCGGGATTCCTCTACGCCACCCTGAGTTTGTACACCCTCCTGCTTACCGCTTCCCTGTTCGCCATCCCCATCATCCTTCTCTGGGGCAAGCAACTCGTCGCCTATGCCACCGAGGAACAGCTCCGCTGGCTCATCTGGGCCTGCTTCGCGGCCAACGTTTCCAATCGACTTTGTGAATTCGCCCTCTTCATCCCCGCTGGCTACCACACTGGCCAGCGCGGCTCCCGCTACCAGCTCTGGATGGCGCCGTATATCGCGCTCTGCATCGTGCGCTCCTTCATGCTCCCCCGCTGGCTCGGCGGTCAAGCCCAAGCCTTCAAGCCGACTGGCTCCCTGGGCTCGGCGCTCGAGGAACGCGATCCGAAACGCCGGAAGAACATGTTCGTCCGCCTGCGTGTTATCCTCCTCAACTATATGGCCTTCTTCCACCTTGCCTTTGTGTACGTCACGCTCATTGCGGTGGTGATCTCGTCGTACCGGTGTTTCGCCAAGGAGAGCAGCTTCCGCGGTATCATCCTCTGCCTCATCACGCACGCGTTCTGGCCGCCACTCACCTTCCTCTTCATTTGCACTTCGCTGTGGACGCCTGTCGCGTACGCCGTGGACCCGCCTGTGATGCCCGACCGCGAGGACTTGCTGACGCGGGACTCCAAGACGGGGGTTGCGCACCCAACGCAGAAGAGCAAGAAGATTGCGTTTGGCGGGCAGGCGGCGTGGTTTGAGTTCCAGTATGCAGTTGCGACGGCTGCTACGATATTGATTTTTGTCTACTCGTTCTTTTTCTAGGAGATGTACGATGTAATTATGGGTTTGGTGTTGCTGTTTGTTGCTGTGTTCCGGTCCTGCATTGGAAGCTGGGTTGGCGTTGACATTGTTTAGGAGAAATTTTTAGGAAGGGGATGTAGTGATGATGCCTTGGGGACGGGATTGTGATGTATCTGGATAACATATGGGCAATCTTTTGTTTGGCAGTGCTCCGGACCTTGTGTCTCAGAGCGTACTGGATAGCTGGAATCACGTATATACAAGACAGACACGACAGACAGACAGGCACTCAATCAAGTAACTGTCCACTATCATTGCAGATCCCCGAGCTCCAAGTTCTAGACGCACGATTTCGATGTTTGGGTACCTTGCATGGGAACGCGAGGGGGGGGGGAATTCCAGAGTGAAGAGTGAAGACAACATGGCGTCCATGCGATTTGTGCCGCAGCGCAAGGGAGAAGGTTATTTTGATTTGGCCTACGCAAGCTATGTGAGGGATCAAACTTGTAATTGTTTTCATTTGCGCCGCAGTGGGCCAAAGGCATGAAACATACAACTGCATCAGTCTCTTATTCTGTGAACCAGTTCTTGCGACTTGTCCAACTCCTCCAAAAATAAAAAAAATAAAAAAAAAAAAAAAAAAAAAACCAGCCGACAAGTCTCAGAATACAGAGAAGGCGAAAGAAACGATGACGGCAAAGGGAATCGAACCCCGGACTCCACTGCACCTTCGGTAAGTGCCTGACAAAAAGGGCAGACCCGCCGCCGAAGAAAAATTTGCAGCCCACAACCATGGACCGTTCACGCCTTCAGAGTCCAGACGCTCGACTATTGGATCAACTACGGAGTACCGGCTAAGGAGATGAGCCCAAGTGGACTGCTGGCGTGCTGCACATGCGCTTTCTAACTAACCAAGGGACTGTGCCAACTGCCAAGCCTGCCAGTGGCTCTTTTCTGGACTAATTTTAATCGGAGGAGCGAGGACTGGCTTGGGTGAGTTATAAGGATTGTGCTGATGATGCAATGCTGTCTTGTCTCTTGCCACGTTCATCAAGAACTGTGGGCTCTCTGGAAGGAGACTTCGTGGATGCATACACACACGGCTTCAAGTTTTTTTTTATCCTTTTTTTTTTTAATCTATGAGTATAGAAACGGTGCTGGGACTGGTCACCCATTCTCACTCCCCTTTCGTCGGGTTTCTGTCAGCCTCATGCAGCAGCAAAGGAAAACAGTCCTTCACACCCTCCATAATCTGAACATGCACTTGTCTCATCGTTGGGAGAATCATGGATCAATCAAGTTTGAGTAGTATCACCCAAGACCTCGACCGGCAGTCGAGCGCGTCGTCCAGCTCAAGCGTGGAGAAGCAGCCGTTTCAGTTCCTCGGGGTCCACAGCCAACCTGCGTCCGTCGCCGCCACACCGTCCCCGGCCGCCAAGCTTCCCATCCCACGACTCAGCTCGACTCCGATTAGTCGGCATCGTACCTCGCGCGCTTGCGTCCCCTGTCGCGAACGCAAGATCAAATGTGACGGCGCGAAGCCAACGTGCAAGCAGTGCCACCAGCTGAAGATCACCTGTGCCTATGCGGGGTCCAAACGGGAGCGACAGCAGCTGGAGCTCGAGACCACCAAGGCCAAGGTCAATGTCTACGAATCGCTGCTGCGGAAGATCTACGAGAAAAGTAGAGAAGAGCGCCTGACCTCGATCGAGGAAGTATTCAACGTTAGTCAACCTGCGGACGCGGCGCAGCCCAGCGCTTCTGATGAGATTTCGCGGTCATGCTAAGACCATGGCAGAAATACTTCGAAGCATCGCCAGAGCTGTTCACCACCTTTCTGTCGTCAAGGCCGATATCCGAGCAAGGAATCTCGCTGCCGCGGCCGGTATTGTCCCTGAACCGGATGCGCCTGACATGGGCGTCGAAGAAGGGGGATAAGACCCTGCCTCTGTGTCAGGAGCCGGACATTCAGATCACCAACATCAAAGCCTGGACGACTCTGGTGGACGATGAAGTCGCGAGCCATCTTTTCTCGCTGTATTTCACCTGGGAAAACCCCACATGGCAACTGGTGGACCAACACATGTTCATCAAGGACTTGGAGCAGGGCTCCAAGAGATTCTGTTCATCGCTGCTGGTTCACGCACTTCTCTTCTTTGGCTGTGTAATTCCGATCCTCTCCTCTCTGTTCCAGCTTCCCAGGAACCCCCCAATCGCTAATACTCGGACTAGAGCTTCTCCTACAATGTGGACCGGATCAGCAATCGGCGGGAAGAGAAATCTCTCGCCAAGACGTTATACGACGAGATTCAGCGCCTCTGGCTGGTGGAAAAGGACGAGTTGACCCTTCCCACGGCGCAGTCGAGTATCCTGATTGGCCTGCTCTGCTGTACCCTCGGCTTGGACAGAATTGGCACGAGACATATCTTACACGGAGCAGCGCTTTGTAACAAGCTCGAGCTGCATCGCGAGACCCCACCGTACTTCTACGACGAGGTGGGGAGTGATGAACTGGGCCCCGTGTCACGATGTCACAAGTTAGTGGCGTGGGCCGTCTTTGACGTGCAAGCGTGCGTTCTCCTACACTCCGGTCTTGTGAGATCGTAGCAGACTGACATTGTTGCAGGCTAGCGGCAGAAGTATACCGAAAAGTCCCTGTCTGGGACCAACCTCCGTCCGTGTGCTTTTCTCCCCAGGAGGCAGCGGCATTGGACGAAGGGGTCCGCTGGAGCCCCTATCCGTTCCGGTCACCCGTGTCACAGCCCTACTACTATACGGCGGCTTGCTACCGAAGCGCCCTCGTGACGATTGTGCACGAGATCGCCCTCGTCGGCATCAGGTTCCCCCAGACAGGTGTCGAGTACGACGACTGGGAGTACGCCCACCAGTTATACAGTCAGCTGCTGAGCTGGATGGCTGGTCTCCCATCCAGCGCCATGCCGCACTGTAACACTACACCACATATACTATGCTTGCAGTAAGTCATCTCCCCCCTCCGCCCGATCAAGCAACTATTACTGAACCCCCCCGGGTACAAGTCTCTATTACCAAGCGACTCTCGTATTCCTCTGCGACATCTTCATCCTCCACTCCAAGAAGACCCCCGACGAAGTCCCCAACCTATCCCAATTCGACCCGTGGAAAATTAAAATCCAAGCCCTCGACGCCGTCGGCTCCCTCATCCTGCTCTACAAGCAATGCCACGGCTGGAAATCCATCCCCATCGTCATGCTGCACTACTTCTGCGTCGCGGGCGTGCACGCCGCCTCCCAGCTCAACCCGCACGAGCCGAACTGGGCTCTCGTCCTGGAAAGCTGCGTCGTCGGCCTCTGGCACATGAGTCTCGGCTGGGGCAGGCTGTGCACCGCCTTCCTGCGCACCATCGAACTCGTCCTCAAGGCGACCAACCCGGATCAATCGCTGGTCCCGCCCAAGGTCGACGTGATCTTCAGCCAGCTGAATAGTGCCCTCTGGTCCGCGACGGATATCTCCTCCCTGTCTGCGGATTATGTCGTGCATCATGTTCCCATCCAGGCGAGTCCGTCCGCCGCCGGCTCGGCTTTCAAGGCTGAGGGGTTGGAGAAGCTGATCCGGAGCATGGATCATCTGTCGATGAAGTGATGGCGCTTGGCTTCGCTTCACTGACACTCGGGTTTCCTGCGGCGACCGGCTTGGTGCGTCGACATTGGGGAAGTCCGGGAACTGCAGGGTTATATATCCGAATACGAATACGGATTGCGACGGACTACACAGGAAATCTCAGGCGCTCGTACAAGCCCATGTTACTACTATACTAAGGGCCGTCTACCAGTGAAAAAAATATTCATCATTCGTATCATTATCGCACAAGAGGCCAAATGTCATGTACGGGGATAATCTCACAGGCGCTCTTCCACTGCCCTGCTTCCAAGTCCGTGACTATATCATTACACACTCTGGGTATCAACGCGGGTCCTACCACCAGGGGGTACTACCACCGGGTCTTCGGTGAGAGTGTTCGAAGCAGAGACAGGGCTATCCGAGAGGTGAAAGTTTCTCATCCTCGATGGGAGATTCTGAGCTTGCTCTGCTTGGTGGCTAATGCTTCCTGCGCTATGTCTGTCCTGTGGCGCTGAACACTCCGAGTTGTCTTTGTGGATTGCCTTCTCGTCCGCTACCTGCGCCTCCGTCGGTTCGTCTCGATCGTGAAACAGCCTACGCTTCGAGCTGTCGAATGCCTCGTGCAGGGTACGAAACTTATGTTTCGTCCGGGTGTACCCTTCCATACCGGCAAGGATGGCGTAGGACTTGGTGATGGAGATGTGGGACATGTCCACGCCTTGATCCTGCAGGGCATGGACGAAGGCGCGGAAGTTGGCCGATGGAGGACGGTAGTGGCCACTGAGATGTGAGCTCTCGTCGACGGGAATGGATCGGGAAACCCAATTATCTTCTTACCTTAGTGGTGCCACGCTCCGTAGCTGGCCGTTCCAAATCTTGATCAACCCTGCTGCAGCGATGCGTGCGCCCCGTAGGAACGAGGAATGTTGGAAGGCCCCTTTCTCCTTGATCCCGATGTACACGCGGAATGAAGTGTCTGCGACCTGTCCCACGGTCAGTGGTGGCGTACTCAAGGCTAGGGAACAATGAATAGCTTTACAAAAATCCACATATCCTTCCTCTTTGAAGGCTTGCGGGCAAATCTATCGCGGATGACTGCTGGGGTCACATGTGCCAACTTGCTGACGCCTTTTGCGTCCTCATAGCCGTGGTTCAGTCCCTTTGCGCTATCTTCTGCCGAGTCCTCGCTTAATGGGGATGACAGACTTGACATGGACGATGAGCTCGATGCGTACGCCAGCGGGTATCCCGACTCGGAATGGCCCCTGAACTGCGGCGCATCTTCTTCAATAGGCACGATTCCGTGTAGACTATCCTTGTATCGTGTACCATCCGTACTCACAAGCTCGTTAGTCTTGGCCCAGCGGAACAGCCCCGCTTCATCAATCGTGGCTAGATAGTTGAATCGCTCCTCGCGCGTAAGATAGCGCACTTGCTGCTGTTCCAGCTTCGCGCGCGGGCAGTCGGGCAGCTCTAGATTCTTCCCGTCCCCATAGTCCAGCCAATAGAAGAAATTCTGAGTCGAGGAGCAGTCTTTCCAGTAATTGTGGTACTTGCGCAGGTTACTGCCGTGCCGGTGCTTGAGATCCACCATCTCGAGAAAATATCGCTGGTCCATCATCTTCGCGACCTTCTGCGGCGGCAGCTCATGGTGCACGATCGGCAGCGAGCGCCGGAATCGCGAGATCGACGACGAGAAGTTCCCTTTTGCGGGGACTTCCTGCGAGGGCGGCCGTGTAGCAGGCGCCGGACTGACAGACTGCGACCCGCTCATGATCGATGGTGAGTGCGTGCCTTCGCCGCCGTTGCCATCGTCGCCGCCAGCTTGGATCGCTACCTTGACGACGCGCTCCCATTTCAGGCGGGCTCGTTTGGCAGTGTCCGTTTCCGGTGAAGTTGAGGGACCTGTAGGACGATTGAGCTGGTGCCATTTTGTGTCTTTCAGAGCCTGTGCTAGATGGTGAGTCGATAGTTCCGAAGACAGTGAGCCAAGGGGGGGCGGTGAATACCTCTGCCCAGCGCGTCGATGCGTTCAACCCCAGGCCTTGTAGCTCGCGTCGGGTTCGATATCCCCGATACGTTCTCTGTATCGCTGTAATCAACCATCTATTCAACAAAGTATGATGTTCATTGCACATGAGACGAGACAAGAGAAAATAAAAAAAAAAAAAAAGTATACCTGGATAAGCCGAGCAGCGCTCTCACGATCCTCGGCGATGATGTCATGGTTCCTGGTGCAGTTTTCCCGATCAGCCGCGGGGTCGCAGAGAGACTCAACACTGTGCACTTCCGGATCGACAGCCATGTTAGTTGGAGCTGATTAGAGTTCGGAATATTATTCCTGGAGTAAGACTGATGAAACAAGAGAAAGAGAAGAAGCAAAAGAAAACAAGAGACTCTTCCAGGGCTGAAACACTAGAAGGGGAGAAAAAAGGGACCACCAGCCTTACCAGGGGATCGTCATGTGTCAGACTCAGGCACCTCCAGGCAGCCATTTACGCCTCTTGCCGACGCTTAGCGCTCGCTTAGTATTTCATGATGGATAGGGGGCAGAGGAGGCCCGCTTGGATTGTGAGTTGTATTCTGAGAGTGTTTCGTGGTTGATATACTGATCGATGGATATTTAGGAGTGGCTTTGCTGACGGTTATTCTGAGAGGTAACCCAGTCCTCCCGCTCGTGATTTGGTCAGTCTTCTGTGTTAGCGGCCCAGAATACCATCAGTCGAGGATAACATGTCAGTATCGCCACCTCATCTGCCTGCAGTATCGCTGAGGGACCACCTACAGCAGGTGAATGTGGTTGTGCAGAACCTTCAAGAGATGACGGACCACCCTCCAAGAGGAACAGTGTTACTACTTGCTCGATGCATGGCACATGAAAGACTATTCTCTAACTAGAGGGTGTGTGCTTCGCTGGACCTGAATTGGACCAGATTATATTCTACCCACTTGGGCAAAAATGTCCCCGTGTCATTGTGATTGTGCCTCGACTGCAGCATGGCCTATCATAAACACCGACACATGTTCTGGCCTGGAGGCAATCGAGGATGTATTGGGTCATTTCCTTCACCTGTGTCAGTTTAGCACGACTCAGCAAGGAACACGACGTCAGCCGATCCGGCATTTGGAGTCGCGGTCAGGGATAAACGACTCTTCAGCGCTAGTCTACGGTTGCAAGCTCGTTAAAGTCGGCTCCATGCTACACATGGAACCCGTACATGATCGAATGAGCACGGAATTTATACCGTACTCTCAGCATTCTCCGTGGTAACCTTTTGCCTTTCGCGCAAAGGGGCCAAAATAGTCCGTCAAGAGGCTTTCAGGCTTCATAACCTTCTTGCTGTCCACTCTATTTACGAAACTACACAACAGTCTCTAAATTGTCCAGAACCAATCCAGGACCCAAACTGGATATCCAAAAGTGGGAGACTGAAACAACGTTCGTTGTGTGGTACCGCCTCGCTCCTCTAGGCTGGCCTATTTTGCTATATAGCCTATACTGTACTGTGCCCTTCATTTCTGCCAAAACGCTCCTCATATGACCGAACCGTCTGTTGCAATGGAATGAAACTCGGCCGTCTTCGCTGGCCAGCCGGAAAGTGGCACCGCGCCAGCCGTCATCTATTTTGCGGGGTTGACGATATTATAGTCTCGGCATTGATCGTACCTTTCCTTTCTCGATCCGGAAAGCTGATCATACCGTGCAGACCGTGAAGAACAGCTGCACGAATAGCCGACAGCTGCAAAAGGATCATTCTCCGTGAGGAGATAAGACTAGCCCTTGCACCATGCTCAGCGGTGACTCGTCTTCAGCCATGCATGGTTTTTGTGTTATTTTTATGGGCGGTGGTTCGGTAACTCTTTTGTATACAGCCTGCTTTACTGATGCAGTTCTCCCCGCGACGATCCGATATTCCGGTGATATATTAATGTATCTATGCTTCACCCTTGGGCCGGCACTTGTCAGTCGCAGCGTTTGGGCCTCGTGGATATGCAGCGACCCTGGATGCCATGTTACTCTTCACCAAGAAGTGCCTGCACGGCTTCTGCTGCTGGACTATTGGTTAGCAAAGCAGTTCAATTTCCCATGAGTTCCATCTGGTTTGAGGACAGGAAAAGAGCACACCAACCGCTGTCTAGTTTCCTCCACGCCGGATAAAACCAGAAACTCTGGCATATAAAGGTGAGGCCGTTCCCGCGACTCTTGCCGGTCAGCTCAACCATCTTTCTCCCCTATCTCCCAGCACCAGGCTAATTTCTCTAGTCTACCTTTTATATATCACCAAGTCAAAGCAAGATCCTTGTCACCTTTGGCCATGAGACAAGCACAGACTTTCAAGCTGCTTGCAGCTCTTCTGTCCGCGTCGCAAGTAGCGGGCCACGGACACGTTACAAACATTGTCATCAACGGCGTTTCGTATCGTGGATGGAACATCGACTCCGACCCCTACAACTCCAACCCACCAATTGTGGTTGCGTGGCAGACCCCCAACACTTCGAATGGCTTCGTTGCCCCCAATGACGTTGGCACCGACGATATCATCTGCCACCTGGATGCCAAAAACGCACGGGGGCATGCCGTGATTGCTGCCGGTGACAAAATCTCCTTCCAGTGGACGAGCTGGCCTGAATCTCACTGGGGGCCGGTCATCACATATCTCGCGAACTGTGGCGAGAGCTGCGAGACCGTGGATAAGACGACCCTCGAGTTCTTCAAAATCGATGCGGTTGGTCTGGTCGATGGCTCGAACCCACCTGGCTTCTGGGGTGATGACCAGTTGATTGAGAACAATAACTCATGGATGGTGGAGATCCCCAAGAGCATTGCACCTGGTTACTATGTCATCCGCCACGAGCTGATTGCGCTGCACGCAGCCGGATCACCGAACGGCGCTCAGCTGTACCCGCAGTGCTTCAACCTCCAGATCACCGGATCTGGAACCGCCAAACCATCCGGTGTCAAGGGCACCAAGCTCTACACCCCCACCGACCCTGGTATTCTCGTCAACATCTACAGCTCGCTGGACTACATTATCCCCGGACCCACCCTGATCCCTGATGCGGTCTCGCTCGTCCAGTCCACCTCCGCCATTACAGCGTCGGGAACACCCATCACCGGCTCTGGAAGCGTTCCACCTGCTACCGATGGACCCTCTACCACCAAGGCCACTCCGACCTCCTCGACCACCCTGTCCACGACCACCAAGGCTACAATCACCCAGGCGCCAACTTCCTCGACCACGAGCGCCGGCTCGACCGCGACCCAGACAGCCTATGGCCAATGCGGTGGTAGTGGCTGGACAGGTCCCACTGCTTGCGGATCCGGAGCTACTTGCACTTCTTACAGCGAATGGTACTCTCAGTGCATTCCTAAGAGCGGTTAGATCTTGGATGCAAATGTCATGATGGAATGGCATTTATATGGAAAGTAAGTTACGGGTCATTGCATGTGGATGGTGACTAGTAGCTCGAGTTGAATGAAACAATTGATGCTACTTTATTCAGTACCAGCATCTCTCCTATTCCGTAGATTCTTGGATCTTGCAATATTCTTTTGGAGGAGAAATGATGGAGTCCTCCGGGTGTATGAGGTATATCATCATAGCCTTGCGTCGAGCAGCCAGCGATCGACACAACCATGGACACGAAACTCTTATAAACTGAAAAGCGCTTCATAAAGTATGACCATTCCCATTATCCAGCTGTGCCCCGTTACGCTCCTCGGTCAACAATCCTTTCCCAGACTTTCGTCCCAAAATCCCTCGATCTAGATAATTCTCCTTCAGCCACTCAATGGTTTTCCCATCCAGCCCCCTCTCCTCCACATAATGCTTCTCAATGTTATAGACCGTGTCCAGTCCCACCCGATCTATCATCTCACACGGTCCAGCCTGAGCTTGGAACCAACCCTTGAACAAGTCATCAATCTCCTCCGCCGAGGCAACCCCTTCTTCCATGACAAGTAGCGCCTCCCGCTTGATAGCCGCCCAGATCCGGTTGAAAATCAACCCCGTCGACTCCACCTTCGCATGAACCGGCACAAACCCCGCCGCAGCCGCCTGCTCCAGCAGAAACGAGATAATCGCGGGATCCGTGAACCCACACGTCATGATCTCGAGATGATTCTGCTCCGGCGGCATGTAGTAGTGCGCGTTGCACACGCGAGCCCGCCGCGCCACCTTCTCCAGCATCTCGCGGGACTTGTACGACGAGGAGTTGGTGGCGAGAATGCAGTCCGCGGGCGCGAGCTGGTCCAGTTGGCCGAATAGCTCGATCTTGAGCGGGAGGAGCTCCGGGATGGCCTCGATAACCATCCAGGCGTTCTGGACGGCAGTCTCGAGCGAGCTGGCGGGGCTTACGTGTCCGATTCCGTGTCCTGCCTTCTTGCCCAGGAGCAGCTTGCTGGCTTGTTGCGGCAGGGCTTCGTGGATGTATTTGAGGGCGGCGACGGCCACCTCGGGGCTTTTCTCGTATAGTTGCACGGTGTGTCCTGCTGCGGCCCACATCATGCATAGTCGACGGCCGAGGACTCCGCCGCCTATGACGGCCACTGGCCGGGTGGTGGTATCAGGCTCGATCCAGGAGGTTGAGATCATGGTGTATAGGGTTTGGGGGGGAAGTTTATACTATCAGAGGAAGAAAAGAGAGAATACATGATGTCCAAGAGTGAGCCTCGGCGGAATTATATGGAGGTCGCTATAAGTACACCGTCAACATCTGGCGATGGCAAGAGGCAGACCCCACGGCCAATTGCTCAATTTGCCTGTTTGGGAAACCCCACAGCGCCATCCCCCGTTCCCCCACATGGCTACCCCAATTCCACGTGATAATGACTATTCCGGGCTATGATTGGTCTGTTCTCTGCTCTTGTCTGGCACACTTGGGGCTGGTGGGGTATCGGCATTAAAGGCCCGTTCGGCCCCTGTTTTGCCTCTTTGGGGTTTCTGCGATTCTTTCCACTCCCACGTTCCCAATTGTTATCCTCATCTCTCAGACTCTCAGCCATCCCCCGGTCCGCCATGAGTGATGGCAACCCCATCGGGGGCTTATCTGCCCACACGACCCTCGTCCGTCCTTGAGCCCATCCCCCATTACCCCAGCAATGTTGTTCCAGAAGAGCGGGTCACGTTACGCATGACCATTCTGCTATCCAATGGTCGGTTTGTCCTCACCTGCGATCCACTGAATCTATGCAAAAGTGCAGCTACGGTTGATGGGATCTAAGCTGATTTGACTGACACAAGGGGTCCGCGTCGACCACCAATTCACCTTCCCCGCCATGAATATCGCAAACTGCATCATCCACGGCGAAGGCGAAATGTACTCGGTGGAAATCACCCACCGCTGCTCCTGCCGGCGGCTCCTGCACGAGGAGCTCGTCCGCATGCTCCCCGGGTTCCTGCGTGAGAACGATGTCTATTGGTTCCGCACCCGCAACCCGGAGACAAACATCCACCATACCTGCCTATTCGACGGCGCAGAGCTGGAGATGCAGCTCGTGACCTCGCATGTCCCCGAGTGCGGCTTCTGTTTCGCGCGTAGAGCGTTTATTGCTGAGCGGGATGCCTTTGATCGGCAGCAGATGTCCAACAAGGGTTCGTCCTCGTCGCCGCGGGACCAGAGTCTGAGTCCCGGGTGGACGTTCCGTGAGCCCTCGGATACGGAGCGGTTGCGTGTGAATCGCCATGGCTGGGAGATTATGTTTGTGCTCCATCCTGATGCGAGAGATGGTGCGGTGACTGTCTCAAGGCTGAAGATGGAGTTGTGTCGGATTCTTTCGATCGCGGACCCGAGGCGCATTATACTAACCAGTGGGCCGTTCGTTTGGGGCGTGGAGTTCCAGGAGGATGGCAAGGATTACTATAGCACGTATTTTGTACATGATTTGATTGTTGAGTCGCGCAGTATGAAGACGCCGAGGGGTAGTGCGCTGCTGTACGTACTGGAGGCAGACTCAATGGGAAGACCGCTCTAGATTTTTTTTTTCTTCTCCTATGAATTTCAAAGCTCAAAGATAACCCCTTTTGAGTGAAATGTAAAACTACTTTGCAGTGATTGATGTTTCTTTGAACCCCCACAGCCTGCCAGCAATCGTGCGGGATGCGATCAGACCCTGAACGTCAAGACTGACTTCCTGCTGTCTCGTCCTTGGCAAATCCCCCACAGTCAAAGACAAAACTGGGGTTAAAAATCAAGACATCTCTTAACCCATGGATCTAGATCCTAGATGGTGAATGTCCTCCCCCCCAACTCCAACCCCATCGGTATGTCGACTATTCCCGAGAACAACTCCCGCCCCCATCGATGTGTTTATTGCGGCCTCAGCTTCAAGCGATCTGAGCATCTGAAGCGCCACGTAAGGAGACGTGCGTCCTGCGCTCCATCCGAGCTATTTTTCAATAAAAATTGCCGCGCTAAAGATGTTTCTCTAGACACGAAAGAACGGCCATTTCGATGCCGAATATGCGGCGAGAGTTTCTCCCGCAAGGAACTGCACGATCGGCACCACCGCACCCGCCACGGTGCAACCTCCAGCATCCCCTTGCCGGAAATCGTGGAGACGGAGCCGCCGTCGAGTTCGACCGCCGCTCGATCAAGCCAGTACCTGGCAGACTCAGCGCAGGCTGCTACTCCGCAGGACAGCTCGCCGAGCCAGCCGCACCCGCAGCAACAGTACCTTCCTTCTGTCGAGGGGCCTGCAGGATCGACCCTCCAGGCTCCGCTGACTGGTGAGACCCCGCGACTTGAACCCGTGTATCTGACAGGACACCCCGGAAGTCCTGCATTCCAGGAGCATGCATACCCGGTCCTGACCGATCGGCACCGGGATTCTCGGCTCCAGACGCCATTGGGAAGCGAGACTCCCCCGTGGTTGAAATTACCCAGCGGGCTGGAGTTTGCCTCGTTGCTCTCGGCGTTGAATCGGTCTCCGCTGTCGACCAGTCTTCCGACTCCGTTGCGGTTGTGCACGCCGCAGAGCGAGGCGCTCTTCGAACAGGACCGGAATGAAGCGGCGCGGTTGGGTATCGAGAAGGCGCTCGAGGGGCTGAGGGTTTGGTCTGCGTGCAAATGATGTTGTGACGGTGCTGATTTCGACCAGAGTGTCAATATCGTGGGCGGGGAGGAAAAGTCCCGCCGTTTTGAGATCCCTGACATGGAATCCCTTTATCGGTACTGGCATATGTTCTTCGAGATACCACATAAGAACCTCCCGTTTGCTCATCCGCGATCAGAGAATTATCAAATACCAGGTGTTATTTCCTACTTAGTCTGTTGTTTGAACTCTGCTAATCGTCAATAGCAATTGCCATTGGGGTGCTCGCCGATGGGGCTATGTACTGTGATGAACCCGAGATTGGCCAGATGTTGTTTGAGGCTTCGCGCCGGATGGTGGCTCATCATGTAGGTATACTAGATCTTCTTTGATACTCTTATTCTGTTCAATTCAAGCTGACCTAGCAGATGAACACGCTCTACACTCGCGAAAACAAAACAATCCCCATCTGGATCTTCACCACCCTTCTGCTCAATTGCGTCTTTGGGCTGCCAGGAGGCAAGTCAAGCGAGAGCGACATCACCCTCGGCAGCCTCGACAGCTTGATCAATCTCGCCCGGGTCATTGAGTCAGGTCCCGCCATGGACCTTGTCGACCAGGCTTGCACCATGGAGGAAAAGTGGCAGAGCTACATAGAAGGAGAATCCCATCGCAGGTCCGTCGTCCTGCGTCAACCGGCCGAAGCATCATTAACACCTACAGGTCGATTCTGTGCTTCATCGTCGTGAGCGGTTTATGGTCGGTCGCATACGAGCCGATCGTGAACGTGCTAGACTTCCCCTTCAGCCTCATCGAGTTCCCATGGTCCGAGACCCTCTGGAACGCACGCTCCGCCGTCCAATGGCACGTACTCTACCAAGATCCGCAGAGCCGGTCGCCCGGCAGCTGGTCAGAGAACGTGGAAGCGCTCCTATTCGGCAAGCCGCGGCCGCTCAACGGGCTCGCTTCGCTCTGCCTCGTGGTCGGGCTGCTCCTCTACATCGACGGCCTCCGCCGCGAAGCCGTCCTCGACATCGTCGAGATCAACTCGTATCTGCAGCATGCGCTGGACAAGTGGTTCATCATGCACGACCGCACGAGCCTGGAAAACCTGGCGATCAACCACCTGTGCTACCCGGCAGCGTACTACCTACGCATCTCGCTGGTTCTGGATGTCCGGCAGACGATGGATCTGATGCGCAGTATGCAGTTCGCGGCGATGCGGAAAGTGCTGCAGGAGGGCGATTTAATCCAGGCGGCTGCATTTGCGCGAGCTGCCATGGTCCCGTGGGCGATTAGTCGTCGCAATCAGACGTCGATGGTTGCCATGCCTTGTGGTATGTGCTCGCCCTCTGTTTTTTTTTTTTTTTTCTTTTCTTTTATTCTCTTTCACGAGGTTGTACTGACTTTCTAGGCGTGGTTATCACGGAGTGGGCCATCAATGTGCTGAGCACTCAGCCCGAGGATTCGCCTCAGCGAGAAGCGCTGAGGGCGTTTGAGAACTCTATCCGGGAGTACTGGCCTGTCGTGCCGTTTGCATCTGCTGTGGATGTCTGGCGGGCAGTCCGGAGAATCATTGCCAATGGACCAGGTTTGTGATTTCTTCAACTCTCGTTTTGTAACTCAGTGCTGACAATGACAGTCACAACGGCTTTGGCGAGGAGTATGGATGCATATGAGATGTACTTAACACTTCCGTAGAATCTATTGTTAGAGATGAATTGTGCCTCGGATGTCATTCCCCGTATCTGGGTGTAACCCTCTCCGTAAGCCAGACCTGGGAGACTCGAGACTCGTAAGCACAAAATGCGGTGACTGGGGACTGGGGACTGAGACTGGGGACTAGCGGCACGGTCTGACTCTAGACTCTAGAGAACTTGTAGTCGTGTCAATCACCGCATCCAGTATCCAGTATCCACCCAATCCACCCTCCCCGCATCATGCCACGTTGGATCGATTGGAAATCGTGGGGAACCCCAGAGAGTTCCCTATCAGGATCCTGGGTTTTAGACTTTCCACAAATGCCAGGAAACCAGCGACGCCACGGCAGTTAAGTAGTCTTATCCTTCCTTGCCCAAGCAGTTCAAGAACAAAGACCAAATCCGATGAGCCGCGGAATGTCCCCGCCCCGCGTCCAGCCACTGCGGGATACCCCATAGTCTGGGGTAAAGGGTTGGGGTAAAAGCGATCAAGGGATCAACATGGGGAAAAGCACAAAAGAAAAGGATGACGGACGGATGGTGTAGTGTTAGTGACTATATAAGTATCGTGTAGATCTCATCATCTAGATTTCAAACTCCAGAGTCCAGGGAGAACCCACCTATTCTCCGGTATCTGCCTTGTTCTACTAGACCACAATGTACAACACCACGGACACTGACGGCGAGAAACCCAGCGCAATGGGCGTCGAGCACGTCGTCGAGAGTCCCTTGGGCTCCGGCTCAGTCAGTGAAAAACAATACCACGATGCAGAACAACCGCCCAATTTCACGCCCGAGGAGGAGAAACGTGTGCTCCGCAAGATGGATCTGCGGCTGATTCCCATGCTGTCGGTGCTGTATCTGCTTGCGTTCTTGGACCGAGGAAATATCGGCAACGCCAAGATTGAGGGGCTGGTTGATGATCTTGGACTGACGTCGCAGGAGTATAGCTGGTGTTGTATGTTCCTCTATTTCCCAGAAATTGCGAGTTGAAACGCTGACCGAACGGACGACAGTGACCGTGTTCTTCTTCACATACTGTGCTTTCGAGCTGCCGAGTAACCTGCTGCTGAAGCGGCTGCGGCCTTCAAGATGGTTGCCACTGCTGATGCTTGCGTGGGGCATTGTCATGGTACATATCTATTTTGCCAGTTTTTTTTTCAGGTCAAATGGGAGAAGCTGACAGTGTAGATAGACACTGATGGGTGTTGTGCACAACTACGCCGGCCTTTTGTCGACGCGTATCTTCCTCGGTGTCGCTGGTGCGTCTGCTCTAATGCGGGAGATAATGCTCATGCTAATCGACCGTCTTCACTTCAGAGGCTGGTTTGTACCCCGGCACTGCCTACTACATCACCATGTGGTATCCCCGCGAGCGGGCCCAGTATCGCCAGGCTCTCTTTTTCAGCTCCGCCAGTATTGCGGGCGCCTTCTCTGGTATTCTGGCCTATGCGATCGGCGTATGTGACTACTCCAAGGCATGCCTTTGAGATACAGAACCTAATGCGTGTTTAATAGAAAATGGACGGCGTGGGCGGCTACGCCGGTTGGCGCTGGATTTTTATCCTCGAGGGCCTTCTCACTGTTCTCGTTGCCTTTGTCGCCCCCTTCGCTATCCATGACTTTCCCGAGACCGCCACCTTCTTGACCGAGGAAGAACGCAGATGGGTGATCCACAAGCTGCGCAGTCAGTCTGGACGCGACACCACCGCCGACGGAACGGCCCACGAGGAAAGCCGCTTCCGGATGCAATATGTGATTGACGCATTGAAGGATTGGCAGATATACGTGGCCTTGTTCAGTAAGTTTCGTTTGGTTCCTCTCAACACCCTGGCAGTTTGATGCTAACTGCACAGTGTACTGGGGTATCACGACCCCCCTCTACGGCATCTCCTACTTCCTCCCCTCCATCATCAAAGATTTGGGCTATACCTCGTCGACGGCGCAGTTGCTTACTGTGCCCATCTACATCGCGGCTGCAATTGTCGCTGTTGGTGCGGCCTGGCTGTCTGATCGCCGCCAGCAGCGGTCTCCATTCATCCTCTTCTTCATGTCACTGATCGCCATTGGCTTTATCATTGTGCTCGCGTCAACTGGTCGAGGAGTACCCGGAGTTGTTTACTTTGGTGTCTTCATCGCTGTTGTCGGTAAGTCAAGCTCTGGTCATCGCAAAATGGCCACGGACTAGGATTCTGACGGAAATAGGTATCTACCCTGCCTTCCCTGGCAACGTCACCTGGCTCAGCGTCAATCTCGCCGGCGATTACAAGCGTGCAGCTGGAATGGCCATCCACATTGGTCTGGGCAACATGGCTGGCGGTATGTCTCTCTCTCTCTGTTTCCCTTCTTTCCCCTCCTTTGTTGGCCTTTTAGCTAATCGTTGTAGCCATGGCGTCAAACTTCTATCGCGCACGAGACGCACCAAAGTATACTCTGGGCCACTCGCTGGAACTGGGTTTCGCCGTTGTCGGTATCATTGCGGTGCTGATTCTGCGTATGTCGTATCAGAAGATCAACAAAAAGCGCGAGCAGATGGATGTTTCGCAATATGATCCCATTCAGTTGGCGAGGATGGGTGATCGGTCTCCGCTGTTCAGGTATATGCTCTGAGTGCAGCCTGGCTCTTTGTCAAGGGAAGAGGATGGTTACATGATACGGAGACAAGGATCTATTGAATTTAGCATGTCATAAATACATTCATAACAAGTTGAGATGAGATTTTGAAGAGTATCGAAGGGTAGTTATGGACTGGTCAGAAGGGGAAAGGAGCCGAGTCCGGGCTAAGCGAGATAGATGACTTCTGAAGTCCTCGCGTTAATTGGCTGGATTGTTCTTTTGGATCGGCTTCAGGCAGACTATCTTTCTACAGAGCAAGTAGTAGTGTGCGCTTGGCTGCGGTAAAGCATTTTTGAACGGTGCTGTGTGCTCTTGGGGAAATATGACGCTCGATATCAGACAGGATGGGTTTGAACAGATCATTTGACAGGAAAGGTTTTGTATAGAAGAACCTTCATTTTCAAAAAGGACTAATCCGCCGGCCGTGGATATATATAATTTCCTTGTTCTCCTAACATCTCATATTCAGCATCAACCAAGAATTCCAAAAGGGAAAAAAGATCCTAGAGAAGCGGGTACCTGGACTCAAAATAAGGATAGTATGAGGTCAACCTGCATTCCATGACCATCTGATGATCTGATCAACAAGAATGTAGAGCAACAAACCAATAGATGTCCTCTGAGGGCTCCATCACCTTGCGGCAAAGAATTATAATGCCAAATATGGATGGCTCTAATAAGAAGTCCTCGATGGTCTAACGGTCATGATTTCCGCTTGTCACTCTAATGAGAACGAGCGCGGGAGACCAGGGTTCGACTCCCTGTCGGGGAGATTTCTTTTTTCTTTTTCCTTGACAAACAAGAAGGAACCATGGATGAGAGAGAATGTTTTTGTTGCTTCCATAATAAAAGGAAGGCATTTGCATTGCTCACAACAGCTATATGTACAATCTTTGAACCTGGATATATATATCTCTACCGCAAATCTACAAGTAAACTGCATCCCACACTTCTGACAGTTTCCCATCCCATGTTGTAAAATCATCCACACGCACCATACTATACCCTGAATCCCCCAACTGACGTCCGTTCCTGCTCTCCCATCGTCTCGCAGCGGTCGAAAAGTCGTCAAACCAACTATCTTGGATGCCGATTTCCAGTTTTTCCCATGATCGCGAGGCTGCCAGCTCCGACCAGGGGCGGAACCATGCCTCTTCCAATTCCCGCGGTACCGTTCCGGCCCGCGGAGTGCAGCTTTTGTTGAGGATGTGGATGACCAAGCGTAAACGTCGAAGGCCAATGTATGATAATCGCAAGGTCCGGAAGATAGTCGGGTAGGTCTCCCACTCAACCTCGGTCATTGTCGACGGAGTGGTGGCCTTTGCAACATGCAGCACATCCAGCGACGTCAGGCGCGACAAATGCGACGGCGCAATCAATTTCGGCAGTCGACAGAGTTTGACCGATGAAGAGATTAAGAAGGTGTTGGTGCTGTATAGAGGGGGAAGCGCTTCTTCGTATCTGAGAACGACAGTCAGCACAGTCTCCATTACCATCATCGTTGCTCAAGTCACTCACCCTTTTCGACACACTCGCAGCCAAGATACCCCTTTTAGCTTATGTCGTGATAGCTCCCGTCGCCCGATTCGCTTCGGGTCCTCGAGGTCGTTCGTCCGACACAAATCCCCCGGGTTCGGGTTCTCCCCCTCGTCGCAGACCCGATGCCACCATCGCCATTGGTCGGGTGGTCTCTTGTCTCGCTGACGATAGCCCGGCGCATATCCAAAATCATATTCCACATGAACCGATCGGCCGCCAAATAACTCGATATAGATCCGCTGGCGGATCTCTTGAGGTAATCGTGAGAAGAATAGACTCTGATTTTGGGGAAGCGTTTTGTTGCTCTCCTCCAAGTCGAAATAATTGCTATTCGAGGTGTTGATCGCCGTGAGGGTATTGCTCCTGCTTCTGATCGAGACCAGCTCTTGATCGGGAGGCGTCAACGGCCTTCGCGGCGGGGGTAGCGGCATCGCCTTGAAGTCGCGGCTGTTGCCATTCTGTCTGCAGGTTTCATGGTAGATTCCCACCCGGGCCAAAACGACTCGGGGGTCTGATAGCGGAGGGTCGTCTTCGAATTGTTCTTTCTGGCGATCTTTCCCTCTATCCTTCTCTCTGGACCTATCCTTATCCTTATCCTTCGAACGAAGACGATAAAAGAATTGAAAGCCCATTGTGGAGGTGAAAGTGGAGGAGGAAGAAAAGGGTGGTCTGATGTGTTTGTGGACGAACAGGCGTTGGATGCTTGGAAGACGGGGGAAGGCAGGAAAGTTTCACGGAGGAAATTAAGGGCTTAATCGGACATACTGGAGCAACATGATGGCTGCGCTTGTTCGACTATCTGGTAGGAAATCGAACTATTATCGTCGAAGGATCAGGCAATATCGGGGGGATTCTGATCGGGAAACACACAAAAATGCATGGTTTCTGAGTCTCTGACAGATATTGGGCTGCTTACTGGATCCACAGTCGACTAAATCATCTTCACTCGGCAAGGTGTGATGTGAGATATCTGGATCAACAGGGGCAGAGTCTGGCTGTGGAGCCGGCCAAACTGACACCAAAAGAAATAAATAGGTAGTGACTAGTGAGGCTAGGAAGTCCATCCGAGAGACGAATCAGTCCATTGCTGGGACAATGGACTATGGAGCCTTCATGACAAACCCCGTCTGCTGCTCGTTCACAGGGCCGATAGCGAAAACTTTGCACGTGGCGTTGGTCTGTTCTGATTCTGAACTGAAACGGATCATCTTTATCTTCCGTTCTGTCAGTATGCAGTTATTTTGATTTTGATTTTTGATTTTTACCATGTAATGATTACTATGGAGTAGTTAGTCCTAGATCATCATGGCGGTAAAGGGCTGAAGATACTAAACCGAAGCTACTACTCCCTAGTCCCTAGTCCCAGCACTTCTGATGGCCCAGTTAGTTGAAGGTTCACAAGTCACAACAGCCGAGCCGAGCCCATCTATCGGACCGAAGAACCATCATTTATGCATTATTATGAAAGATTGAACATCAGCACGATCTATAGACTCTGGAGTCTGGAGGTTGCTGATCAACAAAATGATGTCATTTCTCGTATTCTAGAGTTCTAGCAGTCAGTCCAGAGCGTTGACTGTTGACAGGTCGTATTCTTGGGATAGTATCAATTTTACTGAGAAAATCATCATCGTTGGCATCCGTGTTTTTCCCCGCGAGTATCCCTGAAGATACCACCAGTGTCCCACTCGTTTCCAATAGACAGCCATTGATTTTCAGACAGCGAGCGAGGTTGGAAAGAGAATCACCGTGTGTCATTCTTAGGAGTTTAGAGAACTCAAAAAGCCCCTCCATCAATTGTCACTTCTTGGCCTTTGCTATTGCCTCTCACATAGATTCTCTTCGGGCTGAATATGGCTGGTTATGAAGCAGTTATGAACATTACAGAGTTCAAACTCCAAATAATACTTACTCTCACTTGTCTAGGAAATCATGAAATGATCATTTGAACGAAAGTCGGAGACAGGCCGTCTGTTGGAAAGATATACAATTGAGTATAAAGGGAATTCACAAGATGATGCATAACACAAAGGACAATGCATATCTGAGAGCTTTAGATCAGTATATCACAAAAAAAAAGAAAATCTCCTTTCTCCTTGCTTTAGGCATTCCGACTATCTTCTTCAACTCATATGCCATCGTTCTTCATTATTCACTGACTCTAGCCAACTTCTCACATAGATTCAGATCATGCGAGACCGCTGCCAGTATCAATGAGTCGTGCGTGACGACATGTATAGCAGGCAGAAACCGCCTTTCACCACGAGCATATGAGTACACTTTTTGGTGGATCTTCTTGGAATTCTATCCTGAACACTTTCACCAGATCTTATTTCTGATAGATTATACAATGATGATTACTGCGATTCGTTCACTCGCTGGTCGACTCAACAGAGCACGCACAGGGAACAACAAAGCTGGGCCTGCAGAGGTCATCCGGAATTTGAACGAGATCTACTGCCTCATCGAGAATTATGAAAGCGCCCATCTTGACGCGGATTCCCTGAGCGCAATGAGGATAAATTGTGAAGACTTGATTCTGGCAAGCGATGGAAGCTACGTGAACTCAGGCCATCCAGTCTTCTTCCAACCTCTGCCACTCGCTCGACTTCCTCCCCCGCATCCCAACGATACTCTTACTCAGAGGGAACTGGCGGTGTGGACTCGATGCTTTGACGGGGTCTCTCTGTACGAAAGAACCCCCAGAGACAGCGCGGAGTTTCTATCTGCAGTGATGCAGTGGCACTTTACGGCCTTTCGGCGTGATGTCCCCGGTACCAAGCGCTTAAGACCTAGCTTGATGGAAATGACTCGGTGGTTCCCGGTGTACGTAAGAGACCACTCCTCCTAGAAACTCAACTAGCTAATGCATGGACTTCTAGTGACTTTTACCCGTATATCTTCAAGGATGAGTTCACTGAATTGATCTTCAATTCCTTGATATGGGCGCCCGGGGACGCCTGGACGACAGGATCGGGCCTATCCCACGCCATGTTCACGCTTGTCATAGGCCAGGAGCCGGATGAGAGGCTGCTGCGAGCGGAGGCATTAGCGATTATAGCGGCGATAATTACGAGGCTAAGCGACCCAGCATACAAGAGGCAATGCGTTGTCCCTGTAGGTCAAACTATGTTTGGGTCTATAACCGTGCTACTTGCCGTTGTTCCTGACACAGAGACTTATCAATATCGTTTGTATAGGTCATGGTCTTCTCGCTACTTGGTGACAGAAAAGCCAGAATTCTACAAGCTTACAATAACTCAGAAGGGATTATGATCCGGAAGAGCAGCACCTATAGTTTTTCTTCCCCTGTAGAAGCCAAGAGAAACGTGGATCTTTTTATGCAGTTCATGGCTAGCGAGCCAGTTGGCGACACCTTTCATCTGCAGTCTTCCTCCGGAGTAAGTTGTACTCCATGAGCCGTCTTCCGTTACTTGGATGCAGATTATTGACAACATTGCGCAGCCAAACTCATCACCGACGAGCCTAGAGCCCAGCGGTATCGCGGCGTCAGATGAATATAGTGCAGATCAAGTACCATCAGCCAGACGGCCTCTATCGCATTTCGAGAATGTGAAATGGGGAAAGATGTTGAGCTCAATCGGCAGCCGCGCACAATTAATCTTTGCAGGGCGTGCTAATCGTCAGGCTGCGGCATCCACTGAACTTCCTCATATACCTCCCTTTGCCTTTGAAGTCTCTCCAGAGACTCCTTTTCTCGAAATGGGACTCATTTGCAGTGGTGAAAGATAGCGACGAATCAACAGCCTTTGGTTGCAAAGAGTCAGGTGGGCATTCTATCGTGTTACAGCGAGCATGATCCAGCGCAACTGTACCGTTATCATTGTTCATTCGCCCGAAGTTGTTCTACGGCAGTGGGAAGAGACATATAATGACAGATAAATTTGTGGCCACAGGACTTCTTGTTATTCTTTATGAATGTAATTAATATGTACTAGAGGATGTGAAGGCATGGCAGATATTATATACAGCAAGTCAAATCACACAGGTAGCTCATACCTCTGCGCTTCGTCCCCAGGCGCCTCATGCAAGTTTCCCACTCCGTGCTTACATTCGACTTCATGATGGGCGACTGAGGCATCAGCTGTGTATATATCGTTTGGCCCCGGGTGAGATGAAGGTGGTGGCTTGAGTGGCTCTCCTTTTTGTCTCTTCCGGCGACGACGAATGAAACAGCCAATCCCCCGAGGCATGCTAGAAATAGAAAAGCAGCACTCCCGATTACAATTCCCACGATAGCTCCTTCACTGACTTCGGTAAGCCGAATCTTCACCATCGTCTGTGGTTGATGGAGATACTGTCCATGAAACTGTTGGATATGATGAATCTGTGGTAGTAGGTGCGGTGGTATATATGGGTTGGGACTCTAAGGTTGATATCTGGTCAATTGGTGCCATGGTGAGTACAACTGGAACAGCGAGCTTGCCCTGTCTGACTACTTTCCGTGTCCTTTCTCTTCTATACTCAACTTACACGCTGATATGTGTCTTAGGCTTGGGATCTAGTTGAAAGCGATCATCTTTTTTACGCAAAGAAAGATCATCCCCTCAGTGATGAGCAGCATCTAGCAGAGATGGTGTCACTTATGGGGCGGCCTACTCAAGGTTTTCTCAAACGAAGTGAGAAATATTGTCAATTCTGGGACTTACAAGGTGCCCATCCTTCCCTCCTGGGCTTTGGTAGTCCTGACCATGTTATAGGGAATTGGAAGGGTTCTTTGCCCATACCAAAGCAGACATTATCCATGAGGGAGCAAGAGTTTTCTGGAGAATTCTTTTTCTAAATTGTTTGCAAAAATTTCTCCGTTGGGTTACCGGATGGACGGCCCATAGCTGAGGAACTTGCATATAATGACTTCTTAATGCAGCCAGTGCTAAACCCTAGGATCGGGCCATAATTACCTTGACCTGGATTGAGGGTTGATCGCCTCTTACTCATGATGTTTCAGATTGCTTCGATTCTGGGAAAGCTGCCTTAGTCACAGGTTGCAGGGTTGCTGTGGTGTTAATTTTCAGATTCTTGCTCTGTTACCCAACGACGCAGGGAATAGAAACACACACACCTGGCAGAGTGGAACGAGACATTCTCCATGATCAGCCTTTCGTTTGAACGCCTTTCAACTCTTTCTATTCAAATTGATCTCCAATATCCCCAACTGAGCCTGAAAGACAATTTCTGGGATGGCGGGCTTCTTGAGCTAGATCGGCTGGGATTGCAAGGCATCCACCTTGCCATTTGGAAGGGCGATGCATTGCATAAACCATTCTTCACATGCTCAGCCGAAATAGTAGAATCACATCGAGCTGTCTTAGTGAGTTTCTTTCCGGGAAGAATGTTTGGTGACGATCCGTGTCGCTCTGAGGATCTCCTCATCAGGCTTTCATTTTGCTCGTGATACCTTGCGCCAACAGAAGCGCCGTAGCACTGGTTCGCAGGATGAGGAACATATTTTCTTCCGCTATTCCCCCAACCAGTTTCCGTTGTACGTTTGGAACCTCATACACATGGTCCCACGCAGTCGCCGGACTCACGCAGAAATCCGGTGGGAGGACAGGAATCATCAGAAGAAATCGTATCACTATGCATACGGCAACAGTGATGGATAATAGCGTCTAGTCTTGGGTTTTTAATTCAGTGATAGCACAAAGGATGATAAAGAGGTAATTGCAGTGGGACTTTCCAGTAGTTATCTACCTTAGAATTAAAGAATCTTCAGCTTGAATATTTTATAATAGTATAAGCATCTAGGCTAAGAAGCCTAAGATAGAGAGCTCTCAGCCTGCTTAACTAGCAGAGCCACTATGGAATATAGATACTTAGAAAATAGCCTTAGGAAGCCTAAAATTCATTTCTACACCGAAAATTTAACTATATTTGCCATCTCCTAGGTTTAAATAGCTTCAAAATCCATCACTTTGTATATATTCTTTTTCTATTCAAGGGGTTAGTCAGCTGTATCATATCCCCCCTAATTTTACTAATAAAATATTACCTTGTCAGAAAAGAAAGTCAAAATGACACGTCATTTTTGACCTTTTGACCTTTTGACATTTTGATTATCACCCCTACTGCTGAAGTGCTGAGAGATAATGGCTTTGACCTTGGGGACTCGGACAGCTGGTTCGTCGACTGGCACCAGGCCAAGAAGAACGTTCCCAAGTTACATATTCCAGTGTGGAAAAAGACTTCCAAGGGAACACCCGGCTGTGGACATGAAAATATGGATATCTGGATATCTGGATATCTAGATAGACTACAGAGTAGACTCCCACGTACGGAGTAGTAGAATTATAGATGGATCAGTCCTGGCTGTATCACGTGAGCACCCTTGGACAACAGAGAATCACATTCTCACCTCCCCCAGAGTCCACTCACTCACTCTCCATGATATGGATTCAACTATCTATCTACGGAACGTGTGACAAGGAACAATTGACAGGATACTGGATAGTCTCCCGTCGATCCGAGAGGCAAAATGCTGTCTTCCCTCTTCACCCTTCCCAGAGTTTTCAGTCCTTCCTCCTTTTCTTTCAGGGGTCTCGAGTCTCGACCATTCTTGTTCGCCTGCGCCGAGGGAAGAGTCGTTGATTGTGGCGTGCCGCCAATAGAATCAACACAGCGGGGCATCATTGAAGGCAAGAGTTCAATTAGTTCCTGTCAACTGAGGCTGTTGGCCCGTTAGTGACTTGTCTAGTTGACTCTAGTCTTCATATGGCATCCAGCACTCTAAATTTCACCCCCCAGAAAAGCATAACAATAACTACTTTCGTGCCCCCCTCTTTCTTTTACTCTTGCTCCAGATCGTCGTGTTCGATTCGAGCAACGCTCCCAAGACATGGCCGTCTCTACAGCCGGCTGAGTTAAAAAATAAAAAAAAAATAAAAATAAAAAAACCCCCCCAACTACCTGAAATATGGTCCCTCACCAGCTCCCTCCATCTGTGGATGAGCGGGAGCGGATCAGAGAGCTGTCGAGGTAAGACTGCAAATCAATAAGTATCCCTCTTATGGTTTATCACCCAATTTTGTTCTTCCGTTCCCGCCGCCGCTTTTTCGGCCTGGTTAAAACTGATCGACCAACGTTTCCGTTGTCGATCATTCATTACCGCAGAAGAAGGGAAAAACGACAATCATCTATATTTGTTCCCAGTCTGACGCATTCTTCCTCCCCAGGTATTACTGTACTATTGGTCGACATCTTCCACCACACCCGACTAATGATCCCCCAACCGATGGTCATCGGCCATTGCCGACAGTTTCGAGCAGTAATGAAAAGATAGGAGTTGCCTTTCTGTCGTCGGATATAACGCTCACAGCTCTGGCACAACTTGGCGTCCATCGACTCACATGCAATCGGTCCTTTGTTTCGATCATCGACGGGGAAAACCAACATATCATCGCGGAGGCGACCGCGTCGATTTCCTTGCGCGATGAAAACCAGCATTTGCCGAACGATGGAATTTACCTGGGCGTGCGCACATTGGATCTGGTCTGGGGTGTCTGCCCTCATGCCATGACTTTGTTCACAGGACAAGATTTCTCCGGGGCGATCGAGACGGACAACATTACCGCCAACCAGACATGTTACATCGTTCGAGACTTCACCAAGGAGGACAACTTTAGGGATAGACCATACGTGGCTCAGTGGCCTCATATGCGCTTCTATGCCGAAGTGCCCTTGTACAGTCCCGCAGGCTACGTCCTTGGTTCATACTGCGTGGTGGATGACAAGGCTCGTGCGGATTTTGGCGATCTGGAGATTGCAGCGCTGAGAGAGGTTGCGGATGCAATTGCACAACACATCGAAAATGTTCGCATAGTGAATTGCCATCGTCGGACAGAGAATCTTGTCAAGGGGTTGACAACTTTTGTAAAGCATCACTCGGACTTTGATCCCACAGAGGTCTCGGCGTCTACCAGTGGCTCGTCACCGGTCATTATTCCAGCAGGCGCAAGCTCGAACGAGAAACCTATCAATGAGCTCGATTTGACCGCAACGGCACCAGCTGTGCCTTCCGGTGGAAAAAGTACTGGTGATACCCGGGGCACGGAACAATCCTCCTTGACAGACTATACTGACCAGACGTCCCCATTATTCCTTGATTCAGAGCCTACGGACACCACATCTTTATACTCAAACAATGCCGACAAAACGCCCGTCGTACAGAGCGGTGAAACAGAGCAAGCAGAGGCACCGATCCCAGAGGAGTCAAATGCTGCTGCTGTCGGCCAAAGGAGACTTCCAATGGTCTCAGTGGCCAATGAGAGTGCGGCTATCTCTGAGCGGGTCGCCAGGATTTTCTCGCGCGCCAGCGTTCTTCTCAGAGACTCGATGGATTTGGATGGTGTGCTCTTCCTCGATGCATGTCGGAGTAATTCGGGAGTGTGAGTATCCCCTTGATTGTGATCAATAATGTATCTAACCTTTGACAGGGTTTCCACTCAGGAATCCGGGAACTGGGAACCGTTGCCCAAGACAGCAAACCCGGAATTTCTCGTTGACCAGTTGCCCAGTCCTCTTGACCTGCCAGGCGTTGGATCTCTCGCTAATGACTCCGAAAGACTATGTGAGCCCTTGGGATACTCATTCAGCTCCCGAGTTGATACAACCTCCGACTCGGATTGCGAACCCAACATCACGGAGGATCTGTTGAACGCCATGATTGCCGCATTTCCTGCTGGTCAGATTATAAACCTTGATGGCGTGGGTCATGATGACTATTTATTACCAAAGATTCAGGCACAAGTCGAAGATCACCCTGCAGGCGAGGCATCTCAGGCTAGTGCTCTGAATAACACGCAGCGCATCTCTATTCGGCTAGCTCAGCGCATTCCAGGCGCAAAGTCTGTGCTCTTTTTCCCGTTGTGGGACTGGAACAAATCGCGCTGGTTAGCCGGGACACTGGTTTGGACGCGGAGCAGTGACCGCGCATTAGGTATGGAGGAGCTGCACTACTTCAAGGCCTTTGGTGATTCCATCATTTCCGAGGTCTCCCGGATAGTCTGGGCGTTCACAGAGAGGTCGAAATCTGATTTTATATCATCTCTCAGCCATGAGCTTCGCTCGCCGTTACATGGGATTTTGGCGAGCGCTGAGCTATTGCATGCCTCTTCCCTTGAACCAACACAGCGAGACATGGCAAAAATGGTTGAGACATGTGGGCTCACTCTATTAGACACGATGAATCATCTGTAAGCCTTTCCCAGCCTCTGTTTGACTTTGCATAGACTTAGCTAATTCGTGGGCAGCTTGGATTTCTCCAAAATCAACAACTTGACGACGTTGAAAGACACCAACTTGACTTCTCAGGCCGATTCTGATCTCACAAACCTTACCACGGTCTTTAGTCTCGATGTCTTAGTGGAGGAAGTTGCAGACATCCTGTATACAGGACGACGTGCGCCTGAGCTGGTCTCACATCTTGCGGGCAGAGGACATCCCGCTACTTCCCAACCAGAACTAAGCGATCAACAGAGTTCTCGTAATGAGATGTCCGTGGTGATACGGATTGAAGAGCTGCATAGTTGGAGGGTCCAGTCGGTTGCCGGTGCATGGAGAAGAATTGTGATGAATCTGCTCGGTAATGCCATGAAATGGACCAAGTCTGGCTTTGTGGAGATATGCTTATCCAAGGCACGGAAGCAAGTCAATTCACAGTCTGTCCTTGCCCACCTGTCTGTTACCGACACAGGTCGTGGTATTGCACCCGACTTCCTCAAGCATCAACTGTTTTCTCCATTCGCTCAGGAAGATTCTTTGTCCGAAGGCGTCGGTCTCGGTCTCAGTATCGTGCGTCAGTTGGTCAAATCTCTAGGGGGCAATATCAACGTACAGAGTGAGCTGGGTATCGGGACTCAGGTGGATGTGTATGTCCCGGTCCGGCTCTTGGAACCCACTGCAAACGATTTTGGGGACGCTTCAATTGTCCTCCAGCCGCCGCCCGCCGCCACTTCGGTACAAATATGCTTGGTCAATTTTCACGGTTATCCATCTTTGAGAGAGGCGCCGACGGGCATTCTGTCAGCAGATGCGAAGCGTAAGCTAGCTATTCAGAGCTCTCTTGCCAAGGTGTTCATGGCGCTGCCTAATTGGCATGTGTGTTTGGCCGAATCTATGGAAAAGGCCCACGGTGATGTTGCTGTCATGGAAGAAACGACCTTCATGGAAGCCCTGGTGGATATTCAGATCCCATCTGAACTGATGGCGAAGACCGGCTTCAAGTTCATTATCGTGCTCAGTGGCAGAACACCCCTCTTTACTGGCGAGGATAAGTTCCGGAATGTTATTTACATCCCTCAACCACTTGGACCTCGGAAAATCGAAGAAGCAGTCAAAATTATTGCGGAACGACTTGACGCAGGTGTACAAGATGAAGCTGCTGTTTCTGTACCTGGCGAAGTCCTCCCCGTCTGTCCTCGTACGCCTGAGAGGAAACTAGTGCGGGCGAACATGTCAGAAAGCCCGCAAGTCACCATATCGGAGGTTACTGTTGATACGGCGTCGAGGGATGCTCCCTGGGGACCTCTCGTCCCTGATACCCCAAAAGGACCTAAAAATGTGCATGTTCTCATTGTGGATGACAATGAAATCAATGTCAAGGTAAGCAAGCCATTGCACCTTATCGTCTGTGGATATTCATCTTAACAATCGTTAGATTCTGGTGACATTCATGCGCAAGATCGGCTGCGGCTGCGACACTGCGTCCAATGGCCTGATTGCATTGGAGAAATACAAGGAGTCCGACCGGAGATACGATTTGGTCTTAATGGGTGAGTAATCTTGTTCTTGCCGTGAAGTGCAGTTAGCTAACTTGTGTTAGACCTATCGATGCCGGTCATGGATGGCTTGGTCGCAACCCGCAAGATCCGTGAGTATGAGAAAGCCGAAGGTCTCATACCGTCACGCATCATGGCCGTCACCGGGGTCGCTTCTGCGTCCATGCAGCAGCAGGCCCTCGCAGCCGGGATTGACGACTATCTGGTCAAACCGGTTTCACTTCACGATCTCAAGAAAATTATGAACTTCGCATGATAACCTGTTTCTTCATCTCTTTATGTTCGGACCTTGGAGTCTATCATGAGGCGTTCTACGGAATGGACGAGTAACAATGTTGTCCGAATTTCGGTTTTTTGGCATTCAACTGGTATCGTCTGAGCAGGGAGTTGGTGGCCGTTATTTCCAGGCTAGTCTTATCTGTACATTCTACGCAAATGGCAACATTGCGATCAATTAGCCTGGTCTTCTAAACTGGGAATGCCAGTTTCGATTGATCCTACGGTCCTTCTGGCCGAGATTAGGGCTTCAACAGTAGACAATGTAGGCCAAGCAGCTGGTTCAGTGCGCTAACCAACAGTGTATAAGAGCGCGGTGATTGATCAAATCCCTTCAGACAACCGTCTTCCACGCTAATCCTCCCTTACATATAGACTCTTTACCGATTGGCTCAGACTTCACGAAAGGGTTACACGGTGAGGGCGGGGGGGGCATTCTTAAACATGGCAGTTGAATGCTCTTTTCCCACTCGGCGCATCTTTAAGAGAGAAAAATGTCCCATTTCCATCTCGCCGTCATCGCAGCCGGCAGCCTGTCGGCGCTGCTGCTCCTGTTCTACAAGCTCCTTCTCTCCCCTTACTTCCTCTCGCCTCTATCCAAGATCCCCAACGCGCACTTCACAGCGCCCATCTCAAGCGCCTGGATCAACCGCAAGCGACGACACGGACAGGAAGTCCTCGCCATCTACACCCTCCACCGCAAGCATGGCCCCATCGTGCGACTCGGCCCGCGCGAGCTGAGCGTCAACTCGCTCGCCGGACTGCGCACGATCTACACCGGCGCGTTCGAGAAACACGCCTTCTACCGCGATGCGTTTGTGAATTTCTTCACGGAGAATCTGGTTGGTATGCTGGGGAACCGCGCGCATGCGCGCCAGAAGCGCATGCTCAGCAAGATCTACTCGAAATCGTATCTTCAGGATTTGGGCGACTTGCGTGGCCTCGCGGCCGTGGTGCTGGCGCGGAGGCTGCTGCCTGTGCTGCGCGGGTGCGCGGTGACGCGTGCCGCGGTGAATGTGTTGCCTTTGTTCCAGGCTGTGGGGATGGATTTTACTTCGGCGTATCTGTTTGGGACGGCGAATGGGACGGTGTATGTGTCTGATCTGTCGGCGTGGGGGAAGTGGCTGGCGGAGTATGAGAGGTTTAAGAACGCCACTCTGAGGGAACGGTATATGGGATTCATTGAGACTTGGTGTCTGGCGATGTGTCGCAGGATGCAGCGTAATGACCATCCCAACGATGTGCCAGTGGCCACGCGTGGAGTCGTATATGAGCAGCTCCGCAGTTCGCTGGAGAAGGACCCGGATGCTCGGCCGCTGGAGCTGGCCGTCGCGTCGGAGCTGCTGGATCATCTCGTGGCTGGACATGAGACCAGTGGGATCACCTTTACGTATATGATGTGGGAGCTTTCGCAGCGGCCGCGGCTGCAGGCGGAGCTGCGTCGGGAACTGCTGACGCTGACGCCTTCATTGCAGGATCCGCTCGTTGCTACGAGCGAGGGGCCTGTGCCAGCCTTGCCATCCCCGGCGTTTATAGATGCATTGCCGTTGCTGGATGCTGTCGTCAGAGAAACCCTCCGTTTGCACTCCCCTGCTCCTGCTCCCCTGCCGAGGGTCACGCCATGCTGTCCGGGAGGCACAACGATCGAAGGGTACCCCCACATCCCTGGTGGCATCAAGGTGAGCTCGTCTGCATATACTCTGCACCGCATCGGCGAGGTGTATCCCCAGCCGCTGGAGTGGTTACCCAAACGATGGCTGAGTCCAGGACCTGGTAAGATCCACGACATGCGCAGGCTGTTCTGGCCGTTCGGAAGTGGAGGGAGGATGTGTCTGGGTAGTAACTTTGCCTTGCAGGGTATGTTTGTTCCTTTCGTCCCCTGCTCATCAGTCGTGTGTTCGATACTCATTCCATCGATCGCGCAGAGATCAAGCTGGTCATGGCTGCGGTCTACACCAACTATAGTACCTCGATTGTGGATGATGAGGGCATTGAGCAGGATCACGCTTTCATCTCGTTGCCGAAGGGTCGTAAGCTGATGCTGAAGTTCACTCCTGTTGAAATTCGAGTGGAGTAGTTGATGATGCTCTCTACTTTTACAAACCAAGGTGTGACTGTGTTTGTTGCTGAACAGGGGTATGTTCTCGATCTTGGAAGAACACAGGATGGTGTGACCTTTGGCTTGTTTACGTATACCTTCTAGGCTTCAAGTTGATGAAAGCAGATAACTCAATCCCAGCTGTGTGTATGGTGGAGTGCTTTTTTTGGCACACCAAGGTGTAGAGAGATATGTGGTGCACGCAGCAGCCTCCCTATCATCATATTGATATTGCTGCTGGAGTGAGTTGAAATTTCTCAATTGGTTATTCAACAGACATGTATAATCTTGTTCCAGTATTCAGTTGTTATGCTTTTTGTGACATACAAAGCGATGACCAAATATGCATGTTGGGTATATGTATTTAATTTATAGGTGTAGATCGTCAAGTCTAGTTACAAAATCATCATCATCAAGATATCTAGTCGATATATCCCAAATTTTCCCAAGTACTCCTGCATCCATGATGCCCGCATCATGATATGCTTCCCTTCTAGAACACATTTGCATCGTTCTTAAGCAGGGACATTCTCCTGAATCGCCGTTGGCTGGGAGAAGCTCTCTGGCCAAAGGAACATCTTTTCTTCCTTTGATGGTGTAGCCGCGATGAACTGAGGCACCTGTGATTGACAAGTTAGAAAACGACTTTAACAGTTAAAGACAGGGGACCCCGACTTACAGATTGCTTGCTGGAGACCCGTCTCCACATGTTGGCGCGAGGGTTGAACCGAGCAGGCGTGCCCTCGCCTCCAGTCTTCTCCTGGTCCTCCTTCATGAGCCCTTCAATCTCCCGCTTGATATCGGCAAAGGTCTCGAAGGGAATGTAGGGGATCTTGTTCTCCTGGCAGTACTCCTCCAGGCGGAGTCCCTTGCGCGCAAAAAGCACATCGGCCTCCCGGGCAGCAGCCAGATCGGACACTCCGTCGCCAATGAACACAATCAATGGGATCTGGCCGTCAATGCAATACTTGGCGGCCTCGGCACGGCCTTCCTGGACCGACAGGGCCTTGTCATGGCCGAGTTCGGTATCATGTCGCCAGATCGGCTTCCACGCCGATCCGTCGTCTTTGATGTCGACCTCGTTGGCGACAATCTGGATGGATGACTGTACCGACGTATTAGCCCTACGTTCAGTCACTCTTTTAAGAATTATCAAGTGTCACTTACCGCTTGTTCGCCCAGAAAAGTGTCCAGCACTCTGCGCAAGATGGGCTTCAAGCCTGCACTGATGACATTGAAATCAATTTTATTCGCCAGGCAGAACCGGTGAAACTCCTCAAAACCAGGATCGATCTCGAGGTTCTGCTTCATCACTTCGAATCCATCCTCGAAGGGGACGCGCAGAGATCCCCACATCTCCTCAGAGACCTCGCGGAACGAGCGCTCGCCCGACTTGATCTGCTCATCTAGGATTTCCCGGCGCTTGGTGCCGCATCCGAGATTATCGAAAAGAATGTGGCCGGTATCCTGCATAAAAATAGTACCGTCGAAGTCTAAGTCATGCGCGCACACTTAGCGACCAATCACTGGAAGGAAATGTGGTGATAGTGCCGGACGACAGCCTATCAGATCGACAGGGGGGGAGGATAGAGAAAGCTTGCCTACCTGAAAAACAGACAATCTTTCTTGTTGAGCGAGGCATGGCTCTAGTTCTATCGGTTTAGTTCAGCAGCGAGAAGAGTTGAGATTGGTGGAATGAGCTTGTGAGGAGAGTGATTTCCTGTGTAGAATCGGGGCCTTCATGACGGTCAAATATGTGTGTTTCTTCGCAGTGGCGACGCAGAACCGGATCTCTGAGAAAATGACGTCGACGGCTCTTTTCGTTATAGAATGAGATTTAGCGGCTCGGCTGAGAATGTTATCATCGTAGAGAGAGAATAGATAGATAGATAGATAGATAGATAGATACTAGTCATGTTCTTCTAAGGATGTTCCATACTCTAAAGTGCCCTGGGTCGAGAGTTGACGGGTGACTGTTGTGTTTGGCTGCTGTGAGCCTGTGGGTGTTCCTGTGGATGACTAAGTGGAGCCTGTGGAAATCCGGATTTTGCACAGAAGACCCACGTGTCCCACGTGCTGGCTATAAAGGGCTTAGTGTTAGGGCAGGAACATTGTTGTTCCGCGGCAGTCTTCCCCTTTGGGACTAGCTGCTTCAGATATCTTCGCCAAGGTTCCATGTCTGACGTCATTGGCTCTGCCATCCCCGATGACTGTACCCAACGGGCCAATCACAGTTGATCCACCCTGATAAGGTGCCTTTCTGCCTGAGGGTTCCTTATTCGTCCTCCTTAGTATTAAGGTGTCGATCACTCGATCTACTACTATGGTCGGTGGTTAAACCCCTCATAACTATTTATTAGTGATTGACAGAGTCACAGAGAACCGTCCTGAACCCGATGCTGTCACCGGCTGCATGAGTCTAGAATACTATCGTTGAGTCTAAGAGATGCGTCGATTCTCCCGATGTCGTCAGTGGATGCAGGAGAATCAGAGTCAAAGAAAGTCCAAGTACAGCACCGCGGGATGATGACAAGCGACATGTCTTAGTAGTTTGTACAGGAAAAGAATGAATGTCCACCACTTGATTGACCACGAGAAACTGAATACTCAATATCCGTTACTCGGTTTAGCATTTAACACTTGGGGAACACAGGGGAGGATGCAGTCACGCCACTACCATAGATGACCTGCTTGCCGGGGTTGGGGAACACAGTCTGTTTACCCTCAACAGTGGTACAGCCCTTACCAACGTTGGCAACCCAAAGGTCCGGGTAGTTGGCTCCGAAGGAGGCTGTGCTGCCCGAGCCGCCGGTGACATTGACATCCGCGCAGTTCATATACAACTCGCGGTTGCCGACGAGGTTGTACCATGTCCAGGCGAAGAGCGCTTTGCCGTTCGGCGCATCGCTGGGCACCTGGAAGTTCCAAGAGTCCACCAATGGACATCCACCGACCATCGACTGGATTACTTTGAAGGTCACCCCGTTGTCGTAGCTCAACGAGAGCTGGCAAGATCCGCCGGCGTGACGGGCATCACCATCCAACTCCATGGTGTAGCTCTGGCCGGCTTTGAAATCGGCAGTGGCGCGCCAGGGGGTATTCTTATGGTATCCCTTGCAGGGAAAGTTCGACCCTGTTTCCTGGTCAGAATATACGTCTTTTTTTTCAGAATGGGAAGAATGGGATAGAACTGAAGTACCGTCGCTGTTCAACGGGTTGGTCATGGAATAGTCGATATTGGTGCTCTGTGGATCAAACCGGCTGCGCAATGGATAAGGCCAGGCCATTTCCATGTGAGCTGCTGCCATGCTGGCAGTAAGAAGGACGACGGTGATTTTGGAGAACATGATGTCTTTCTTTGGCTTGACAATGGATTGACAATTGCTCTGGTGATTGTTCAATGATGGAAGATGCTGTTGTCTGATGGAAGAATGAATTTGACAGGCAGCGGCAGCCATTGTTATTATACCTGCTGGAGAGGCTTCATCACGGGTCAATTCTTGAAGGAAGCAGATGTGATGTCGTCTATGATGTTACATCTCTACCATCACATATCCCCGGTGTTTTTGGGCTATGAGGAGGACTTGACCGTTTGCTAATAGATCGAGCAGAACGTTGAGTTGCGTCCATTGCCTCGTGCCCCCTGCGGTTACAGGAGCATCAACTCTTCAGCGAGCCGCCACCAATGTGTCATATCGAGCTCGAGTCGTCCTTTTCCTTGAAAGAGATGACCGCAATTGCTATGAGCTACAACATTTCTACAACATCGGCGCGATATCTTTTCAACTTACACCTCCAGTGGGTTACAGTGACAGGAAGAGGGTTTTCCCTTGTGACGATGCAAGTTCGGAGATAACGGTAATAATCTCAAAAGATTGATCACATCCATCTGGTTCGCTCCCGGATCTTCATCTCTTACGCAGATTGAATCTAAGTCGAAAGAGGAATGTGTCATTGTTCCTGACGGGCAAGTAGTTCACTCTGCAACGGTCCTTGCAGTGCATCAACTCGGCAGCACCAAGTTCTGCAGAGTGCAGAGCCACCATAGCCGAGATACAGATTGATTCTTCATGTGTGTTCAAATCACATCGGATATTCGTGAGGGGAAGTGACTTAGCTCCCTGGTTTAATATGAGTCTGACTAGAGGTCGCTCTAAGTGCCGACTATCTCGCCCATTTACAACATCATAATCCTACTGTTGCACCCCTGACTATATCAAGGGAAATTATCTGGGATATTCAGGCTTGCCATGACTTTCTCCTTCATCTATCGAGTCTTCATCCTAAAGTGGCGGCCAGCATGAAGTCTGTAGCTGTAGGTTAGTACTACTACGGACTATGTACAGTTGTAGATTGACATGCGCTCTCCAGTTCCCCATACATGCGAACCAATCCACTTCCACCTGTTGGTTCAATGAATTACTCTGGAATATACATGAAATTTGAAAGTCCTGCAGTCTTCTTTTCTTGGCTTCGTAGTGAGACTAACTTGCAGCATGCGGAGAGAAATTTCAGACAACCACTGCGAAATGACAGGAACAGAAGCTCTATGTGACCACACCACCTAGACTCAACTGGTCAATCAGATCTGATTTACCTCTCTGTCGATATAATTGGATTATTGTATCACTGACAAGATACCCGTCACAGTAGGGATCAACATGAAACGAAGATCCTCCGTGCACTACAGAATCCGGCCCCATCTGCGCCCCTCTGTGTCACTGACTTGCGTGGGCTGCGAAGGCTGTGCTGCATCTTCTATCCAGTAGTAACCAGACAGATATTTCCAAATGTTGGCGATAGAAGCCCATTCAAGGCTGGAACACACCCAGATCTCTAAATTGTTGCAGCAGAAGAGAGAACATGTCCCCGGCAGCATCAACTGGGGACCAGTAGGGTCGGGCTCGTCGATTTGCGGGATCACCCTGATCAGCAGCCACGCGAACGCCGATTAAATACATTATACAGGTAGTTCGATAACGACTCCAGTTACGAGTTGAGAGACCCATAATAGGGGACTCTCCGGAAACTGTTGGGTTTCAAATTCGACTGAAACTGATGGCGTCGCTTTGTTTCTGCCTCGAGGCTGTGTTTGTCCTCGCTGTCTTTGGAGTATAACAATGGATGCATAGACCAACGCGTGCTTCGGTCTGTTGTCCATTCCGTGTCAATTGTGCGCTAGGTTGTCTTCGAGATGCTGATTAGAATACTTCGCCAGTGCCAGATTTAAATGATTCGAGTTCAAGATGCAGGAACGCGTGAGAGGCCAGCGACTTTTCACCACCAAATCTGTGCTCCTCGCGTCTCTCCAGATCCTCGCAAGTGCTGCTCAAATAACAGCCATCGATGAACCAACGGCAACAACAACCATTTACATTCCTGCAACTAAGATCTACTATCCTCCATCGACATCGACCCTGACCCCTATTGACAACCCAGATCGCTGGGTAATTCCATTAGTTGGACTATCAGATGATACATCACTCCCGTGGGGCGCAAATGTCACCACTAAGAATGGCACGGCGACTCCCTATGCCATATCCATTCAAGCAGGCACCAGAGACGATGGTAGCGAGAAAGACAACGCGGCGCTGTGGAATCAAACACACCACAACTTCACCCAAGCCAGGTTCATAGGCGACCTCAAAGGCAACCATGTCAATCTATCCATGCCCCGAAGCGACCAGCATGTCCTGAACCTGGGTACAAATCACAATTTGTCGCTGGCAGTGAGAGGTTCTGATGCGGAGATTCGCATCCCGACAGTCCCTTTCGGCTTGAACATCGGCCATGCAGGCGAGTGGAACGGATCGCTCGCCCTGGGTGGGTTCTACGACGCCAACCGTCTCACCGACGATGCGACCTCCTGGATCTCCATCGCAGAAACCATGAACAACAACGGCACGTTCCTGCAAACCGGCAAGCAGGCCCTCTCCGTGGTCATTCTTCGCGTCTGGGAGTATAATCCCCGCCCGAGCAATTCCACGGCCAAGGTCAAACGCTCCGGCCCCTTTTCGGTCTCGGACGAGTCCGAGCCCAGAGCCGAGTATCCCGCACGGCTGGACCTCAGCAGCGAATCTCTCGTGCTGCCACGCGACTGGTGCGGTCGCAACCTCACCCTAGAATTCAACATGTTCCCCAACCGGGTCGCGAGTCTGTCCAGTTCGATCTTGATCGGGATTCCGGGCAACCTGACCGACTCCCGCAGCCGCTGCAGCTTCGAGGAAGATACCCAGGAGATTGTCCTCGGTCGTCCTTTCTTCCAGGCCGCTTATCTCTATGTGGATCAATCGGGCGAGGTGCGGATCTTACCGGCTAATCAGTACGACCTCCCTCCCAAGCCTGTCGAGTTCAACGCCAGCGCCCGGCCGGTCTCTCCAGATCGACGCACGTCCAGGTATAGTCCTGGCGCTGCGGGAGGGACCCTGGTAAAAGACAGTGCCGGCGATCGAAGTCTGCCTATTGAGACTGCAATCCATGGTGCTCTTGCCGGGTTGCTGATACTTGCCGGCTTTGCGTTTTTGCTCTAGACATACCGAGCTAGCTATTTCTTACGATACCCAATGAACTGATTTTGTGCAAACAATCGACTACTCCTTAGATATGAGTCTCAGGTTCCATCCAATTTATCCTAAAAGAAGTAATCTTACCTGCTTGTTATGCAAGCTCCTTGAACAGTTGGTACGACAGGGTGAGCTCCCAGACAAGTCAAGCTAACTCACATAACGACGTCCGCAACAAGCACCATGCTCACCATGGGACTGCACATAAGTACCCATTACTGCAGGATAACCTTATATAGGAGACCGTCTACGGTCTAGAACATGACATCAACATGACATTCGGCTAATCGCCTTTCTATTCTATACCCAGATACTGGCCCTGAGGCATATGCAGAAGCCCAGGAGGATCTAAGCAGAGGGACATGCCACAGTCATTACACTCGATATACGTGCATTTAACTGCCGTCTAACAGAATTCGGCTGGGTTTGCATCCGGGAAAATGTTGTTGACATTGCAGGGCTGGTTGGCCCCAGGCACAAACAGGGGCGTAGCTAGAACGATGCGTCATTATTATTGACAACCAATCCAATATAGAAGGGGGCAAAACATACTGTCCACCCTCAAATTCGCATTGGGGTTGCGGATGATGGATTGGGGGACTGCGGGGGTCAAGCTCATCTCGCAGTCAATCTGGGCCTGCCCGCCGTCGGTTTCGTTGCTGCCTATCCAGACGTCGATATGCGGGATTCCAGCTTCAAAGTCCGCAACGCACTGGGCGCATATGTCCTCGAACCGGAGGAATTTGCGTAGGAACGGGTCGAAGATGACCTCGCACGGGGAGAATAGTCCGGGGGCAGAGGCAAAGGTTAGCGGATCATCGAACGTGCCGACACCGCCGGCGACAAGTCCGCGGCCACAATTAAAGGCGATGATCGGGCCGGGAGTCTGGTTATCGGGGAATCCGAAGAAGGTATGAGTGACATTGGGGATGATGTCGCATGCCTGGACAGAGGTAATCGCCAAAGAGGCTAGCATCAAACGGTTCATCATGGCTGCTACGAGGTAAGGTAATCTGTTGCTTCTTAATCGCAATTTTTTTTATTGATGCAAAGGCACTTAAAGGATGCGCCATCCTTTATATCTCCGTCCTTGACGATCGTGCCGTGGTCGTTGTATTGCTGGTCCAAGGGATCGCGGACTGGTAAGCCCTGAGGACGTAGAATTTTTTTCATTGTATGTATAGATAGTCCTTGAGACGTTTAGTAGACATCTCATGAGACGAGGGATATAGGAGACTTCAGTGAAGATGGACTTGATGGATGGAAGAATTGATTCGCATATCATCTATATTTCCAACCATCACGGTTTTCCCAAAGGAGATGCTTCGGCCGATTTTACCGGATATAGTCAAGAGCGGCCATGGCTGCCTACTTATTGCAGATATGCAGACTTTTACTTCTGTGCACTCTCTTGGAGAGCACAGCATTGCAATCTCCTATGAGATAGGAGGTGATATTTGAGGATGGCATCAGAACTGCCTACATCGCAATCCGTCGGTTTGCATAGGAAAATCTTCCAAGAACTGGGTCTTGTTTCACTATGGCAGTCCTCTCTTGACGTGAAGCTTCTTTGCGCTCAGCGCTTTGTTCGGCTCTTTGCCTATGGAGGTTCAACGTTGATTTTGGCTTCCTATCTGTCGAACCTGGGGATCTCCGATGATCGTATCGGCCTCTTCATGACACTGACCTTGTTCGGAGATGTCGTTATCAGCTTTGGGCTTACGCTCTTTGCAGATGCAATGGGCCGCAAGGCTGTTTTGGCCCTCGGATCCTTACTGATGATCGGCAGTGGGATTGTCTTTGGGTTCTTTGGCAATTTCTGGATCCTCCTCGCGGCAGCAGTGTTGGGAGTCATCAGTCCGAGGTGGGTGCAATACCGAATCTACTTCATATCTATGCTGATACATTTGGCAGTGGCAATGAAATTGGGCCATTCCGGGCAGTTGAAGAATCCACGCTAGCTCACCTGACTCCCCATGAACTTCTGAGTGACATCTTTGTGTGGTACTCTCTCATCGGCAATGCAGGCACTGCCCTCGGAATGATGGTCTGTGGTTGGATCCTCAACCTGCTGCAGACCTCCAAAGATTGGCAATTTGTTCCAGCATGCCGAATCATCTTTTTCGGATATGCCGGAGTGGGCGCGATCAAATTTTTCCTTTCTATCAGTCTGAGCGCCAAAGTCGAAGCGGCCAAAAAGGAGAAAGGTCGTGCCTCTGTTTCCCAAGAGCCGGAGCAACAGCAAGAAACGAATAGCTCTGAAACCCAGCCACTTCTGGGTGAAACCACAAATGTCGAGATCGAACAAAAGAAATCATTCTTCTCCTCCATTGGGGACAATGATCTTATCCTGTTGGTCCTCAGACTCTTCGTCCTGTTCGGTCTTGACTCGTTTGCCTCTGGGCTGGCTTCGCTGTGCGTATCAACCGGACCCATCTACTAGTCATACATGAAATATTGACCATTCTTCCCAGGTCTTGGATGACATATTTTTTCAAGCGCAAATTCTCCCTGCCAGAGGGGGAGCTTGGCTCAATCTTCTTCACCACAAGTCTGATTTCTGCCGCGTCCATGTTGGTAGCATCTTCGATTGCCAAGCGCATTGGCAATGTCAAGGTGCGTTTTCCCTCCCATGGGTCCTGCAGAAAAATGAAGGGGTGTGAAATCTAACCATCTAACAGACCATGGTCTTCACCCATCTTCCCTCCGCCATCTGCCTGGCTCTTATTCCAGTTCCGGCTGCGCTGCCAGCCGCCTTGACATTCCTGGTCCTCCGCGCATGCTCGCAGAATATGGACGTTGCACCGCGCTCTGCCTTTTTGGCTGCTGCTCTTCCGCCTGAAAAGCGCACTGCCATTATGGGAGCCATCAATGTGGTCAAGACGTGCAGCCAGAGTTTTGGGCCGCTGATCACTGGTATCCTGGCTAAGCATGATCTCTTTGGGGCGTCCTTTACGCTGGCCGGTATATTGAAAGCAATATACGATATCGGCATGCTCATGAGTTTCGCGGGAAAGGAGCCAGCCCGGTCTAGGATGACGAGTCCAGGGGATGCTTGAATGCCTCCAAACGTATATCCTAATCTTGTGGGTCAATATATGCCGATCGCAGCTTCATATCACTTGTTTCAAAATTGATGAAAGAGCCTCGGGCGAATGCTTGACCTGGTGAGAATCATAAGTATCACTCGGCAGTCTTATAGAGATTTCGTTTACTCTGTGCTGTTTGACATATGCAATAATCATGTTCAATGAAAGACAAATGGTGTCTAGGCAGGAAATAAGGCCATTTAAGGGATTCACATTCGCCCCCTGACGACCGTCGGAACAAACCATTAAGAATCCATTACTACATGAAATTCTGTATGCTGCCTTTCCGAGAGTTACACTGGTCCACAGAAGGAGTAGAATCATTTCATAGAATGTCTTTACCCACAAAGGACCATGAGGAAGCTTGAACGACTTCAAACGACACAGCTCCTCTATTCTAGAAAGTATCTAGGTTGGTCAGTACAATTCAATCCATCGGCTGAATACTTACATTCTCTATGTATCGAACGCCAATGATTATCCCATCATCGTCTGTAACTCCCGATGGCTGGAAATGGTTTTCCTCGGTTCGGTCCAGGCAGCACAAACACGCTCTAACCAGTTCGGTGTACCTATCTCCAACCACATTTGGCAGATGCTCTTTGGCCATGTTGATCAGTCTATCCTTAACGGCGAACCCACCGCGAAGTGCATCACTGTCAGCAAGAGCGCTCGATATCTCTAATTTGGTCCACGGAGTTGGAGTGTACCCATGTCCCTGGACGAATGAGGACCATAAGCCCAGCTCAAGGAGACAAACCCCAAGACTGTATATATCATGCTCCATGGTGAAGACATCCTCGGGAAATAGACCTTGGCGCCTCGGATGCCGATATAGGTTCCTCTCCCACTGTAGATCCCCGATTCACTCTGTCGATCCTCCTTCTTTGCGAATTCGTTCAAACCCAATGAGGAAGGATGGGCCCAACACTCCAGTTATATCTGAGAGAACGATAATAGTTTCCGGTCTGATGTTTTTGTGCACGAATCCAGCTGCGTGCACAAACATGACGGACCGCGAAAGATTCTTGGCAAGCTGGAATCGCTGATTCAATGAGCACTGAGCCCTTTCCTGTAGGATACACCGCAGGGTCTTCGGGCCAGATAACCCTTCGGGAACTTCAAAGATGTATTGGAACTGGCTGCTGTTCTCCTCCTGGAGTTCGATAACGCCGCTGCACTTGAGGAGGTTGAATGTCTCTGGCTTGACGCGGAGGAGTAATCTTGCCAGATCCCGAACATTCCTTTGCCCATCAACGCTAGCTGTGCTAGCAATATGATACGTGCGATTGAGGAGGACCAGCTGATGATTATGCCGGAACGTTGAAACGTATGTTTCTGTTCCAGAAATCCGGGTCATTGTATCCGCGACTACACCGGGGTTTTTAAAAACAGATCCTTGCTCCGAGTCTAGCGGCATTACATGCCTGTATAGCTTTCCTCATCATCATCAGCCGATGGGCGGAGGGGCTCTGGCTTGGAATAGGCCCTCCTAGGTACTGGTCTAGCTGAGAGTTTGCCAGGCGAGCGATCAAGTACCATGACGGATCGAAACGCTTTTGCCACTCTTCCAGGTCCAGCACAATTTGCTGCAGGTGCCGTTTCATATATACAGCGCGGATACGACTCTGGATCTGGTGTGATTCATGACAGAGGGCTGTGACTCGGCTAATGCTTCCAGCTGCGCCTGTGATCTTGGTATATAGGCGCGACAGGATATTGCTGTAATGGATCTGTAGCTTCTCAGGAAGACTCATCCAAATAACCCTAATGGAATCTAGTTGAATCTCCGTTTTCAGCCAAATACCCTCTAGAAGGAGGAAAAGCTCCTTCAGGTCTGTTTCAAGGGACCGGTAGTCGCGGCAGATCTTCACTAGCTTTCTACCGTATCTGAGTCCTATCATTAGATGACCTGAAGCCTAGCCAGAAGAACATGCGATTCACCTCTACTTACGTTAGACACAAGTCTAGTGTTGACAAGGCGGCTAGCACCACGCCTACAGCTTCCATGATGGCTACCTTGTGCGCAGCTGATTATAGAATGAAAGGAAAGAATGCAGAGTGTCCAAGCTACAAGCTGGGCAGTGTATGGCAAGGGCTATGTGGTGACACAGAGACAAGGCTGAGAAGTGCATCAGGTGACTGGCATGATCAGGATAAACAGCCTGAGGGCCACTATGCCTTCCAAAGAGAAGCAACTCAAGGTCAGGAAATCCTTTTGAGTTTGAAAATTATTGATGAGCGACGATAGCCCACGCACTATCCCAGCCATCATGATTTGAGATAAGCTGATAGCAAAATCGACAGCAACACAAGAGAGGGCTGCACGTCTGAGAGGAGGCACAGTCCAAAAATCCCGAAGTCCAACAGGATACTGATCGATTTCGGTTGAGATATAGATCTGGTAGAGGTCGCGAGCAGCCTGCAACTTCACCTTTCGCATCCGACACAATATTTTGTAAGCAGCACGCATGTCACTCTTGGCGATGCAAAGGCGCGGTGATTCTGGTAAGATCCAAAAGCAGAATAAACATATCGCCCCAGAGATGGCAGTAATCATGCCCGACAAGGCCTGTTCTTTCAGGTCACCAAGTAAGGATGCTATGACTAGTCCCATAGAAAACCCAACTGACTGGAGCCTGCGCTCAAATTTAGCCAAGGCTGTTCAGAAGAACTCAGGAATGGCTGCATACCAAAGCCACCGCAACATCATAGCACCACGGCCTGCTGGCAGACTCGTCTCTACCAATCGCAAGGGGCTTTCACAATTGACAACGTTCCATGCGACACAGTATAGTAATTCGACGACCTTCATCACTGGCTTTGATTTTACAACTGTGCCGAGGAGCCCCATTGCAATCATGGCCATTGCCCCGGTACATATTGCTCCTCGGCGCCCTATTCGTTTGCACAAAAATTCCGTGAGCCAGATTTGCACCAACGGGGCGACAATAAAAGCCGCAATCACCGTGAAACATTTTATGAATATACCGCTGGTGGAACCTTCTTTCAAGCTATCAAGCCGCATATAAAGGAAAACTCCCAAAGCACATCCGCTAGTGAACGAGTTTAGAACACAGATCAATGAAATAGCATATCAACATCACTTACTGTGCAACAGCTGCTACATAAATAGCATAGTCCGACGGCGAATTGGCGATGGGCACGTTTCTGGATTGTGATAAGGGCTCGTTGGGCCAAAGCCCCCCTCTCTTCATCCGTCAGGTCCTTTAAGTGCATATAGGCATTGGGATTGTTGACCAGCAGAGCGCCCTTTCTCAAGATATGGCGCACATCGTCCAAATCATATTTGGTTGCGAGCTCGTCCACTTCTAGAATAGTCGTCCCTATGTTTCCTTCCCCGGATTTGCTTTAATCTGAACGGGATCCACGCGTTATATGTAATTTGCTTTCATTACCAGGAATTTGTTACCTCTGGGCGGGTATAACCGGTATCGGCCAAAACCCACCTCTGGCGCCGAGGCATTGCTGCGATAAGTGTAACAGAGACGGTCGGGATCAAGACCGATAATGTTACGCCATTCTGCTCTTGATCGTTCTGGATGATCTCACAATTCACTACAAGCGATTGGCGATAGCACCAGGAATCATGTCAAAGATTTCCAGCCGCCTCAAGGCGCTGATCAATGCTCCCAGTGCACGGCCAAATACCGTGCCTGCTCCGCGCAACATCCGGTCCGTCTATCAGAAGATCCAACAACATGCTCTAGCGAACAATGTTTCTTCGCCGTCCTGGCTGGCATTGTCGGTTTGTGATTGACTTGCCCTTTGCTCCTTGCATGTCAGTCGGTAATTTGACCGGTATTCTGATCGATGCGCTTTTTCACAGACAGCCGCCACAATGACCATGAATTCCCCCGAATCCCTTGCCATTCTGTTCCAGTTGGTTTCCGCAGCCCAAACAGAGGAGGAAAGCGTAGCCACCGCGGAATTGATGCGGGAGGTCGGCCTGAAATGCATCAGCTTCAATGGCATCCCCCGGACCATCAACTGTCTCAATGCTTTCAAAACCAGTTTACCTGAATCGGTCCGCACGGGGCTATCGCAAACCCCCACCCGGACTCCCACCCCTGAAAATATCAACGAGATTGCAAGTCGCGGCCGAGCCTTGTGGGATTCCATCTACCGGCCCTTCCACTCCAAGCTCTACGACAAATTGGCGGGCTCGCATCCTGATCTACCCGTGCATATTCTCAGCAGTCACTACGGAGCCCTCTTGTCTGATCCCCCGGGCCGCACCACCGGTGCGAATGCTGGCCGGATGGCGACTTCCATTGCCGCGATCGCGTGCTTGCGTGCGCAGTCCGGTGTAGGACCGCAGGTCATGTCGCATGTCTTTGGTCTACGGAAAGCACTCGAGGATGGAACATGGATACATGATGTTGAGAGTGAGCAGGGTGCTCGGTGGCTGGCTAGTGACGAAGGGACTACTTGGATTCTGACCAGCATCGACGATATTGTCGAGTCGATCACCCAGGGTGAAGGGTCCAACTTTGCGCCGTCGCGGACCTCGAAGTTGTGATTGGCAATTGATATCCGATTTGTACATAGCTGGAAAAACAATTGTCGGTGTGTATATAGAGAATCGACACGCATTGGAGACACAATCGAAGGATCGATTCGTGATATAGACTTCGTACGAAACACTGGTGTCGTTTCTGCCCCTGCTGGATTATCCTGGGCAGGCCCTGGGGGGTTAGTTTGATATCTGTGCATGCCTATGTCATGCTGTATCGGTTTCGGTGGGTTTATTGCATAGTATCTGTCTGGATCCCTTGCTTCTACTTTCAAAGCACGCAGGTTGAGTGATTTATGTCCATGGCTGAGGTTCTTCTGATGGGGTATCACAGGGTCGACATATATATATCAAGTAACGACGAGCAAACAACTCAATAACAACATAACGAACGTTTTCTTTTACGCCAACGACTAGAAGAACAAGTATACATAGAGGAAAATTCCCAACACAGGGCGGAAGTCGCTGCTTTCCTCCTAGAAAGAAAAAAAGAAAAAAGGGAATCATCCACCATCTTTTTCCGTGGAGGGCTGACGAAGATAAAAAAGTGCAAAAAGCAAAAGCCGAACGCGGGGGTCGAACCCGCAACCTTGAGATTAAGAGTCTCACGCTCTACCGATTGAGCTAGCCCGGCTGGGCTATGACAGACAGCGAGTATTTGAGTAATATAGGCCAGAATGAAACCGTCTGAAGATCACTATTTCGCTTGAGCTATCTCACCACCAGCTCTCAAGCTCCATGATGCCAACCTTCGACACTTTGTTTACAACTATTCTATAGCACCAATCCGCCAGCAAGTTTATTCCCAAAAGAGAACAAATATCTCCTGAAGTAAGGGTATCATGAGCTCATCATGGTTGGTCGAAACGATTTTAACGATCATTGAAATAATATTAAAATGCAAAAAAAGATGTGACCGACGCAGGGATCGAACCTGCAATCTCTTGATCCGAAGTCAAGCGCCTTACCATTAGGCCAGCCGGCCCGTGTGATTGGTAGCGAATCAAAGGCTGCCCTCAGAAGGAAAGGCTGCCATGGATTTGACAATGATGGGTTTCACTCAAAGTCAAACAGACGAGTAGCAAGGTTTCTATAGGGATTCGACTTTGCAAGATGCAGTCGCCAATGGAATTGGTCCGTGATAGTCGCTGTCACTTCAAGCACCAGGTATATTCCATAGCATTAGATATTACATTCATATAACTGACATTGATCCAACAGATATCCCTTCCAGCCGGTCTGTGATATCCGAAGATATTTGACGCAATACATTAGATAGACCAGGCAAATCAATATCGCAATTAACTATTGATGCAAGCAGCAGGCCAATTATAGCGCCCGTAGGCTTTTATCGATTCCGCGACTGATCGGACGATTCCGCAGTACGGGGATCATTGACCGAGGGAAGAGCACCTGTCGCAACCGGCACATCCGGGGCCTCTTGCTGAGTGGATAGATCTTGCTGTTGGGCCTGTCGGGTTGACGATATTGGAACCTGCAGCATCTGGCCATCGGCTTGCGCCTGAGCCATCTCTGGCCCTGAGACAGTACTGTTTTGGTGGGTGCTTTCCAGATCCGAGCGATCATCGCCAGCAACACTGCGTGGCGGTGACACACTCAAGAGAGGAGCAGTGGCAGCGACAGGGCGCTTCGAAGGCCGTCCAACTTTGTCCGGGGGAGAGCCAAGTATGGATGGGTAACTGAACCCGAAGCCCCAGCGGAGCCATAGACCGATTTTCTTCCAGAATCCCATCTGATTCCACTTCTCCTTAAGCACCTGTGCCTCATCAACGGAGCGAGCCTGGAAGCCCTTGCAGCTGAAACAAAGGAGCAAGCAGGAAATAATCGGCGCGACCATACACCAGGAAATTGGGAATCCTCGGCGAGCCTGCCAACCCTTCATCAAACGCCGGAATTGGAACCAGTTTTCAATGAGACCGATGATGAGCCAAAGAACAAACCAGGCAACCACCGGAATGATCACAATAGCATAAGGATAATCAAACCAAAAGTCGTGGTAATATCTGTCGGAGTAATCACTAGATCCCCCATAGCGTGAACTACCGCTACCATAGTTGCTGTCATAGCAACCGTAGCGCATAGTATAAGGCATGTAGAGGTCGCTGAGAGAGCTCAGACTCGACGCTGGTAGCTGTGTAGGATCGATAAAAGCAAGAGCATTGGTATAGGTAGTTGGTTGGAACGGCCGACTACTGTCAACAGAATAGGTGGTTGTCGTGGAGGTGGCGGGCACAGCACCTCTCAGGTAGCCTGGTACATCGACAGGAAGGGCCGTGGTGAAAGGGCTCTGTGTTGAGCATGACCCTGATGCAGAGTATACCATGTTGACATAGTAGTCCGTGGTTACATGTCCCGTGTCATAATAACCATAACGATCATAGGTAGCCGCGGCTCCCGCACCAGATGGGTATAGCACCTGGACGACTGTGACAGCATCGCCGTATCTTGGGCTTGTTACGAAAGTCGCCGTCGAGAGAGCTGCTGGCATTGGCGCCGCCGTAGGCGTGATCTCCTGAATGGTGGTCTCGGTGGTGGTCTCATAGGCATAACGGTATGTGTGTTCACTTGCTTCATATAATTTGGTAGCGATCCATGGGGCAGCCACAGCGAAAGAAGGACATTGCAGAACGAGTGACAAGAAAGCAAGTGCAAACGAGCGTGAGGGTGCCATAATTTTGGCAGGCCCCGGTGTTTAAACGAAAGAAGAGGGCAAGAGAGAGACCGAGTTCATTCTCGAAATCAGAGAATTTGTTCAGGGGATTTCTCTTCTCTCATATTCCCAAGGTCTGGCGCCGCAGAGGAAGGCTGTCGACCCTAGTGAGATACCTAGTCAAATGGCTCAATATCATAGGACTCAAATTCTTCGCCTCAGGCTCAAAAGGGTCTTTCCGACAGTTTAATTCCCTAGTAGTGACCCTGTGTGTGTTAGTGTGGCACTGTGGCTTAATGAGCCACTAGTTTTGAGTTGCTAATTAGCATTCTGTACGGAGTATCTAGACCATAGCGGTTGAGTATCCCAGTCACAGCCTAGATAAGTCGTTAGTTAAATGAGCCTAAGAGTGACTGTAGTTAGTCCACAAGACATCAAACGACAACTAGGACGGTGATTGGGTAAATTCAAGGTAATTGAAAGGATAAGGAAAACCGAGCCGATGATAGTCTACAATTAGCTCTTGTAGAGTACTACTTATAGAGTAGTGTACAGAGTATTCATCTAGTTAACGAGGAAATCTTTAACAAGCGAGATGAAAATATACCCTTAGGCATTCATGTGTTATCTTGTAATTTTGGGGTAGTACTGTGTGCAATAATGAGGATTCTATAGGCGACTTGACTCATCTATTTCCCCATCTGAATTAAGATAGCTTAATGATTGCTGACAGTTTTCAAACAATAACAATATCAGATGTTCCTGATCCTGTAGATCAGTATGAATTGAACTTCTTTTGGTTTCAAAGGTAGCGAACAGCGGCAAAAAAGGTGGCAATCAGAAGGGCGCCACTTCATTCCAAAATAACTTAGCGGGAAAACACATGATTGACACATCTTGTACATCCATGCAAGACGAAATAAAATGAGACATTGTCATGTTCAATATTGGGCCATGCGGAAGGTATATCAGACTTTAGAGGGCAAAGCACTGCACGTGCGCCTTGTCGCCCTAGCATGGAGATACTTTTGAACAGCCAGTATATCAGAGACAAGGTTGAAGATCGTTGCCATTTACCCAGCAACAGTATAAGCATCATAATGAAGGAACAGCAAGACTGGTGGGAAAGCCGCAGTTCCAGAGCAGTACAGAGGAAGCAAGACAAAGCAGTCCTATCAGTATAGTTACAGAGCTTACAGCAAGAACGAGTCCTAGATGAAAATGAACAGACATCATCGCGGTAAGCTTAGGTCGAGAAAACAAAAAGAAGGCTCATTGTGAAGAGCCGGGGAGTAGATGATGAGCATCAAAGGGCATAACTTCGTGAATGATCGTCAACCAGCTGCAACACAAAGCGAATCCCATGCGGCGCTGCTTGGTTTTCCTTCGAAGGTGTAGTGAAAGGTTGGTATCGATGTAGTCCTGCGTCTATAGCAGGTGGGGACTGGCCGGTAATCCTGTCGTTGGCGGTTTCCACGAGGGCAAGGGAAAACAGGTCCTCAACTTGCAGCCCTGAGAGCACGGAGCCTTGCGCCCAAGCCGTCTTCAAGCTCCGTATCGGCCTGTTTCTGGTCTTTCACCTCCTCTTTAGGAGCGGTAGCCGTATCCGCATCCAAAGCCAAGCGCAGGTCCACACCCGCGTCGTCTGCAAGTTGTTCCATCAGACGATCAACTTCGGCTTCGCCCTCCGCACCGTACTCTTGCATCGAGATCCCTTGAGCGACATCCTCTATGGCACTGCTAGCGATCTTGAAATCCTCCGATCGCGCTAGGAAGTTATTCGCGTGAGAGACGAGATTTTCGAGATTGACGCTCTTTGACGCGGCGTCCAAGCCCCGCGACGCCAGAGCCAGAGTTCGGGATGTATCGCGAGTGCTCTGTGCCGCCTTGAGTTCATTGATGATGACGTCCGCCCGAGCAGCTTCGGCCTTTAAAGTTACTTGTCTCCGTTTCTCTCGTATGGCAGAGGCAGCGTGGATGCGGGCAATCTGAAATTCGCGATTCTTCATGGCCTTGTCGGCCTTGGCCTTCTCCGATTTGAATGTGGATTCTGCACGAGCAGCTTCCTTCTTGAGCCGATTTGAATGTAACTGTAAGAAAGGGAGTAGTTAGAGTCATATTCATCAGTGACGGCTTTGTACGGTTCTTTTGAACCAAACGACTAATTTTGACAGATAGCGCTCACCTTGACATTGGTGCGAGCCTCAAAGATGGGATCCTTTCGAACCATGATGCTGTATACGGGGTATTGAAAAAAAGACAACAACTAAAGAAGAACTTGATCCAAGCAAAGCAGGATGAGATGCAGGTAAATTAGAAGGGTGTAATAGATGCGCCAGAAAGGGGGAGGAAATGCGGTGGTTGCCTGAGGGGGCGAGGCAAGTCTTCGAGGGGTTCTAGATGGGGAGAGGGGGACAAAGTTGCGTGGCAACGTCATTCCGCCTTCCGTATCTATCGGGATCTGCGGAGGCCGGAGAGACTGTGCAACGGTGCAACTGTGCAACACCCTACGAACTAATTATTCCGGTAGTGATAGCCATTGGGGAGATATAGTTTGATACAGATCTTGGCAATCACTTCAGTTTACAGCCTTATACTGGAGCTGAAGTCTATGGCACACATTCTGAACAGTCTAGGGATGGTACGCGAACAGGTTTCATCAAAAGTGATAAGATTGTTTGATGGCAAAAAAGGGGAACAAACCAGCATTTTTGCTTGCCGGACGTTCGAAATTCTAGAAGATGCACTATGATACAACCCAGATCTCACCAGCCCTTGCCCATGAGGAGAGACGTCAACGTCTCGCTATAGGTATTCAAACTCCCTGAACTCCGCGTACTCCGAGGACGCTTTCCCAAACCATCACGCCGGCCCACTCGCTCTGATTTCACATTGAAAAGAATTCGTCTCTGGCCTCTCGATTTCTCAAAACGATCTATCGCCCAAGCCATGGTCAACAGGGACTCCCAGTTCCGTCCACCCGCGTCAACACCGGCGGACCCAGTTCCCTGAGAAGCGTTCTCCCTAACAGCCAGCTGCAATGCCCTGCCCGTCGCATCGCGAAGTGGACGCGCCAAGGCTGGGTTGCAAGCCAGAAGTCTGGTGAGAAGCTTCATTCGGAAGACCGTGGGCCGAGTCGATGCCGTCGAGGGCGACAGGCTCGGAGTCGAAATTAACCATAGAATCAAATGGAAATGCTGATAGATCTCCTGTGTCGAGAAGGTCAAACGAGAACCCGTCTTCAAGGACTGAAGAATCTGGCTCAGCGGGTGAATCACCGTTGAATAGGCGGTGGAAGTCATCGTCAGAAAGAGGAGCTGCAACGTCATGTGCAGCGTCATGTTCCACGCCTGAGCCGAGGTCAAAGAGGGAGAGAGCACTTCCTGGTCCTTCGAGTCCAACGACGGACACTGCAGGTCGCACAACACCGCTGCAGGATGTTGTGTCACGTCAGAGGACTCAGCCAGACTGGAAGGCTTGAGAGTAGGCGAGTAGTCGGTAAGGGAAGGAGTCGGGAAAGGAATGCGTTCTAGGGGAAGCTCATCGCCCTCCTGCTTGAACAAGGTGGGGGTGAGAGTCGGAGATGTTGTGGCGGGCGAACCCGGCTTAGGAGTGTTGCATCGAGAGCCTCGGACCTCCGCCGTTAGTTGAGCGACTTGTTGACTCAAGCGGTTATTCTCGGCCTCCATCTGTGACAGGCGTTGCAGAAGGAACTGATTCTGCTGTTCCATCTGGATCTTCTCGTTCTCCAACTTCTCCATTTCAAGTCTCTTGCGCTCGCGGGAGGTCTGCGCCGCTGCGCGGTTGCGGAGAACACGCTCGATACGACGCTGTTCCTTTTCATCTTCGGTCTTGGCCCGTTTTCTGTGTTAAGTGAAAAAGTCAGTGTACCATTCAATCTGCTGAGATCAAGAGGTGACATACCTTGGGGGCAAGTTGGTCTTGGGGATTGGGAGTTCCTGGCCCCATGACTTTCGTTTCTTAGGGGCTTTTTTATCCTCTGATTTGTTTTCTTGCCCTTTGCTCTCTACCTGTATCGATGTGTCCGCGGGGGAAACTGTGAGAAGCGGCATGTCGGTTGCAGGTGTACCGGGCAAGGAGTCCACAGGTGAGCCAAAGCTGTCATCCATTTTGCAAGGGTATGTGAAGATAGTTTGTCCTTAGAGACAACACACAAGTTCCCAACGCTGTTTGCAAAAGAGTATTGAGATAGATGAAGCAGACGCCACTCCTGATATGGAATAAGGTAGTCTAGTCAATGACGCTCACTTGCCCGGTTCACGAGAGCAAAGGCCACGTTGTCATAACGGTCAAACTCGGATCCAGACTCCGATGGGGTCTGCCGATCAGGTGAGGAAGAAGACTAAGAACAAGAGGCGAGGGGGCTCTGGAAACGGAAGGACAGGTGTTCACAAGATGGTTTGGGGGAAGTTGGATCAGGACTGACTGACTGCAGAGGGCGTGGTGACTCTTTAAAGGCCAGCGTGGTCAGTTCAGCCCCCTGTGTCAGCAAGGGGGGCGGAGTTAGCCTCCATCAGCACAGTGACGGTAATTTTACACATTGTTACCATAATGTGGCTCTCTATCTTAGGGGAAGCCAATAGTAAATGAGACCTCACCACGTGTAACATTGTATGAAACAAGTATGGGAAGTTAACGTCACGGAAAGATTGGGCCCGGCGGTACTCCTGGTCTGGGCAGCCCCGCAATCCTTGGAAATCTCCCTTTTGCCCCTAAAATGCCCCCCCTTAAGATAGATACTTCCATAGAGTCCGTTCTGTCTAAGTTCACTTACAGGCTACAGCCCCCCCAGTCCAAGAATCCAAGCCTCCAAGGTGAAACACTGAAAGCAAAACACCAACTGATTAGATTCGGAGTATCCTTATGAAGTACAGTGTACGGACATCCCTGTATAGGGGCAGAGATTAGGCTTATTTCTTCAATCTTGTCAATAATTGCCATACGCCATCTCAATCCGACTAATCAGTTGCCACCTTTCTATGAGACACAGTCACACTACTCTCCTACTAGTACGGAGTACTCTCCTACTCCGTAGATAGTAGGTAGATAACTACTCCCCGCACCATCGTTACCACTTACCACTTACCACACTGAGTAAACCAACTTAACCAAGACTATGTGGACTCTGCCTTATGCGAGGTCTAGGAATAGAAACACACGCCATATCCACTTCATTCTCAGGGTGAATACCTCCCTGCGCCAGGCTACCACGCTCCAAGTGCCTCAGCCCTCAAGTGACTCGAGTACTCGACTGAAGAGTGAAGTTTTTATCCCTTTCTGGATATGATTAAGACGACTGGATGGACTCCGTAGTGTGTAAACTGAGAGTACGGAGTAGAGACGGAGTACAGTGTAGGTAGCGAGGGAGTATCATTCTCGTTATTACTCCGTACAGGATCAGACTCTGGTTAATTCGCATACTTACTTGGATGCAGAGATTATATATGATCATGTCAGAGTATAATCACTCATCACTAATCATTTGCTATGGAATGGAGTGTGGAGACAAGACCCCTCAGTACTATAGAATCAACAGTTCTTTGTGCTGCCCTCCATATTGATATTAATTGAGGAGCAGGTATCTGCCGGAGAATATCTGGATGCTTATGGAAGTATCTATCTACCGCCTACCCCGTACCTGAATAATAACATGTCGCATGTGGGATTGGGGAACCGAATAATATCAATTGGTTGACTGGAATCTGAACCCTGACTGGGGTGCAGGGAGTCAGGAAATAGATAGGATGCAGGAGGCGAGGAGTACCGAGGCATATCACTGTTGTATCTTGAATCTTCCCAAGGAATAAGAACGGTCAGACCGGGAGGGAATCATTTCTATCAGGATGGGAAATGAGGCTATCCAGGTTGGATAACAGCTTACTCGAATCACGCATCGATCATTCACCTTAGAACATCATGACTATGTAACTATGAAAAGGTAGATAGCTGGTCCATCATTCCACACTTGGTATCTACCGGGATCTCCAGATCGTCGACGATTGTGGATCATTCTGAGCGCCCATTTTCATCGGGATCAGTTTCATGCAAATCATGGGAAGGTCTATCAACTCTCTGATAGCTTTTTTTAACATCGAGTCAAAGATGGTCGAGGGCAGGCTGCATCACCATAAGATCATGATGCAGTTGATAAGACTTTTGTTCAAAAGAGTAGTTGCTACTTATATATATATATATACCACTATTACCTCAAAAAAAAGAAGTAATCAGGAGAGCAACTGAATGTCCAATTATCCTCGACGCCTTGGGAATATATGCAAAAGATCATTTTTTTCAACCGCACAGAGAACGCCCATCCTAATCCACCAAAGTTCATGAAACAGCCATAGCAATTGACTAAAGCCAACAACATCGATGTGACACACATTTCTTTCGAAATTGGTTCTCATGGGGCTAAAAAGTGACATCCATCGTATCGTCTCCAGCATCAAGAGCACCTTGCTTTTCCGGATCGGGCGCCACCACGCCGCGTCCTCTTCCGGCCAGCAATTCCCGTCTGACTTCGGGGCCGATATCCTTGTGACCTCGAACCAGTAACAAATCAAGGAGCGCTTCACGCTGATCCTCGGTGATATCATTGCGGTAACGCTGTGCGAAAACCAACAGCGACTGATGCCAGAGCACAGGCAGCTTGTATGCCTTGATGGTCGCCCCGGACGGCCCGTCGGTCATCATCGAATCTTCAGCATTGTCGGCAGCGCGGAAACGCATAAAGTGGAACACAAGCGCATCAATTACTTTATACGGCAGCGCGTACTTCTTCTCAAGGAAAACACGGATGAAGATATTCACTGAACCAGTGCTTTCGAACGACTTGAGGGATTGCTCCGCAGACAGATCGCACATGCGGAGTAGCGCGGCCGCAGAGTGCAAGACTGGAATCGATACACGCGCGATGACAGAAGAGACGATGTGCGCTTCGCGCAAAGTGCAAGTACCGCTCGAGACCAAAGGAAACAGCAATCCCTTAAAAAAGCAGGCCGGCTTGTACAGTGCCTTCTTGAGAGCATTGTAGGTGTGGACATTCAGCTTCTTCGTCTCGTGAATCTCTTCCCGGACGCGGTCAAGGAGCACCGTCGATATGTATTCCTGTGCGACGGCGGGTTTTGAAGATATGAAGATTCGAGTCCCGGCATAAACAGCGTTGGCGGTCCAAGACTCAGGCCGAGTGATGGAAAGGAGTGTCGGCCAATTCGGAACAGTTGGTAGGATTTTGAAGGGCTTAGGGAGCGGGCCAGATTTGTAACGGGACAGTATCATGCCGACTCTAGTGATTGTTAGTTTCCGATGGATTATACAACAAATATCGAGTTCAGCCAGGAATACTCACTTTTCATAAACTTCAACAGCCTTTGCGGGTATTTGAACGGCATCTTCGGGCAGTCCGCCACCTTGGATCATTGGCCCAGTCTCGCCAGATTGCTTCGCTTCATGCTCCGCAATCTTTTCCAATATAAGATCGGCCAGATTTGTAGTCCTTCCACCCGTATCGGTTCCTCGGGGATTGAAGATAGGGTCTTCATCGCCACCAGGAACGAATTTGTGAAACATATCGAGGTCATTCGGGTCAACCTCCTGAACATATTGTGAGATCCTGTCGAAGCCGACTTTTTCAGAGGGGACACCACATACCACGTCCTCGACATCCTCTTCATCGTCCCACTGCTCTTCTTGAAATTTCCCCTCATCGTCGGACAAAGATTCACCGTCCTCGAATCTCGATTCAAAATCGAAGGCAGAGCTTGTTTTCAGATCTGTCGCACCCATAGCAGCCTTTCGTTCAGCGGCATCTTCCTCTGCCAATTCTTGACCTATCTGCAAGATCTTTCTCGTCATCTTTGCGTCGACATAGCGCTCGCCATCTTCTCCATCGTTTTCAGTCTGCGACAGATGCTTATTCTTCTTAGTAGACTGGGTTCGTAGATGACCTGCGGTCATGAGATCCTCAGCTAGAGGATTGTGCCTGCGGGCAGCAGCAGCGGCTCGAGAGGATGTTGCTTTCGGCATGACGTGCTTTCCCAATCGAATGAAAAAAGTTCTTGATTAATCTTATCTCGGGATGTCGGCCGATTCGGGTTTCTTGACGCCGAGCGACTGCGGCGATGTGTTTTGGAAAGCAGCGTTTGGACCCTTTCGTTTTTTGACTCTCTTATGTGAATCAACGAGAAATTGTGTGTAAATTTCAAGATCATGTGACATGGAACTTTTTCTGCCGGTCGATATGGAGAGTTTCCGGTTGGATTTGCAGCAAATGGCAATTGACCGCCTTACTATCGCCTTTTCCAAATGGCCGAGACTTCCCACCGCCCTCGTGCCCCTCCTCATTTAGGCTCTTTGCATCCCAAACATGTGGTTTTCTGCCGGAATATTTCTGATGACCGCCTTCCAAGAGATTACTGAATGGGCAACAGCTTCCGCCCTCAACTTGTTTTTCCATTGCTATCAGTTTTGAGAGGACTAGCGTTTATAGAATATTGGTGATTGTTCATCTCTGATCTCTTCTTTTCAACTGAACGAAAATATCTATCAAATTAGCCTCCATATACCTAGTATCTGAGATTGCTATCCCACGCCTTGCTCGCGAAATTGTGCAGAAGCCGGAGCAACGACAGGTTACTCTTCTAATTTGACATTGATAAAGTGGCTGCGTTTAAGACCTTTGTTGGCTCTTATTCTTCCAGTAGTATGTACGTCTCTCTAGTATTCTTCGTGCGACAATGTCTCCTCGCTGAGCTTGGTTTTGATTCGATTGGCATGTATCTGACGCATGATGTCTAGCCATAGTTATCTTCTTTCCACAATCGTTTGTGTTGATAGAATCATCGCAATTCAATATACACATCGAGCATAACCTAGTCAGCTCACTCGATATCCCACTTTTCATCCTGTGATCGGTGGCTTCTATATAACAGCGTTCCCCGAGAAGGATTTGTCCTTTGTCGAGCGCAAAGGGTCATAGGGATAAATGATCTCGACGCGTTAGATTAACTGAGCTTGCAAGGATCGTCTTCTTGATTTTCTTCTTCTCTTTTCACGGCGAAATAATCCAGCATCTTCATGGGGTCTACACAACCGGCAGGGTCTTCAGGCCCGTCATCCAACATTAACTCTCCGATAATAGCGCCAGGAACAGCTCCTTTCCTCAATGGTGTAACTGCAGATGTGAGATCCTCCCCGGCACCTCCCAGTAATGCATCAGTGCAAGCCGATAGCACGAGATCAAAGCGCAACAAACGGGATAGTCGGAAAAAGAGAGAGGCCAAGGGCCTTGATCAGGAAACCGTCCAGCCCAAAAAGAAAGCCGCCCTGGCTCAGCATACCGCTGTCCCCAGCTCTGAAATCAGCATTCTTCGACCCATCTTGCTTGCGGAACCCAGAGCTTCGGATTTGTTACCACCACAGCCACGTCAACTGAACTTTGTGACCCGTAAAACATCCGATATAATCGGTCAAAGTTGGGATTTCTACGAGGTCGTTGACAAACTCACTAACAAAAACGGATTCCGCTATAGCTATGCCATAGCCGACCCGAGCTTTTCACATATCAAATACCGCCAAACCGACGTGCCGCCTTATCATGCCCGTTTCAGCTTTGAGGATTCACCCGCAGCAATTTTCTTTAGTGAAGATGCCCGTGCAGTCACAACAAGCAATCCTTGGCACACCGCACGTGCCAATGTTTGTGTGCGTGAGGGGACATACTATTACGAGGCTCGCGTTATCAGCGGAATCCTGAACGAACAATCTATACCTACCAATGGCACTTCTTTTAGCCCGTCAAGAGGCCATGTCCGTCTTGGATTTGCTCGGCGAGAGGCTGACTTGGATGCAAACGTTGGCGTCGACTGTTACGGTTATGGGATCCGTGACGTGAATGGCGAAGTGGTCAACAGAATGCGCTGCGAGTACTTCTTTCCGAAGGGCGAATCGATTCGCGAGGGGGATGTTTTGGGTATGCTCATCACGCTTCCGCCATTATCCCTTCATAAAAAGGTCGTCGAGGGGACCTATGACCCTACCATCGATGGGGACGGCTCAACGCCTGCACCAAAGTCTCATACAACTATGAATATCATCAGAGATCGCATTCCCTTTCACTACAAATCCGATTTCTGCTGGCAACAATCCAATATATTCTCCACAAAGCATTTACGAGATTATGCATTTAACCTCAAGGAAACCCCTACTTTTGGGCCACCATCACCTTTCAATAGCGAGGATCCCTCTTTGCGCACGCTGCCAGGTTCGAGCATTACGATCTTCAAGAATGGTGTGAAGATGGGCGCACCATTCAAACAATTGTATGGTTTTCTACCACCGGCCAGTAGGCTCGCAAATGGCACCAATAATTTAGGTATTGGCGAGCGAGAGAATGCTGACGATGGTATGCTTGGCTATTATCCTGCTGTCAGTTGCTATGGTGGCGGCGCTGTTGAATGTCGCTTCGAAGGCCCCTGGTGGGTTGGACCACCGTCTCAGGCAGATAACGGTGGGCCAGTGCGGGGAATAGGCGAGCGATTCGATGAGCAAATAGTGGAAGATGTCGTGGCAGATATTGTTGACGAGGTCGAAGCCATGCTCATTTGGGGTGATGTGGATGGCGACGTTGTTGGTAATGCAGAAGTTGATAGCTCCAGCGCTGGTGCTGTTGGAGGCCCTGAAGTCCTCAAGGGTGGAGTCGAGGCAGCATATGAATCTTCCATGATCTCAGGATCTCGAACAGATTCCACGGCTGTGGACAATATCTCCTTGGGCGAAGGAATCAACGGTAACAATGTCGGTGCAGACCATGCAATGCTCGAGGAAGCTCATGAACAAGGCCTTGGAGATCCTCCGAATGTCGAAATCTCTTCTACGAACCTGCCAAGCACGCTTGAAGATGTTGAGATGTCATAACATAAACTTTACCCGGGCTGTTGATCGACGCTGAATTTTCCCTCGCGAAAGCCCTCTATGTCTGCCTTTATTCTTTTGCGAATTTTTCTGGAGCTCTCAAATATTACGCCATATGTACGGCCAAGGGCGAGGACTGAATCTTCGAAAGCAAGGTCATTGGTATCTGGAACAACATCCTTTGAATTTATTCCCCCCTTCCAAGCTACCGGGACTGAGTCTCGGCCATGTAAAGTACCATGAATTGGATTATCTTAGGCTTTCAAAATTCTCAAAATCTATGTACCTCTCTACGCTGGCGCATCTCCAACATCGGAAATCGGAACCTTTATGGCAGAGGTGGTTGGGCGGAAAGTATTCAAGAGTCAGATCGAATTGCCTTATAGTCTTCTGTCATGCAGCGACTCTCCCACTTTCAGAACAAGCTCGTCATCTCCGTATTGGCCAATGACCTGAATTCCAACCTGATTCATGTCTCCAGAGTCTTTGTCTTCTGCACCCACGGTGACCGGAACAGACACCGCGGGTAAACCTGCGAGACTGGCTGGTACAGTGAAGACATCGTTTGTGTATGCGTCCAGAGACGCGAGAGCGGATTTTTTATCCATAATTTCTGACATGCGCGGCGGACATGACGGAGCTGTTGGGCAGATCAAAACATCGACATCAGCTTCCTTAGATGCCTGGTTGCCAGCGGCAGTGTGATGCGCGGGCGCCAGCGGTTGCTCGGCCTTGAAGACAGTATTAAAGTCACGCTGGATGAGCCGACGGACGCGTTGTGCTTGGATAAAGTAGTTATCTATGGTATCAGCACTCAAACTGAATGCGCCTAGTAGGATCCGTCTCTTGACTTCAGATCCAAAGCCATCGCCTCTGGTCTTAGCATACAGATAGTTCTCTGGTTGGCCATCGGAATCCGGGCCATCGAAGCGATATCCGTATCGAACCCCGTCATATTTTGCGAGATTCGAGGATGCTTCTGCAGGAGCCAGCACATAGTATGCGGAGAGAGCAAGCCTGGTTGCTGGAAGAGATACTGGATGGATAGTGTGGCCCTGGTCCCTCAAATATCTCAACGAGCGAGACCAAGCACGGCGCACCGAAGGATCGAGTTCATGGATATTATATTCAATAGGAACGCCAATTCTTAGAGGCGACGATGTCATTCGAGACGCGAGGGCGGGACGTTCGAGGTGCGCCGATATCCGAGATCGAGAGAAGGCAGACAGGTTGGTTGGGTCGCGGGGATCGTGCTGATTCAGAATACCTGTACTCAAGCAGTCAGCGCACAGTGCCACTAGATATAATATCAGAGAATAGATGGTCATCACCACTTACGGAATAGATCACGGGCGCTGGATGTGTCTTTGGCCAGTATTCCAACAGTATCTAGTGAATTTGCGTACGCCACAACACCCCACCTCGAGACCAGTCCATACGACGGTTTAAATCCAACGGTTCCCGTATAGGCAGCTGGAAGTCGAATCGAACCGCCGGTGTCTGTTCCGAGTGCCCTGCGATGTCGAGGTTATTCAGCCACCGTCGCATCAATCGAACGAGGGAGGGGAGATCCCTCCGGAGCTAAACACCTACGCATGGCATTGATCTGTAGCAACGGCAACAGCGCTTCCCCCAGAGCTCCCACCAGCTGACAGGATCTGACCTTCCTGGTCTGCAAGTGGACTTTTGACGGGCCCAAACCACGAATGAACCGAATGCGATCCCATGCCAAATTCATCGAGGTTCGTCTTCCCAGCGACTATGGCCCCAGCTTCCAGCAGCAGCTCCACCACCGTCGCATTATATGGACTGGTATATTTGGCTAGTATCCCGGATGCGCAGGTAGTTGGATAGTCGCGTGTGCAAATATTGTCTTTGACGGCAATGAAGCGCCCATCCATTTTGGACTTGGGTTTCCCTAGTCTCAGGCAATCATGTGTTAGTATTCGAGGAAGTCGCAAATCAGTAGGATACTTGAGATCAGAACTGCTATCGTACCCAATTCCCTCCTAAGCTCCGCATCCTTCACCTGCTCCCTCCATGAACCGGTGCGTTGCACAGTCGTTATAAAGGCATTGAGAGCCGCGTTTGACTTTGAATTAGCAATGCATTTCTCAGCTTTCCGCAGAAGGGACATTTAGATCTCCGGAACGAGTGGTAGGTGGTAGTAGGAGAGATAGTGTCAGATTTTGGTCGAGTTGAACGATAGCTGTGGAATGGATCCTAAGAACAGTTTAGACATCGGAGATTATTATCATGACATCTCTTTCGCCGGTGGATCAAGTGATGATCACCAGCTGTGGAGGACTACAGCAACTTGAGGAATTTGGAAGAGAAAAAGAGATATGGTTTGGGAGGACATTGTTCCTAAAAATGAATAAATGTATTCGATATCCAGCATGCAGTTGATGTTTTGTATTTATGTGCTGCGCCGATCACGAACGAAGACATGGACACGACAAATAAATATATGGGCACATGATGTTGAGACACTTAAGATAGGCTACAGATGGATACGAATGATGCCCGTATCGCACTCTGTCATGTCATCTACGCATCTAGGCTACCATAGTTATCGTGCAAGAACTGTGTTGACTTGACGGGGGACGAGCTGCTTCTTCTTCCTCTTCTTCTCCTTCGGCCCGACGGTTAGAAAAACGACGTCATTCGGTTTTTTTCCCTATGAAGCTACCAGGGCATTTCACCGCAACAACAGCTACAGCTTCGAAGCTCTCATCGCATTTCACCAATCGATTCATACGATTAAGCTGAGAATTACCACAGCTACTATGCTCACCCGATCTGTACTGCGATCTGCCACTGGGCCCTCTTGCACCGTTGCCTCCCTGGCCTCGAAAGCTAGAATCTCCCCCTTGTGGGCATCATCAGCACCCCAGGGCCAGTATAAGAATCCATTGTGTAGCGCGATTCCCACTGGAAAGCGGTTTGTCTCAGCATATGGCTATACGCAATCGAAGGCGCTGGTCTATTCGAAATATGGCGAACCAAAGGATGTTCTACGGTAAGAGCCTACCTGAACACAATTCTTTCAGACGTTGGTCAAGAAATGAGATTCTTCTAGGCGAAAGAGAACCAATCTCACTAGCCCGTACTTCTTAGGCTTCACAAACACTCAATCTCCCCTCCTCATGGAACGCAAGTTACTCTACGCCTCCTCGCTGCCCCACTAAATCCTGCCGACGTGAATCAGATCCAGGGTGTATACCCGAGCAAACCACCTTTTCAGACAGCACTTGGCACGGAGGAACCTTCGGCAGTGGCAGGGAATGAGGGTGCCTTTGAGGTTATCGCCACCGGTTCGAACGTCAAGAATCTCGCCAAAGGCGACTGGGTTGTCATGAAACAAACCGGGCAAGGCACCTGGCGCACCCATGCCCAGATGGACGAATCGCAATTGATCAAGATCGAAAACAAAGACGGTTTGAGTCCACTCCAGATCAGTACCGTCAGCGTCAATCCTGTCACTGCCTACCGAATGATCAAGGATTTCTGCGACTGGGATTGGATGCGTGCTGGAGAAGAGTGGCTCATCCAGAACGGAGCGAACAGCGGCGTGGGTCGAGCTGCCATCCAGCTTGCGCGCGAGTGGGGTATCAAGACACTTAATGTTGTTCGCGAGCGGGAGACGCCCGAGGAAACCGAAGCTCTGAAGAAGGAACTCTACGATTTGGGCGCCACCGCGGTGGTCACGGAATCCGAGCTACTCTCGGGCGAGTTCAGGAATACGGTCAAGGAGTTGACCCGCCAAGGCAAGGAACCAATCCGACTGGCCCTGAACTGTGTGGGTGGTAAGAGTGCCACAGCGTTGGCGAAGACCCTCGCTCCAGGTTCGCATCTGGTCACTTACGGCGCCATGTCAAAACAGCCTGTTGCTCTGCCCTCCGGTCTTCTGATCTTCAAGGATCTTGTTTTCAATGGCTTCTGGGTGAGCAGATGGGGAGACAAGCACCCCGAACTCAAAGAAAGCACTATCAAGGATGTGTTGGAGTTGACTAGATTGGGCAAGTTCAAAGATATCCCCGTGGAGTATCTCAAATGGACCTGGGACACCGAAGGCTCTGAGCTGGCTGCAGGTGTGCAAGAGACTCTCAGTGGCTTCCGCAAGGGCAAGGGTTTGTTGAAATACGAAGGCGACGAGTAAAAGGCCCCGTTGGGCAATTGTGTGGAAAGTGTACTATTATACGAAACCGCTAATGATGTAAGCCCAAGACATTATCTACAGTGATCGAACCAAACGCACAAAAAACAAAGCGTCACATAACATGTATCAGGCCTCTCAATAGTATGAACAAACCAAGTATGGACCACGATGCTTCTATTATGCATCTTCACATTTCCAATTGTCCTTAACCCAGTCCAGAATCAAATTAGTCAGAGTGCTTGATGGCATGTAAACGTCACTATCTTGTGAGAAATCAACATCGAGGCTTGCGAATTTGGCTGCCAGAGCCACATAGGGTTCAATGAAATCAATATACACAAGATCGACTGTTTTCGGATGAGTAGAAGCCTCTGGAGGGATAAGAGCTTGTATGCAGTTAGGAACGCGATAAAATGAGATTGGTGAATGAACTGTGTCGTCACCATCTAGACCCCCATCATCCAATGTGGTGTAGCCAGGGAAGACTTCATATTGAGAAAGGGCGCTGAGGGGAAATCTGGTTTGATCAGTAAGAAAGCGAGCAGGCATGGCATTGGCTTTGATAGCTCTATCGCGTGTAAATGCTGATTGCTCCGGAGGCGCAAGAGTCCATGGAAGATTACTCGACTGGCCCATAAGCCCAGTTAGAATCTGTGGCTGTTTGTTGAGAACTTCCACAACCGACTGCGCTTTGTCGTAAGGGATATCCTTAATGTAGCGGAATCCGCTGGTAAAAGGAGAGACAATAAACGTCGTGTCTTGCGTAAAAGGGCCCTTGAAAATATCAAAGCGGATGGCTCCGGTGTTGACAACGACCAGCGCTGATTTTCCGGTACGGGACTGGTCTCGTACTTGATCCGGGAGAACCTCCTTCTCAAGCCATGTATAAACACTGTCCTCGGAAGGATATTTGACTCTGCTCATCCAGAGGTCTCGAGGTGCGCATCCATGGATCTTATCCAAGTAGAGAGCGGTTCTGGACTCCTGAATAAGAAGAGACACATTTCGACCATGCTCTGTGGGGAATGACTCCCGATCAAGGCCGGTGTGGTGCTGGAACGAGAAAAGATTATTGTCAATATAGCGTCGGAAGAATTTGGGAGATGTCATTGCAGGTTTTATCCGGTTCTTGCTGGTGGACAAGCCGTCGATTGACATGAAACCAATAGTTTCCATGAAGCGACCACTGGCTAGAGCATAAGCTCTGGAATCATAACGAGCATAGTCGCGAATGTGGAAATGACCGCCAAAGAATTGTATGGGTACATCCCACCGAATCTTCCTAATCTCTTTGAAAACGGCCGAGAACTCTTTTGAATGAACTGGAACGTGACCGATCACCAGGAAAAGATCTACCTCTGCGTCTCGAATGGCTTCCTGAAACCAGCTGGTTTTAATGGTATCCTCCACTGTATAGACAATCGTATTGTTATAGTTCTTGGTGAAGTCAAAGAGAAAACCGAAGGCGATGATACGAATACCTTGCATCTCTGTGGTAAACTTCTTGAATCGAGGAGCTAATGGGACCAACTCTTTGGTGCTAGGATGGAGAATGTCGATATTAGACGCTAGGTAGTTTCCGCGAAAGTTGGGTACAGTCGTGTAGAACTCAGTTTCAGAACTGTTTTGCTTGTATAGCTCATGATTTCCAGAGGACATTAGATCAATATGCTGTTGACGTAAAATATCGGAGACGTAGACCCCCTTGGGCTCCGATGAATCATATAGCCCATTTCCCTCAACTCTATCGCCCGTATCAATAACTAGTAAATCAGTTCCCTCTGCGTGTGCCTTTTCCCGCATCCGGGTTGTGAAGGAGACGTAGTCTCCCCAATCAGCTCCATAGGAAGCCCTTTTAAGGATCAGCATCAGCATCAACGAGTTTCATTAACGACGCATAGAGCGGCAGAGCCATACTCCTGTAAGTGACCAGCCAACCATCCATGAGTATCTGTAGTATGCAAGAAGTTGAGCTGACCCCATTTGAGGTCGCGGATAGGTGCAGGGATGGGATCTGGAGCCGATGGCTGAACAGCCAGAGAGGATGATGGCAGGAACAGAAGGAAAGCAAAGTAGCGAAGAGCATCCATTACTCCCGTGCCCTACACCCTTCCCTGGAAAAATTACGGAATGAAACAATCGGAGCTATCGCATGGAAGCCCCTTTGGTCTTGTCTTCGGCGGTGATGCCGATGGCTTATAGATAGATAGGTAGTAAGTAGATAGTCCGTTGTATGGATAAACAATGATACGGAAGGAGGTGCCGGTGAGGACAACAGCTTAGTCATCGCCAGCCCAACAGTCTCGAAGCTCTCATCAAAATCCAAAAAACCTATCGACGGCCAGGTCCGACACGGAGTTAGGAGGTCTTTGGACTGTTTTCTTTCTGTGATTCTTCATCATCTTATCCTCTATAATTCGTTGCGGAACCTCTCCAGAGTCTCTCTTTGACTATCCTTTTTAGATTCCTATCCCCATCACCGCAATGGCTTCTCCACGACTCTTCCGCCCAGCAGCTCGTCTGCTCTCGTCGCGATTCTCCGCTGCACCTCTCCGCTCTTCTTTCCAGAAATCCGCCTGTGCCCCCTCGATCTTACGCGCTCGGGGATATGCTTCGGAAGGCGGTACCAAGGAGGTCACTGTTAGAGATGCACTGAACGAAGCCCTTGCTGAGGAGCTGGAGAGCAACCCCAAGACTTTCATTATGGGTGAGGAGGTTGCACAATACAACGGAGCGTATGTCACTGTCCCATAGTTGTTGATTTCTTCCATATCATCAGAGTCGCTAGACATCGTTTAATTGATCGCTCCCTTGGCTGACTCTCTTGCCATCTTACAGATACAAGGTGACCAGAGGTCTCCTTGATCGTTTCGGTCCCAAGAGAGTTATCGACACCCCAATCACAGAGGCTGGCTTCTGCGGTTTGGCCGTTGGTGCTGCTCTTGCTGGCTTGCATCCCATCGTAAGTCATCATCTCTGCATGGAATTCTCGGTAGATAAGACCTCAAAGACTGACATCTGCCTCACAATCCCAGTGCGAGTTCATGACATGGAACTTTGCCATGCAGGCCATCGATCATATCATCAACTCCGCCGCCAAGACGCATTACATGTCTGGCGGTATTCAGCCTTGCAACATCACCTTCCGTGGACCTAACGGATTCGCCGCCGGTGTCGCCGCCCAGCACTCTCAGGACTTTTCGGCCTGGTATGGCAGCATTCCCGGATTGAAGGTTGTTGCTCCTTGGAGCGCAGAGGATGCGAAGGGTTTGCTTAAGGCTGCCATTCGTGATCCTAACCCCGTCGTGGTTTTAGAGAATGAGTAAGTGCCGCTAAAGATGGTCTGGGTGCAATAGAATCTTGGTTCGCTGACCTATTCTTAGGCTTTTGTATGGTCAAGCCTTCCCCATGAGCGAGGCCGCTCAGAAGGATGACTTCGTCCTGCCCATCGGCAAGGCTAAGATTGAGCGTCCCGGAAAGGACCTGACAATCGTCTCTCTTTCCCGGTGCGTTGGACTGTCGCTCAATGCTGCCGCTGAGCTGAAGCAGAAGTATGGCGTCGAGGCTGAGGTCATCAACCTGCGCTCTGTGAAGCCACTTGATGTTGAGACTATCATTCAGTCTCTCAAGAAGACGGGCCGCCTGATGTGCGTCGAATCTGGCTTCCCCATGTTCGGTGTTTCATCTGAGATTCTCGCCCTGTCTATGGAGTACGGCTTTGATTACCTCACCGCTCCTGCTGTCCGTGTCACTGGCGCTGAGGTGCCCACACCTTACGCTGTTGGCCTCGAACAACTCAGCTTCCCTCAAGAAGATACCGTCGTTAGCCAGGCCGCCAAGCTTCTGCGACTATGAAGTATAAGCGGTGATGTGTAGGATTTTCAAGAGATCGAAGTATTAAAATCATGCGTCTAGTACCCTTTTTTGTTGCAGGCATTGTCATTGCTCCTTAGTCTGCGTAACCATATTTTGAATCTGTACAATTACAATTGGAGAATCGATTCCATCTTTCCACTACTTCGGTAACGAAGGTCATCTGCCCTGCTATTGATCTGTCTGTTCGCTCTCCGATTCCGCAAAAGCTGAGAAGAAAAATGGGAAGAACCGTAATATCCATAGTCCAGAAGTATTGGATGCGGACTATATCGGGCGATTCAGCTGAGTTCATATCAATAATGGCGCTGCTCTGCCATGTCTGTCAATGAAATAGAAAGATCAGATGGCCTCAACGCCTTCTGAAATAGTAAAAACCTCAAAACGCCAGAGAAGAAAGAAAGAAAAGAAAGAAAGTCTACTTTCTTGACGGAGTAGCCACCGCAACCCTTATACCGCTGCAAGCCCGTGTCTAAAGCCCAAACACATTGATGAACACTCTGTTGGTTTTCTGGGGTCATAGTAACCCGCGCCGATACTGTCATCCGTGTACTCATCCTCCGTATCGGTCTCCGCGAGCTCATTCTGACCAAGTGTATCTTTGGAGGGTTTGTTCTGGATGGGTTCACTCAACTCCGAAGTTTCGTCCGCATCATCATCCCCTAGCACGTTCTTCCTGGTTGATATTGAAGCAGCAACCGGTCCTTTGACCGTGGTGAAGGAGCTCTTGAACCCCCCCTTCTTGAAGCCTCCCCCTCCCCGACTGCTGGTCACTGCACCCCCACCGCTCGCCCCGGTGGACATCCCATCCCCGATAACTCTCAACCCTGCCTCTGCATCCGCTTTTCTCTCGGCCCTTCTTGCCTTCTCCGCAGCATTTGGATCTCGCGACAATTGTTTCAGATCTTGCAGGCGCTTGCGGTGTTGATGATCGTAGGAAGAGATATGTGCTTCGTATTCCGGGTGGCGAGAGTAGGACTTATTGCAGAGAGTACATGTGAAAGAGCTTAGCGCAGAGCGGGCAGATTCGGTCTGAAGTAAGCCCAGGAGGTTAGTGAGTGATCATATATGGGATGTCTTCTCAATGGAGCAGCACAAGTGCCTTAGGCGTGGTAGTACCTTTGGGGCCGGGTTCGTGAGTCCTCGCTGTGTGGCACCAGATAGCACAAGCCGACAGTCAGTAACAGCATCATAACCAGCAAGTAGACATAATTGACGGATGTATCAAGACATGGAAAGCCATCTTGCAGTCTGACAAGAATAAGACTTCTGGGTGAAACATACAGGTGCCATTGCAATCTGAAACTCGGAATGGCGCGAAGAGAGTGGTTTATCTGAGCATCCAGGTCATGGAAAAGATTCACGATATGACTGAAATGGTTGGAGCTTGGAAAGACTATGTCCTTAGAGAAGTGCAATATCTGTTTATTATTTCGTATTGACTGTCATACCCAACTTCTTTCGACTGCGTCTGTGACACCCGAAGAGATTCTATGATAGCGATAACGATAACTAACTACAGAGTACTAGTTAGCGAAATGGAGAACAATAATTTGGAGGTGGATTCAGTCAACAGGAACAGATCAAGCAGACAGCCAATCAGAGTACTTGAATAACAAGCAGGCACTCTTGGGAAAAGCAAAGCAGAAAACCCAAGGCACTGCAATAATTACTAGGTAGTCATCTAGTTCGATACTACTTCTCAAGTTGCCGTGCGCATTATTACTACTGTCCCAGCACAGGCTTGCACCTCTTGCAAACCCATGGGTTCGAGTCTAGAGTTCTTGACGAGACTGATGATGCTATGAACAGATGACTTTTTTTTTCTTGATATATTGCTTGTTGTTTCCAATTCTTCTTGTACACAATGCAGGCTCCCGAGGACCTCCCGGTGTTAAAAGCCGATGACGTTGATTCTCGATCCCTGATCTCCATGCAGGAGTTGGATCCTTCTCCGGTTCATGAAGAAGGCTGTGATCTCGAGAGCGGCGACTACTTTTCTAGAGGTCAGGATGTGCCGCCAACCCAGGGCGGGTTATCCAACATCAACCTGGGCCTCCGCGGCCACAACTGGGATTCTTGGTGTACGTTTCCCAGAAAGAAGAACAAAACAAACTTTGAATGAATCGCAAGCTGATGCTCCGATTCTTCATGATTACCAGTATCCGCGCTACAGAAATACTCGACGTATCCCCCAACATTGTTCTTTGCATTGCACTTTGCGAACACCTCGCTCATTCCGTTGATCACACGCTCCGTGCCTGATAGCGAGAACTATTTACTTCTTACAAGACCTTTGTATCAGTCTCCATCCCTCGAACATGCCGTCCTTACCCTTCCTATCCTGGCCCATGTCGCTTCTGGAATTGTCCTGCGAAACATCCGCTCCTCTCGCCGGGCACGCCTCTACGGGGTGGAGACCAGGTCCCAGAGGTATACGCTCGCATTCTGGCCCCGAATGAGCTTACAAGCGCGATTGGGGTATCTCCTTATCCCACTGCTGGGTGCTCACGTCTTGGTCAACCGCGTCGTGCCGTTGGTGGTTGATGGTGGAAGTTCCGGAGTCGGGTTAGGGTATGTTGCTCATGGGTTTGCACGAAGCCCGGGTTTTTGGAACATTTACTATCTGGTCTTTGTCACTGCTGGAGTGTGGCATTTCGTTGGAGGATGGGCCAATTGGATGGGATGGAGAGTCACCACAGCTCGGAAGGAACGAGGACACAAGAAGGGCTCCCTTGAGGGGTATCTGGGCCACAGAGATAGCGAGCAACGGGCGAAAAGACAGAGGAAGATATGGTGGGTTGTCAACGGAATTGCCGCAGTAGGAGCATCTTTCTGGCTCGCAGGGGCATTGGGAGTGATCGGATTGGGAGGCCGGGGTTCTGGCTGGGAGGGTAGCAGTTGGGATGGAATGTATAGCCAAGTTCCAGTCATCGGGGCCTGGCTTTGAGACGCGCGTGTACTGTGGACTTTCGGCGGGCCTGTAAAATACTAGAGACCATACCTCATCATAATTATATATATCGCATGAATGTGTGTGTGCAAGCAAGTGGGCGCAAATATGTTGTATATCGGAAACACTTTTATCTGAGTATCTGGTCCGTGCGTTTCATCCGTTTTTTTTTTTTTTTTTTTTTGTTCCCTCCGATACAATAATCGGAAGCCTCTTTCCAGCTCACAGGGGACGGAATTGTCAATGGATGAGAGAGACATTCTGCTCGTCTGAAGCCGATGCGGACGACAACTCTCGCACGTTCTCAGCGCCTGGCAATTATCTGGCTATCTCCTGGAAGTCGGAGACCCGGTTTTCTTGTCCATCCTCTACCCACGAACGCATACACAGTGCCCCACCGTCGCTTGGACACACTTTTGTCGCGATATCATATTTCAACCATGGCAGAGAAACCAATCCAGGCCGATGTTCCCGATTGTCTGGTGCAACATGACGGCAAGGAGTACAAGGCTGTGAGAGAAGGGCGGGCTTCTATCCTGAACCCACCTGCCCAGGCCGCGGCTTCCAAAGGTACAAAGAAGGACCTCAGACCTGAAGATGAATCACAATCTGTCTTCTACAACCCCATCCAGCAGTTCAACCGAGATCTCAGTGTATTGGCAATCAAGGCGTATGGAGAGCATTTGCTTGCGCTCAAGAAGCTGAAGGCCGAGAAGAAGCGAAGTGGCGTGGGCAGGGGAAAGAAGCGGAAGAGAGATGATGAGGCTGGCACAGAACAACCAGCAACTTCAGAGGAACTTCCTGGCGCAAACGGGAACTCTACAGCTTCTGCACCACACCCAGAGCAGAGTGTCATTCCCTTCACAATTTTGGACGCTCTCTCCGCTACAGGTTTGCGGGCCCTGCGATATGCGTCAGAGATACCCTTCGTTACTTGTGTGGTCGCAAATGACCTCTCGAGCTCTGCCATTCAGTCGATGAAGACGAACATCGAGTACAACGACCTTGGAAAACTCATTCGACCGAATCTAGGAGATGCACGTGCTTACATGTACAGCATTCTCAACCAGACGAGTACGCCCGGCAGTGGAACGCACACCAGCAAGTTTGATGTCATTGATCTGGACCCCTATGGCACCGCTGCGTCGTTCATGGATGCCGCTGTCCAGGCTGTCAAGGATGGGGGGTTGCTGTGTGTCACCTGCACAGATGCGGGCGTTTGGGCGTCGAATGGCTATCCGGAGAAAGCGTATGCTCTTTACGGGGGTGTTCCTATCAAGGGATCGCATTCTCACGAGGGCGGGCTGCGCCTTATTCTCCACGCGCTGGCCACCTCCGCTGCGAAATATGGGCTTGCAATTGAACCCCTGCTTTCGTTATCGATTGATTTCTATGCTCGCGTTTTTGTTCGAGTTCACCGATCCCCCGCTGAGGTCAAGTTCACCTCAGGCAACACGATGGTAGTTTACAACTGCGATTCTGGTTGCGGGGCGTGGTCAACGCAACCCTTGACCCAAACCAAGCAAAGACTGGATAAGAAGGGAAATCCTTTCTACCACTACGGGTTCGCTCAAGGGCCTATTGCGAACGCACATTGCGAGCACTGCGGCTTCAAGACCCATGTGGGAGGACCCATGTGGGCCGGGCCGCTTCATAATCCTCATTTCATTCAAAAAATCCTCGACATGCTTCCCAGCGCAGATAGAGAGATTTATCAAACGGTGGATCGGATTGAAGGTATGCTCACTACAGCGCTTGAAGAGGATCTGTTTTTGGACTCTCGTCCAGGCGCTGCCGTAGAGGGCACAAGCGATGATGATGATGGGAAGGCCTCCGGAGATGCGACATCGCCCGCATATTCGGCCATTATTCCCCGATCGGACCCGGCCGCTCGCGACCCGTTCCCATTCTATTTTACCCTCAGCTCATTGGCAAAGGTCCTACACACATCCACCATATCCGTTGATGCATTCCGCGGAGCTCTCCGACACCTGGGCTATCGGTCAACGCGCAGTCATACGAAGCCCAATACTATCCGCACGGATGCTCCCTGGGAGGTAATTTGGGAGGTTATGAGGGAATGGGCGAGGCAGAAAGCCCCTATCAAAGAAGGCGCACTCCGCCCGGGCACTCCTGGAGCGGCGATTATGGCAAAGAGCCGAGAAAATCTTCACGGACACAAGGGAGACGATCGCTTAGATATTTTGAAGAGAGAAATTGCGTCTGCTACGGAAAATAGCCAGGATGTTGCCGACTTAGTGACAAAGATCGAAGCTGCGCTGTATCGGGCCAAGTGCAGACAGACAGCAGAGTCGGGCCCATCCGTATCTGATCCCCTGAGCACGGAGCCACGTGAGCCACATGCGCCTGCCAAAGAGAAAGGTCAAGGTGAAGCCCCTCAGACTTCACGAGTTATTCCAGCGGCCAAGCAGGATCTCAGCACATTGGAGGTTGTCTTCGATGAGGCGCTGGGCAGAGAAGCATCCCTTGCTCAGACCAAGAAGCGGCTTGTCCGATATCAGATCAACCCGCGGGCCAATTGGGGCCCTCTCAATCGAGCCTCCGGGTGAGGGATGTTTCAAGTCATGGGTCATGTATGTGCTGTATTATCCTCGAGCAACTCTGTCAAGTATGAATTGAAAGTCTGGTCAAACTCGATCATCCGAGTTTTGTCATTCCATTAAAATCCAAGAGCCAACCGTTTCAGAAAACCCCTTCTATTGCGTTTTCAACGAGCCCAGATCTCTTACGCCGCAAGTCGTAAGGCACCAGACTGAAATTTCCAGATTTGGAGACCAGATAGAACTGTATGTGAAGGCCAATGGAATAGATCTACCTGATATGGAGTGAGGTCTCCGTAAGTTTGACAGACCTCGCATTCGGCTCCGTAGCTTGTCCCTCCTCTCTTGTTGGAATCGTGATGGTGCTTGCAAAGAAACAGCGAGTATCACCCTTCGAGCTCTCGGTAGAAAGCACTACAGTCAGTCAATGAAAATTGTAGAGACCGTAAGGGTACTCACAATTACTACAATTCTACAATATTGCACGTGGATCAGGCCCGGAGCATCAGATGCTAGATAGATTGAACTCACGGCGAAATAAGACGACCTGAAGCAATGGCTAATCGTTGAATTGCGATGCCGCCCTCTATCAGGCTTCGGATGTGTGGAATTGTTGAACATTCAGCTGTTGGTAGAATGTATAGGACGTCAAGATCTTTGAATTTCAAAGCGAATTATATTTCACTAATCTAAGTACAGAAGATTTCCAGTACACCAGTAATCTATATCACGAAATAGTAAGAAAGTATCACCGTATGAACCCCGTGGAACCATTAGAACTTCGAAACAGCAACCGCCACAGCTTGAGAATCACTGTGGCTGATGCTGACACTCACTTGTTTCACACCAGCTTGCTTGGCAGCCTCGGCCGCAGCACCGTGAAGCTACAAGTGGTTAGCTGAGAACTCATCGCGAAATGTCATGACGCTGGAACAAACTTACATTGACCACAGGAGCACCATGGGCATCGGTCAAGATCTCAATGTCTTTCAGGGGGGCGCCGGCACCCTTGCTGGACACACCCAAGGACTTGAAAACAGCCTCCTTTGCGCTCCAACGTCCGGCGAAGGATGACCGGGGCGAGGGGGCCTTGCGACAATACTCCTGCTCGCTGACGGTGAAATTCCTTTCAATAAAGGTTTCGTTCTCGATGTTGACTGCATCGATATTTTCCACGTCGACACCGACCTTAGAATTCTCTTCGGCATGGGCTCTCGCGAGGGACTCAACCATCTGCTTGGTGCTCTGAGAATCTTGGTCACTCGCCTTGGGCGGCGCCGACGGGAATTTGAGCTCCGAGGTCTTCTTATCAACGGCTACGCGGTAGTCGGGATTCAGGAAGACTTTGCTTTGGATTTTATCTTCGTAAGGTGCCTTATTTTTAGCAACGAAGATGCTGTTGTTGATCAAGCCGTTATGGAAGAAACGGTAAGCCTTCTTCTGTCTCGCTTCGACCTTCGTCTTGTAGGCCTCGAACTGAGCCCGATCCAGGGTTGCATAGAGATACTTGGGGTGGATACCGATGACCTGGGCACCTTTCTGGCCGAAACCGAAAGACGTGACCGAAAATGCTTTGATGCCATCGGTCTGGATGCTGCGGCTGGGATAAACGATATAATCGAATTTCTCCATGACCTTATCCACGTTGTCTGCATTCCGGTTGCCAGGTACCAGACCACTGTCCAGAACCTGCAGACAACCGTTGAACATCCATGCGCCGGCGGCACCCTTGGGATGGCCGGTAAGGTACTTCTGGAAAATTCCCAGAAGGGCGTTGCCCTTCTGACGGCCCAGATGCTTCATCTGCTGGCAAATAACGTCGGACTCATTCTTGTCATTCGCAACTGTGGAAGTGCCGTGGAACGAAGCCACACCGACATCGTCGACCGTAAGACCCCAAGTGGCAAGTGCACCGCGGAGGGGCGCAATGCGAGAATCTTGCTTCCAGAAGTTATTACCCAGACTAAATTGGGCATCCTTCTCCTGTCGAATGGCCTCACGCTCAATGTGGCGGGCACGTTCCTGTGTGTATTCAGCCACCTCAGATGATTCAAGGCCTTGGGCCTTCATGGCTTCAATTTCTTCCTGGAGATACAGGAGCTCCGACTCATGCCATTCCTTGATCTGCTTCCTGCGCAGGTCCAGCTGTCGGCGACGATACTTGATGTCCAACAATGGCGACGGGTATTTGCCTGGGTTCTCTCGGGCAGTGGTCAGAACACCTTGGCCAGGAGCGGGGACCGAGCGACCGATCTTGTCTGTTGCGGTCGTAGTGAGGGCAATGACACCATAGATCGGCACACCCATATCCAGGGCAAGCTGCGCACTCATGATGAGCTGCATACCGCAACCCTGCGACTCCATGAACCCAGCACGCGTAGTAGTTGTGGGTCGGGACATTTCTTGTGGGGTACGACCGTGAGCAAATTCATCCTCTGCATTGCTGGTGGCCTTCATGTTCGCGAATTCATACGATCCTTCCTCTTGGAAGTCATCGAAACCACCAACAAAGCAGACACGGGCCTTGCCTTCCACGATCGTTTCATAACCAATGTCGACGGACTCCACAGCGGTAGCACAGGCTCCGACGGGTGTCTTGATTGGGCCAGTGGAGGAAAGAAGCAACATATTGACCCAAGCGCTCATTGTGTTGATGAAAGACTCCTGCAGGATATCCTTCTGGAGCGGTTTGTCAAGATAGCGATCCTTGTACATTCCTCGGAGGGCGTGGGTGCCACCGATACCTGAACCGATACAGTTACCAACTTCAGACAGGTGGACATATTTGTAGAACTCATAAGGATCGGTGACACCGGCCGACAGCATGGCTTCAGCCGTGCAAACAAGCACAAACAAGGTGACCGGATCAACCTGCTCAATGATGTCGTCAGGAATGCCGTATCGTTTTGCGTCCCATCCAGTGGGGATCTGACCGGCCACGAGGCGATCAAACTGCAGAGCCTTGGGAATCAGAAGGGTGGCTCCCTTCTTAAGACGAACAGTGAATTCCCCAGATTCAGGGAGCTCGAAAATTTCAACCTTATCGCCATGCTCGCGCTTGAACTCCTCCGCAGTTTCTCTGGAAGCTTCGAAAGGCTCGAGGTCCTCCTGGATGACAATCTCTTGAAGAAGTTGCTTCTTTTTCGGGTCATAGCCCTTGAAGAGCTCCGGCTCAATGAGTCGTATGCCAGAGTGCTCCAGAATATGCTTTTCGTATTTGGCTTTAATATCTTTGTCATCGACTGGCTCGCCAGACTTCGCGTCGACCCACCCAGAATAAGCCTTGCCCTTTAGAGGACCATTGTGGTGTTTGATCAGGCCCATGATCCAAGCCATCTCAACACAGCCCTCCAGTGAGAATTTGCCATAGGCTTCCATTTCCCAACGGGTGCGCGAGTTACCCCAGGGTCCAACTTCTGCAAAACCTGTCACAACCACCACCTTGTCGAGATTGACCATGCCCTTGAGAGACTCGTTCAGAGGCTTGACGTCGTTCTCCCAGTCAGGCAGAGTGGGGAACTGGAACTTGATGTTCGCACGGGGCTCTGCGATCACCTTCTTATAAAGTACTTCGCTGTCCTCCCCGTTGACAATCTTATTCTCAATCGCGGTTTCCTTGATCACCGCTTGACGAACATCACTGGTCTCCATGATGTCCGTTCGGAGCTTGGTCATAAGGCTCTTCAGATCTGGGATGAACTGGAGGCCACCGTTGAGATCAGCCCAGACAGGGTCAAGCTGGCAAAGGTTGACGACTGCGGGTGCCATGAGGCCAAGTAGATTGAATGCCATTTCTTGTTGCGAAAACGTGCGAACTCCAAGTTTCTCCACGCCTTCCGCGACCATATTGTTACCGCTCATCAAACCGGTGCCTCGAGTCCATCCGATGACGGCACCGCAGATGGTAAGATAGTTGCTCCAATTCTCCGAGTACCAGCGATTGAAGAGAGTCTCAAGGGCAAGCTTGGACTCGGAGTAGAGACCATCATTGCCGAATGTGCCGTGGTTAGGAGAAAGGGGAAGGATTACCTGGGCTGGCCGCGTCTCGAAGCCATGGCTCTGTTTCTGGCTCTTGATGCAACCCAGGAGTCGCAGCAAGTTGGTTAACATGATACGATGGGCAAGTTCAGACTTGGAGTCAATCGAGTCGATCTCCCGACCATTCTCTGGAATGGCCGCGAAGGGTACGACAAAGTCCAGATCCCAGCCGAGGCCCTTCTTCGTATCATAGATGTAGTCGACCAACGCTTCCACATCTTGCTTGCTGCCCTGGTTGAACGGCACCACGACGAGTTGCGAGCCGCGTGCACCATAACGGGCATACATAGCCTGGTAGTATTCAGTGACCTCCCGGGAGTACCGGCTTGTCGTGACAACCACCTTGGCACCGCCACTGATCAGACCTTGCAGAACCTCGGCTCCGATGGAGCCAGCACCAGCACCGGTCATCAGAACGTTCTTTCCCTGGAAGGTGAGACCCGACCGTGCAGCGGACTCGAGAACATCCAAATAGATACCTGTGAGCTTCTTGTTGTATTCCCAGCCATGCTCATGCTTCTTCTTAAGATGCAAAAAGGGTATCGTCTCCACTTTGCCAACTTGAGGGGCACCATTGCGCTTGACACCACCCCGGCCGGCTTTCTTGCCCTGACCACTCTCCTGTGGCATGATTTGGTTCTCGTTCATGCTCAGAGCACGAACGACGTCCTTGTAAAGCGCGTTGAACTGAAGTTGAGACGCTTTGGACATGCGATGTTGCTTGCGGATCAGCTTGTAGACACTCTTGAGATCGTTCTGCACCTTGGTCCGGTTGCTGTACTCTGAGATAGGACCACCGTCAGCCATCTGCTTGACGTAGTGCTCCAGCTTCCGAGCGCTTGCCCGAGGCTCTTCCTTGTACCCAATATTGCCTCGAGCATCGATGGTTGTCTGAGGGCCGGTGGGGACGGCGACATCTTTGTAAACCGGGGCGACTCCAAGGACTTCTTTGCAGTTCTCGATAAGTTGTTGACCGAGCTCCTTCGCCAGGTAATACGTCTCTCCGCGATCGGTGGGACAATTGTCGATATGGTATTGCATGAAGTCAAGGAGAAGCGGGTTGGAGCGGTTCATGATACGAATACACTGGCTGACGATTTCGCGATCGACAACCTTGAGTCTTCCGAAGATGATGTCGTAATACATGCTCAATGCATCCTGGCGAGCCCAGTTCCAAGACGAATCATAAACACGGGCCTTGAGGTGATCAAACGCTGGTTCAATGCCAGACGCGTAGAAGTCGCCATGTTCCGCCTGCCAGAGATCCAGCTGCGCTTGCAGAGCTTTCTCGGTTTCCTGAGAAGTGATGAAAGCCTTTTGACCAGCGCGTAGGTCCATCTTCAAGTAGCGCGCAATGATTTCAAGCTGCTGTTTGAAGAGTGCGCGTTGATCTTTGGTCAAAGCATCGATCGCGGCTGGATCCATAAGCATGCCGCCACCAGCAGCACCACTGTCGCCGCCAGCTGTGGGCGCCGAGAGACTAATGCCTGCACTGGCAGCATACTTGTTGGTCACGTCATCCAAATACGCCTTGGCATCCGCCTCAGATCCAATACGAGACGGGGGCTCCATTGTCAAGGCAAGCAGGAGAACGCCATCCTGTCTGCCCGACCCCAGACCCCACCTCGTCTCAAGATATTTACGAACAGCGGTAATGTTGAATCCTCCGGGCATCTTCGAAGAGACCAGACGAGCGATGAGAGATGACGACTGCTTGCCCAACTGGCCATTGAAGGTCGCCTGCATCGAGGCACCTAGCTCATCCAAGGGTGTATCCTCGGGCTTCTCTGGTGTAGATCCAAACTCCTTGCCCAAGTCTCCGAGAATCTCGTTCTGTAATGTAGATTTACCTGTTCAAACAAGGGATAATCAGCCCAAATGTTCTAGATTCTTCTTCTTAAAAGGCTGAGGAGTAGTAAGGGGCTCACCTCCGACCAAGTCTTTGATTGCTTTGCTAAGAGGGACATCCGACAAGCCTTTCTTCAACTTCTGTGCAACTAATGTCCTGAGAACGTCAACGGCAGTGATCGGGGCATCTTCGACGGCCGCAGCTGGGCCAGCACTCGGAGGAGGAGGAGCGGCAGTCGCAGCGGCAACAGGGGCTGAGGCTGAAGGAGTCGAAGCCGGAGTGCTGGCTACTGGTGCCTCGGCTTCCTCTTCGACAGGATCGACATCATAGTAGATTTCCTTTGCGTCCTTGTTGTAGCAGAGGATCTGTCGTTGCACCGAGGTGGCCGCGTCATATGCTTCATACTTGGATGCAAGCGTTCTCCGAGCCATTCCACCCAAGGTATCAGCAGGACCGATTTCCACAATCCGCTCTGTTCTCTTCTCTGCAAGAATCACATCTTGAGTTTCAATCCACCGCACTGGGGATGCAAACTGGTAAGCCAAAAGCTCCACCAGCAAGGTGTGTGCGAGTTCCTGTTCGATTTCAGGTCGCATGATTGAGGTTGTAGGTGTGTATCAACGACGATATGGGTTTTTGGGCGGTCGATGAACGAAAGTCTCCAAGTGCTGCCGGCACGGAGCTTTTCCAGAGGGGAGTGAAGTCGTCGTTTAGGGAGACTGTCCGAGGGGTACCACAAGTGACAGATGGAAGTGGAATCAAGAATGTCAATTAAAAAAAATAGTAACTGGAAATGAAGAAGAATAACAGGGTCAATGACCTGAAAGTAAAGATGATGAAGAAGTTAGCACAGTTCAATAGAAAATTGAGCTTCTATAGAGAGATCATGGCCTAATCCCCTCTATGTTTAGACTCTAATCTTCGATACAAGTGGGTGAAATTTTAAAGACGAAGGTGAGTGAACCTTTCAAAAAAATAAAAATAACCAACGGAGAGATGGAAACCCCCCCCAGCTCGAAACCACAAGCAGGTGGAGACGGTATGTTTCCTTAGCTTCCCCAAGCAGGCCAAAGGGAATAAAAAAAGTTGATCTTGAAATTTACAGGAATGGCCAACGGGTATAATAATAGGTAAGGTCGGGTATGAGCTATGAAGACCTTAATGAATGATGGGGAAAGGAATGGATGCCTCAGGTCTGAACCAGGTACACCAGTAGGATTACAATTGTTGGTCTACAGAGTAAGTCATATCCCACAAGTACATTCATCCATTTACTTCAGTATGAACATTGTGTTGACCCATTATCCCCCATGGAGTAACAATAATGGAAACAAGTAAGGAGTACTGGACACTGTACAGTAAGGTAAAAGAGTTTGTTGGAGAAAGGATGGGAAAAAGACAAGAATTACTGGTGAGTAGTGGTGAGGGATGAGTATTTGGTGAGTGTTGTTGGGGTGGGCTTCTCAAAGGTTGGCTGACAGGGTGGATCGCTCTTAGGGGGACTAGAGTCTAGACTACTAGTAGATAGTCTGTGAGTAGTACTTAAGAAGTACTCTGTAGAGAGTAAAGATGATTACTATCTATAGGGCAACATCTTATGATCCTGATGGGTAAGGACTAAAGACTGTAAGAAAGACTGAGATTGTTCTTGAATTTCTGCTGAGGTTGGGTCTCCTGAATGGAATTAGCTACTACAGATATCTGTCAGTAGTCAGTACTTATCTACGATAGTACTAGCTTTGGGGGGGGATTCATAATAAGAAAGTCTTGACTTCTCCCCTTGGTCCTCCTTATACAAAGTACCTAGGTATCAACTGTAATCATATTCCATCTCCAACGGATCCTGCTGTCGGCTTGCCGTTTGTCATAGAAGTAGATAATTTAGGTACCTTAACTACTCTTAAGAGGTACCTACGTAGTAGTATTCATTCTTACCAAAACTGTATTAGTGAGCAATACGTTACCGTCTGTCTGGTATGGTCACAACTCCCATCTATCGGATTCATCGGGTCAACCCAACCATTTGGACCTTTGGGGAAGTCATAATACGCGCCATGCCTCATTGGGGCTGTTTCCATTCAACCAGCCCCAAAACTGAGGAAATTTCTCCCTCCTTCCGGCCGGTTTTCAACATCCTTTTGATCTGGTCCTTCACTAAATGGGTCTACCTAGTCTAACTACTACTGAGTAACTGGGAACCCTCACGATGACAGAATGACTGGGGATTAGTCTAAGCTGTAACAGTATTACAACGAGGAGTAAGGTATACTCGGCAGGTACCAGAACCAACTAAGCTCATTATTATCATAGAGCTGTCAACGTATTGAACACAGCCAAATACAACATGAAGTACAGAGGACTAGTGTTTGTTGGATATTACAAGGGCATGATTATCAATTGTACTGATTATCAATACCCAATATGTTTGGATCCAATGTTTTGGTGGGTAAGGTCAAAGAAATTCTAGCAAAGTACTCTGTACGGAGTAGTTAAGTAACTTGGCTTGGTGCAGATTATAATTGGTATTATTATTAGGTATTATTCCATCCCATCCTTCTCCAGCCAATAATAGGTTATTTTAATCTCAAGACTCCATACATACTCACCTAGTACCTAAGGTACCAATACCTCGACCTGGGAGTAGACTACTTACATCTACAATTTTTTTTCTCCCTTCTCCCCATCTTCTTCTTTTGCTTGTTCAACTCTTGTGGAGTATATCCTTTTGTGCTCCTTAATCTCTATATTGTAGATTTATTTTTTTTAATTCCTTCTTTACGTCCTATTCCTTGTTCTTTGGTCGTCGGATTTCCATCCTCTATCCTTTCCCACTTCGCTGGACCGTGGACCAGCTGGTACTTCTAATTCCGTGAAAAAGCAGGTAAGGGCCAATTGTTCCTATCCAAGTCTCTGAGTTCCCTATTTTCTTTCTTGCATTTTCGGCGAAAGAGAGCATGAGTATCAATCTTTCAAGCCGTTCGAGAAGGAGAGGAACAAAGGTCGAGGCAGAAAAAGAAAAGAGCCGGGGGGCGGGGAAGAGGAGGATATTTTTGTCTCTTTCTCTCTTCTTTTTTTTTTTATTCGTAAGCCCTTGATTGCAATTTTGTCTCTAATGGTTCATGATCTACAGAACTTCTTGTGTGACTTCGCCGCTTTCACCCTCCTTTCTTCAGTTGCATAGAGACAGACACAAGCGCACGATAAGAAGATGTACGGAACATCGACTGGCCCTCAAACGGGTATCAACACGCCACGTTCCTCGCAGTCGTTGAGACCCCTTACTCTGACTCATGGATCGCTTGAATTCTCTTTTCTCGTGCCTACCTCCCTCCATTTCTACGCGACACAATTAAAAGATTCTTTCACGGCGTCCCTTCCCCAACCAACAGACGAGCTCGCTCAGGATGATGAACCTTCCTCTGTGGCGGAGCTCGTAGCTCGGTACATCAGTCACGTTGCGCATGAGGTTGAGGAAGGCGAGGACGACGCACAGGGAACTGGTCTAGAAGTCTTGAAGCTCACGCTCAATGAATTTGAGCGAGCCTTTATGCGCGGGAACGACGTCCACGCGGTTGCTGCCGCTCTCCCAGGAATCACTGCCAAGAAAGCCCTGGTGGTTGGAGCCTATTACGCAGGAAGAGCCGCTGCAGGACGACCGACCAAGCCCTATGATTCGGCACTGCTCCGAGCTGCGTCGGAAGAGAAAGCCAGTGTCTACTCGGTTTTCGGTGGTCAGGGCAACATTGAAGAATACTTTGACGAACTGAGGGAGATCTACACAACTTATGCATCATTCGTGGAAGACTTGATTTCTTCATCCGCGGACTTGTTGCAGTCGCTCTCGAGGGAGCCCGAGGCCAGCAAGCTCTATCCAAAAGGACTGGACATCATTCAGTGGCTACAGGATCGCGATTCGCAACCTGACACTGACTACTTGGTCGCAGCTCCCGTGAGTCTGCCATTGATTGGTCTGGTGCAATTGGCCCATTTCGTGGTGACGTGCAAGGTCCTGGGCAGACAGCCTGGCGAGGTTCTGGAGAGGTTCAGCGGAACTACTGGTCACTCCCAGGGTGTGGTCACAGCTGCAGCTATTGCCTCAGCTACCACATGGGAGGGGTTTGAAAAGGCAGCCAAAGACGCCTTGACTATGCTCTTCTGGATTGGTCTCCGCAGTCAACAGGCCTACCCACGGACCTCAATCGCTCCCTCAGTCCTGCAGGATTCCATTGAGAATGGTGAAGGCACACCCACTCCTATGTTGTCCATTCGGGATCTGCCACGGTCTGCTGTTCAGGAACACATTGACACCACAAACGAACATCTTCCTGCCGATCGCCACATCTCTATTTCGTTGGTCAACAGTGCTCGCAATTTCGTGGTGACGGGTCCACCTCTCTCCCTATATGGTCTCAACCTGCGCCTTCGCAAAGTCAAGGCTCCCACGGGTTTGGACCAGAATCGTGTGCCCTTCACACAGCGCAAGGTGCGCTTTGTCAACCGATTCCTACCCATCACCGCGCCCTTCCACAGCCAATACCTCTATTCGGCATATGATCGCATTCTGGAGGATCTCGAGGACATTGAGATTCCTGCCAAGTCTTTGGCTATCCCTGTCTATGACACCAAAACTGGCGAGGATCTACGGCAAAATGGCGACGTCAATATTGTGCCAGCTCTGGTTCGCATGATCACACACGATGCTGTCAACTGGGAGAAGGCCACGGTCTTCCCCATGGCCACCCATATTGTGGACTTTGGGCCTGGCGGAATTTCCGGTCTTGGTGTCCTGACCAACCGCAATAAGGATGGCACTGGAGTCCGGGTGATTCTTGCTGGGGCCATGGATGGCACCAACGCCGAAATCGGGTACAAGCCGGAGTTGTTCGACCGAGATGAGGACTCTGTTCAATACGCCATTGATTGGGTCAAGGAATATGGTCCTCGTCTGGTGAAGAACGCCACGGGCCAGACTTTTGTTGACACGAAGATGAGCCGTCTTCTGGGTATTCCACCTATCATGGTCGCCGGAATGACACCGACAACGGTGGCTTGGGACTTCGTTGCGGCCACCATGAATGCCGGCTATCACATCGAACTCGCTGGTGGTGGTTATTACAACGGGAAGACGATGACCGAAGCCATCTCCAAGATTGAGAAAGCCATTCCGCCGGGTCGTGGTATCACGGTCAACTTGATCTATGTCAACCCTCGAGCCATGGCTTGGCAGATTCCTCTAATCGAGAAATTGAGAGCGGATGGACTCCCTATCGAAGGCCTTACAATTGGCGCTGGTGTGCCATCGATCGAGGTCGCGAACGAGTACATTGAAACCCTAGGTATCAAGCACATCGCCTTCAAACCAGGTTCAGTCGATGCCATTCAGCAAGTCATCAACATTGCCAAAGCCAACCCTAAGTTCCCTGTCATTCTTCAGTGGACCGGTGGACGTGGTGGCGGTCATCATTCATTTGAAGACTTCCATCAACCCATTCTTCAGATGTACAGCCGCATCAGACGTTGCGAGAATATTGTTCTCGTCGCTGGTAGCGGCTTCGGTGGCGCTGAGGACACTTACCCGTATCTTTCTGGAATCTGGTCGTCGAGTTTTGGCTACCCGCCAATGCCCTTCGACGGTTGCTTGTTTGGTAGTCGGATGATGATCGCTAAAGAAGCGCACACATCCAAGAACGCCAAGAAAGCAATTGCCGACGCACCTGGCTTGGATGACAAGGACTGGGAGAAGACGTACAAGGGTCCCGCTGGTGGCGTGGTCACTGTCCTCTCTGAGATGGGAGAACCCATCCACAAGTTGGCAACAAGGGGCGTCTTATTTTGGCATGAGATGGACCAGAAGATCTTCAAGCTTGACAAGGCGAAGCGTGTGCCCGAACTCAAGAAGCAGCGTGACTATATCATTAAAAAGCTGAACGACGATTTCCACAAAGTGTGGTTTGGTCGCAATGCTGCCGGTGACGCTGTCGATCTTGAGGACATGACATACGCCGAGGTGGTTCATCGTATGGTGGACCTCATGTACGTGAAGCATGAGTCGCGCTGGATTGATGACTCCTTAAAGAAGCTGGCCGGCGATTTCATTCGTCGGGTTGAAGAGCGCTTCACCACCACGGGAGAGCAAGTCTCTCTTCTTCAGAATTATTCTGAACTTGATACGCCCTACCCAACTGTTGACAATATCTTGGCAACATATCCTGAAACGGCGACACAATTGATCAACGCGCAGGATGTTCATCACTTCCTTCTGCTCTGTCAGCGTCGTGGACAGAAGCCCGTGCCGTTTGTTCCGGCATTGGACGAGAACTTTGAGTACTGGTTCAAGAAAGACTCTCTTTGGCAAAGCGAAAATCTAGAGGCGGTCTTCGGACAAGACGTTGGAAGAACTTGTATTCTGCATGGCCCGATGGCCGCTAAGTTCTCCAACACCATCGACGAACCTGTCAAAGACATCTTGGACGGTATTCACCAAGGACATATCAAGGGTCTTCTTTTAGACGTGTACGGTGGCGATGAAGCTAAAATTCCTGTCATCGAATACTTCGGGGGCCGGCTCAGTGAGACCGGTGGCGAGCTGGACATTGATGGACTCACGATTTCGGAAGACGCGAACAAGATGAGCTATCGGCTATCCTCCTCTCCTTCTGCCGATCTGCCGGATCTTGATCGCTGGTTACGTCTTCTCGCTGGCAACTCCTACTCCTGGAGACATGCTATGTTCCTGGCAGACGTCTTTGTTCAAGACCACCGCTTTCAGGCAAACCCAATGAAGCGCATCGTCGCGCCCACACCCGGAATGTACGTGGAGGTCGTATATCCGGACGATCCTTCCAAGACAACCATCATTGTCAGGGAGCCCTATCAATCTGGCAAACTCGTTAAGACAGTAGAGGTCAAGATGAATGACAAGAAACAAATCAGTCTCACTCTCTACGAGGGCAGGACTGCCGAGAGTGGCGTGGTTCCTTTGACCTTCCTGTTCACCTATCATCCCGAGGCTGGTTATGCCCCCATTCGGGAAGTCATGGATGGCCGCAACGACCACATAAAGGAGTTCTACTATCGTGTTTGGTTCGGTAGCAAGAATGTCCCGTTCGACACCCCCACGACTGCAACTTTCAATGGTGGTCGAGAGACTATCACCGCTCAAGCGGTAGCTGACTTTGTGCATGCGGTTGGCAACACTGGAGAGGCTTTCGTCGAAAGGCCTGGAAAGGAAGTTTTTGCCCCCATGGATTTCGCCATTGTTGTTGGCTGGAAGGCCATCACGAAGCCTATTTTTCCGCGGACAATCGATGGAGACCTGTTGAAACTGGTTCATCTTTCGAATGGTTTCAAGATGGTCCCTGGAGCCCAACCCCTCAAAGTGGGAGATGTCTTGGACACAACTGCCCAGATCAACGCTGTGATCAATCAGGATTCAGGAAAGATGGTTGAAGTCTGTGGTACCATTCTCAGAGACGGTCAACCGATTATGCATGTGACCAGTCAGTTCCTTTACCGTGGGGCTTATCTTGACTTCGAGAACACCTTCCAACGCAAAGACGAAGTCCCGATGCAAGTTCACCTCGCTTCAAGCAGGGATGTGGCAGTCTTGCGGTCGAAGGAGTGGTTCCGACTGGATGAACCCGACGTCGAGCTACTCGGCCAAACCTTGACTTTCCGTCTTCAGAGCTTGAATCGATTTAAGAACAAGACCGTCTTTAGCCATGTTCAAACAGTCGGTCAAGTTCTCCTTGAGCTTCCCACAAAGGAAGTCATCCAAGTTGCATCGGTGGACTATGAGGCCGGCATCTCCCATGGCAATCCCGTTATTGATTACCTCCAGCGCAATGGAACGTCCATTGAACAGCCAGTCTATTTTGAGAACCCCATCCCTCTCAGTGGGAAAACTCCTCTGGTTCTGCGTGCTCCAGCTTCTAACGAAACCTACGCTCGAGTTTCGGGCGATTACAACCCTATCCATGTCTCCCGTGTCTTTTCCAGCTATGCCAATCTTCCTGGTACGATTACGCACGGCATGTACACCAGCGCTGCTGTTCGCAGTTTCGTTGAGACTTGGGCTGCTGAAAACAATATTGGTCGTGTTCGAGGCTTCCACGTCTCACTTGTGGGTATGGTTCTCCCCAACGATATGATTACAGTCAAGCTGCAGCACGTTGGTATGGTGGCGGGTCGTAAAATCATTAAAGTGGAAGCCAGCAACAAGGAAACCGAAGACAAGGTTCTTCTTGGAGAAGCCGAGGTCGAACAACCTGTTACCTCCTACGTCTTCACTGGCCAGGGCTCCCAGGAGCAGGGAATGGGTATGGAATTGTACAGCAGCAGTCCTGTCGCCAGGGAGGTCTGGGATCGCGCAGACCGTCATTTCATTGAGAACTATGGTCTTTCCATCATTGACATTGTGAAGAACAACCCCAAGGAACTCACTGTCTATTTCGGGGGACCTCGAGGCAAAGCCATTCGCCAAAATTACATGGCTATGACCTTCGAGACAGTGAATGCGGATGGGACGATCAAGTCAGAGAAGATATTCAAGGAGATCGATGAAAACACAACATCCTACACCTACCGGTCACCATCTGGACTCCTTTCTGCGACTCAATTTACACAGCCAGCGCTAACACTCATGGAAAAGGCAAGCTTTGAGGACATGCGCTCCAAGGGCCTCGTTCAACGAGACAGCAGCTTTGCTGGCCATTCCTTAGGCGAATATTCAGCTCTTGCTGCTCTTGCGGATGTCATGCCTATTGAAAGTTTGGTGTCCGTCGTCTTCTATCGTGGTTTGACTATGCAGGTTGCCGTTGAACGAGACGAACAAGGTCGCTCAAACTACTCGATGTGTGCTGTCAATCCTAGCCGAATTTCGAAAACCTTCAATGAGCAAGCCCTGCAGTATGTCGTCGAGAATATCACCGAGCAGACCGGTTGGTTGTTGGAGATCGTCAACTACAATGTTGCAAACATGCAATATGTTGCCGCTGGAGATGTAAGTTCACTGTTCCATGCTCGTCACGTACACAATTCTAACGTCAACAGCTTCGTGCTCTCGATTGCCTCACGAACCTGCTCAATTACCTGAAGGCTCAGAATATCGACATTCCCGCCCTTATGCAGAGCATGTCTTTGGACGATGTCAAAGCTCACCTAGTTAAGATCATCCAAGAGTGTGTCAAGCAAACCGAGTCCAAACCCAGACCTATTACATTGGAGCGAGGTTTCGCAACCATTCCGCTCAGAGGAATCGATGTGCCTTTCCACAGCACCTTCCTCCGTTCTGGCGTGAAACCTTTCAGATCGTTCTTGCTGAAGAAGATCAATAAGACCACCATTGATCCAAGCAAGTTGATCGGCAAGTACATCCCTAATGTTACTGCCCGGCCTTTCGAGATCACAAAGGAATACTTCGAAGATGTTTACAGACTCACAAACTCTCCTCGCATTGCTCACATCTTGGCCAATTGGGACAAGTATGAGGAAGGTGGCGAGAACAACCCACGCACAACAGGACCCGGCATTGCCTAAAGTTTCAAAAGGGGATACTTGCATGAAGTATTGTGGTTCTTGTCTTTCCTTTTCTGTAATGCTTTCCTTAGCGTTGGGTGCTATTCTCACGATGTACTCGGCCCACAATTCAAGTTATAGTTTTAAATACAGATTTCAGTGTGCAAATGAGCGTGTGAATAGTGCGTTCTAGATTTCAACTTGAATTGGATTTATTTGAGATCAACTCCAGGTACTGCCGTCATTGTCATTTATATTGGCGCGCGCAAACGCATTAGTACTCTGTTTTCGCGATATAATAATGTCAAGAAGAGTAGAATTGGAGATTATCAGATGGTGAACCAGACCAGTTGACCATCAGGTATCAACCACGTCGTTGCCTTGACAGACGGATCACCGAGATTCTTTTTTGAAAGTGCGGTCAAAATCTCATTCATTTTTGACCAGGTTTCAGCGTGCCTGGCCGTAACAGCCGATCTTCCTTGCCATAGACCCCCACGTCTTTGACTATCGCAATGAATTTCCGATGGTTCTCCTTGGACTCGCCGATGCGAGGTCGAAAGATTCTCAACAAATCGCTGCTCAGTATGCCAGATTGGGGTATGGCGGCGTGTATCTCTGCTGGAGTGGGGAAGCTTAGATTGCCGGACGGCCCTGGTGTGGAAACACGATTGTGGCCTGTATGCATGATAAGTCCCGTGAATCTTTGTGTGAAGCAAGTTCAGCATGACAAGTGGAGGCGCGAGAGATGGTACTTACCCCCTAATGAATCAGGGCTACTGGCACGACTCCCCGACAGACCTTTGCCGCCCAAAGGTGTTGGACTGCCAGCTCGAGATCCTTGAGGTGTGCCATTCTGAGAGATGCCCAAGGGAGGATTGAGCTTTAATTTCTTTATCTTGCCACTTTCGCTCATTTCCGCGCCAGAGCCAGCGCCTCCATCAGCGTCGCTAACCGAGCCCGCAACACCACCAGACATGTTCCGGACGCGCTTTTTACCAGCCTGTGCAGTCTTAACGAATGGAATCAACATGCTACTGAGGTGGGAAAAGCTTACCTGCCCCGAAGGTGCGGCGGGCGACAGAACCCGAGAGCTTGTTTGAGAAGGTGGTTGGGTGGACGGATGCTTATTCTTCACCTTTTTGCGAGAGGTATCCGTACCACTTGCATCTGATACATTCGGCGAGCCGAGCCGTTTTCGTGGTGCAGCAGCTGGTCCTTTCTTCAAAGCATCGATATGCTTTGCACGGCCAGACGGCGTTACATTTCCCTTCGATGACTGTCCTTGTTCCTTTTTGTTCTTCTCTTCCTCAGCCTTACGTTCCTCCTCCTTCAAGCGTTCAGCTTCACTTTCATCGGAGCTCTGTGGAGATAGGCATCCAGTTAGCGGGTTACTCGTCGAGTGACAGCCAAATAAAACGAAAAGAATGAACAAAGAATGAAAATATTCCGTACCTCTTCATCTGAGTATGGGTTGGCATCGGAGCCGCTGCTGTAATCATAGTTTTTCTCTCTCTTTTTGAGCGCTTTGCGCACTTTTTTACCAAGTACGCGGCGAGCTTCTCTTTCTCTCTTTTCTCTGAGCTCTTCTTCTTCGTACTCTTTCTCGTCTTTCAAGTCGAAAACATTTGCCTTCAACTGATCCTGCTTGATCCGCTTCTCTGCAGCTTTGGTTTCCTCGTCTTCATTAAAGAGATCATCATGTTCTTCATCGTCTGCAAACCGGTCTTCCTCAAAATCCATTTCGCCCGCTTCCAGCCCATCAGCTCCAGCCGGGGTACCCTGTTTGCCAGCATATACCTTCCGTTGTTTTGCAAATTGTTCCAACTCTTTGCGCTGCGCTTGTTCTTGTTGTTTCTCCATAAACCACCTGGGATCCTTGACTTTTTTGGCCATAAATCTTTCCGCTTCCTCTATGGTCAAGGCTCTGAATTGATTCTTGGCACTGAATTTGTACCATTTCTCTACTGGTATCATTCTCATCTTCCCATCTTCGGGTATGAAAACAGCATGTGTTTCGGACAATGCAGCCTCGTAATTTCCCACCCAAATGTTCTTGTTATCGAAGTCCTCTAGATGCCAAGGAAGAGCTTCTTCGTACTTGATTCGCGTCCTAGCAATCTCTTCCGGAGTCATGTCTGTCTTCGATACTTGCTGCGTTTTTTGTTTTGGCGCATTGGCTCGCTTGGGCGCCGACCCAGCAGAGGGGGCTATTTGTGCCAAATTTTCGGCGCGCTCTTTCTCTCTCGCAAGTTTTCTGGCTTCCAGCTCCTCTCTCTCCGCCTCGCCCAGCTGTTGGCCGAAGTGAGAAGTAAACTTTTGTGTCGGTTGCCCGTCCTTGTCTTGGTTGATTTCCTGCGTCTTTGCTCGGGGATCTCGACGTTGCAGTCGGACAGGGCGAGTGAACTGGGACTCATCACGGGGATCGATTGGCTTTTTGGATGCAAACCGCGCTATGTGGTGTTTCAAGCCCTCCCGCAATGCTCGTTTCGTAGTCACCACAGGATAGTCCACATAAGTGTCGGTAAGCAGATGGCCGCTGAATCCATTCACCGTGAAATCATTCTTCGGGGCGGCGAAGATGGGGTTTTCCAGTTGAGCAGATGGTTTAACATTAGAGAACCCGGGACGGCTTGTCATGGGCTTTGCGGTTGTCCCACTTGATGATTTAGAAGGACCTGCTGGGTTGGGGACGGGTCGTTTCTTGGGCCTTACTAGAGGATCTGCAACCTTGGGGCGACGAATCCGCATCATGGGAGCTCCCTGGGATCTCGTAGGGGGCCGTGGTTTTGGATCGTTAGAAGGCAAAGTCATAGCGATCCAGACCTGTTCAGATGTACTTCGATAGCAGGGTGAAAGAAGATCGCGAGAAGGTATAGGCGGTCGTTCTTTTGGGGTTCTAGATGACGTTCTTGATGATGAATACGACGAGGATTCTAGCTATGTTGGCAAGATGGATGGTGGAAGGCGCTCCTCGCTGAAAAGCACTAAAGATAACGCATTCTTTTGTAGGTGTATGTCTAAGTTTCCACTGGTGATGTGACGGGGAGATCACTTGATTATTATGTAAGCTTCGTTGACTATGTACCCAGGTAATGTACATTACCTACTACTTAATCTCTAACTACAACTACCGATCCAACCTACAGAGGATTTCCTATAGGAATTTTGATGCAACGCACTGGGTTTTCACTACAAAGTCAACTGGGGAGTCGGACTTAGTGGGTCTTCGACTTATTGAGGCTCGAAAGATGCGAGGGCAGTGTAATTCCATATCCTATTCTCCATTCAGAACAAACCGCAGCCCTCAACACCAAGCAGGAAATCCTAGGAATATACAGCATAAAGAGTCGACATGACCATTGTGTCTTCAGCAGAAATACATTTTTGGTGTCCTTTGAGTAGGAGGCTGCAAGTATGCGGAGGAAGCCGTTATTTACGCTCAAAATAGTTCCACAACCTTTTGATCATCATTCTGTTCGGAATGATGCTGATCCGAACTTCCTTCGATCGCAGGTGAGCCACCTGTTCCCTCACCCTCTTCGTCACGCATCAACACCTGGACTAGTCTGTCACAAGCTTCGCGCACGTCGTCGTCATCAACATGAAGATGACATTCCCGAATGATGGGATACACACTGATTTCTCTCATCTTGTCCCGACCTTTTCGTGTGGTCGTCAGCAATACTAGTGTCTCGAGATGTGTTACGATGATGCTGTTATCACTATCTCGCTTCTTGTCGGGTGGGAGTAATTGGAGGTCTGGCAACATAGCCATTGACTCTTCCTCACTGAACTCCTCTGGCCCTGTGATCGGGAGAAGTATGTAAGGAAGTAGGTTGGCTTCATCCTCCGCGATGAGGGTGGGATGGAAAGGAATGTCGAATGCAACATTCTTAATCGTTGAGGCGACACCTTTTCGGCGGATTGTACTCTCGTGCTCAGTGAAGACGGTCAGTTTGGTTACAGGAACGACATCATCATAACCTTGTCTGGAGGTGAAATAGGCGCGCCCTTCCTCGGACTTGGACAGATCGGCGAATAAGTAGGAGAGATAGTCGAAATGGGCATTTTTGTTCAAGGCTCCCCCTGCACCTTTCACAAAACAATCCATCAATTGATCGATTGCCATGGAAGAGGTCGATACTGGCTCTGCAGTCCGTCGTTTCATCGAGATGAGTCGGTTTAATGTATCGGATTTGGCAAGATTGGCAAACAGCATGGCAATGTCATCCGCATGTGGCTCCTTGACGCTCTGTTGTTACAGTCATCAGCACAGATAAGATATTCCTCAGCGCCAAACACGCAGACTGCTCGGGTCCATACCGTGATTTTTACCATTAGAGTCTCTAAAAATGCATCGTCCCCTGCAAGGTTCGCCAACACTTCCTCGTCTGAAGAGAGGTTGATGAGAATGGTCAGGGCATTTTTTGCGATGGGCTATTCGGCGTTCCATGATCATTAGAATATCAACTAAGAAACTCCAGCTGATCGTCTTGCCAGTCTTCATGTTACTAACAGTATAATCCCGGACCAGAAGCTTTAAGTCACGCACGGGCAGAAGCTGGTGACGTTTGAACAAATCTGGTTGAGCTGTTGAGAAGCCAACAAGATTTTCGCAGGCTGGGCAGACAATGCACGTCAATATGTGATCCAGAGGAATGATGTTCGATTCTCGACTTTCTGTCGGAATAGGTGCTTCTACCAATTTGTCTTATCTGAGTGTTTCCATGGTGAAGGAATTCGACAAGCTAAATCCAAGGTGGAAGAAGAGTGCAGGTCAGCTTTCCTCACTCATTTTCAGCGGATAGAAGTTCAATCCAAAGACCGGTACCGCTGCACCCTGCCTCTCGCCCAGTGTATGCGTCCTTCTTTCCTTGTTTCTTTGAATTTATTCCCTTGTACCCATATGTCAGAGGGGCTCGATCGACTCACTTCTTCTAATTCGGTTGGCATAATGAGGGGTATTCTTATCGTCAACCCAGGTGGTCACACAAGCTTCTAAGGTAGAGGATAAGGAGGGACTTTAAATAGCACGAGTTTCGATGAGCAGATATAAATGTAATAACAAGATTCAATGCAAGAAGGATCAACGGCTGAGGTAGCTTGTAGATACGATATATGCTAGTCCAAACCCCGAACACACACCTCGAATGCCTCCTAGGAAAAATTTTAGTGCGGAGAACGGAGATTCTTCTTTACATTTCTGTACGTGACGTGACCTGTGTGGGGTTCCTGATAGTAATCTGGAGGGGTACATCCTAAGAAGTATGTACCGACACTCAGATACTTGTTGTGATCAGGATGTCGATATCGGTGCTCAGATGGATACTGCTGGGCTACTGGTACTCATTATCTGGTAGTAAAGGTATCTTTTTCAATTATAAAAGTAACGTGAATATGTAGATGTCGAGTTCAAGTGGGGTAATGAAAAATAGAGAAAAGGAGGAACAATAAATATAACCTTAAGACTCCAACCCTCATCATTCAATTTAAATTCTATCACCTAGACTCTTAAGATCACTCGTCATCGATCTCCCTACAGTATTGTCATATTACCAACTATTGAAGTCCCCCTGACAACAGACGTAACGAAGACAAGAACCAATACAATGAGCACAGAACATATTGACCTCAAAGAGATCCATGATTCTCTAATCCAGATAGCCTACAGAGCTGGGGAAATCATTACCACTGCCTTACCAAGTACAGGAAGTACTGGGTCAAAGAAGAATAGTCAGCCCTATCCCAGTCCCTGACCGATCTATCATTACTGACTCTGCTCACAGGTGCTGACTTGGTCACTGAATATGACCGTGCAGTCGAGACCATGATATCTACAGTGTTAGCTGAGAGATACCCGGATTACAAGTGAGCTCCTTCATCTGGACCAATCTACTCGAGGCACATGAGATGGATCCCCCCCCCCCGGTCCCCCTTCTTCCCCTCCCTCCCTCCTCCCCAGCTGGAAAACGAGAACCAACGCAAAGACTAATTCTTGGTTGCTATTCGTCCGGACTGCAGCTTTCATGGCGAGGAGACGTATGATCCTGCAAATTTGTTGACTGATGCCCCGACATTCGTGGTGGATCCCATTGATGGCACTGTCAATTTTGTTCATGGGTTCCCATATGCCTGTGTATCTCTCGGCTTCGCTGTTAATCGCGTACCAGTCGTCGGAGTTGTTTACAATCCGTTCAACAAGACGCTCTACTCCGCCATTCGCGGACAGGGGGCGTATTTGAATCAAAGTACCAAACTTCCGCTCAATAGGGAGAATCTCGAACCACTGCACGGGCTTGAGAATGCACTGATTGGTATTGAATGGGGCTCGGAGAGGACAGGCGCAAACTGGGAGATCAAAGTGCGAACATTCGAAAAGCTCGGCCAGACTAAAGACAAGGGCGGCGCAATGGTACGCTCGATGCGTAGTATGGGGTCTGCTGCAATGAATCTCTGCGCTGTGGCAGCCGGGCATCTTGACTTGTACTGGGAAGGTGGCTGCTGGGCATGGGACGTCTGCGCCGGCTGGATAATCTTGACAGAAGCCGGGGGTATGATCGTCGACGGAAACCCTGGAAATTGGAAGGCTAGTGTTGATGGGCGAAAGTACCTAGCTGTCAGGGCATCCCCGGGCCAGGTAGGTCAGAGGGAACTAATTGAAGAATTCTGGGGTTGCGTTCAAGGACAGTTTAAATATTGACTGGTACTCCTGAAGTACGCAGCGAAGGATCCAGGGCTCGAAGGTTGGGCAAACCTTGGTACTAGTCGAAATGAGCTGGAATTACAGTAAAGGTGGTACATCATGGAGGGTTATGGACTCTTGATCTTGCCCAGACACAACTCTTCAAATCTGGCCAAAGTTATATGGCTACACTGTATATGCGGTCATGCAGCCTTCACGCACAGCTCAGCATGTTGATTTAACTACAGAATAAATCCAGTGGTGTCTCATATTCTGGGAGTACTTCCTTGTCCCGAATATCGTACAAGCTAATCACATTCATGTTGTGATTCCCAGGCGCCTGCCTGCAACATGAGTGATCAAGTGGTATAGTTAACATTTTCAGGTGTCTCATCTCTTAGTGACACAATGTAATCGGCGTTCAGTCAGTGTTCAGCACTCGGTGGCACTCACTTCCTGTTATATTTGAGCTTGCCATATTTTCACAAATTTCAGACTGGGTGTGAGTATGAATGGACGTCATTGGAAGGCCGATTGGAACTGTGCTGAGAGTGGAAGAGTGCACTTCTTGATGCAGAAAATCAGTCTGCGATTGATGTTTGTTCCCAGTGTCGCAAGCTGGAATCATGGATGAATCTGCCCTCTGGGTGCCTCTTCCTAAAGAGCTCTGACCTTGGGCCAAAGCATCCTGTCCAAAGTGGCTATCAACAAGGTGTTTTATTACAGGCCATCCGTACGCGTTGGTGAACATGCGCCTCACGATAATATTATTGTGCGCATCGGGCTCGAGACGAACAAGAACCTTACGCCATGACATTTCGCGATGATAAGACCTTGCGATTTTCTCCTCAACTCTTAGCCCGCTAGTCTCAGTTATATCAGTAGCCAGAGACTTCTGGAGCCCTGTCGGATCCCCCTGGGCTCCCATGACCTTTCTTTCGAATGCGCTCAGTGGCGCTGTCTTGCGTTTCGTGGGTAGTGGAGGAGGTATATCCTCGGGATGGTAGACCCGGTCATGAAATATCGCCCTTGGTCTGGAATCAGGGTCCAAGATAAACTCAATCGGTGGGATAGGTGGCATAAGAAGATCACCGGCTGATTCAAAAAAGGTAGTTCTTGGTGGGGTGTGAGGCATATATCCCTCGTAAGCGGAGCTTTGCGAGAGAGACTCCTGATGAAGAAGAGGTGCAGCAACCGACGCTTGGTCGAGCTCAGATGAAGTGCTCAGAGTTTGGCTACGCTTGTATATCTTGGTATGCTTGTACCCAAAGGAAGAATCGGACTTGTTGGTTACTTCTTTTGCCCGGAAAATCGAGAAAAGGCTGCTCAGCGGGCTGGTTGGGGCTTGAATTGAAGGCTCCTTTGTCCCATGACGTTCTGTCGAGTCACCTACATGGAGTCGGTGCTCGCGGTTTGATAAACTGCCAGTGACCGAGTCCAAAGAGCCAGCGATGGACGAGCCATTAGCAGTGTTCGCCTGTTTGCGACTCTCTTCCGACAAAGGGGTGACGGTGTTGCTCTCATCATTGTTCTCCCTGAAAATAAGTGTCCCGTTATCATATGGAGATCGAGTTGGCTGAGGAAGTATGGAGTTTGCACCAGTCAGTTCTGCCCAACCCCATTCAGCCATTGTACCGACTAGCCCATTCTTTCTTCTGGCTTTTTCAACTCGCTCTAGACCTCTCCAGTCCAGAAACAGTAGACACGAAGTTCGCAAAGGAACGATTCCATCGTTGACCACATTGGAATAGACGGTGCGACGGTCAAATTTTGACAATGCCTCATGAGCTGGACCGCAAGGCAGTACCCTCAGCAATGGCTTTGGTCCATCCTCAGGGCGTTCACGCGACTTCGCGGACATGCCTTTGCCGCCGATCATGGCCTCCCAGCCACTCCGAACTCTAGGCGCAGTCCAGCTCAAGCCCAAATCTTGGCCTGTCCGGCCGACAAGACCGAGATCGAGAGCGAAGCGAACATACATAGGATTTTCATTGCTCAGACCAAGGAAAGGGCTTGCCAGCGCGATGAAATTGATTGGCCGAATTAGATCGAAGAATGTTGGCGAATGTTTGTGGATATAGGCAATAGCATAAGTCTGGATAAGACCACCGAGGGAATGACCAATGAAGCTGATACTGGTAATCCGATAGGAACGGTGATCGCCGGGTTCCTCATCTGTGTATATGTGTTGGTTACAGGTGGCATTCTCTTCGGTTTCTCTTCCGCTCTTCCAAGTGTTGAATGATCCAGACCATGCCCCTGACCTTGTTTTTTTGCGAGGCATATATGGTTGGTCGGGATATGTCATAAACAATACGTATTTTGCCAGACGCTTGCCAAGATATTGTATACCGCGCTCAGTGCGCACTGCATTCCCAGAGAAGCCTCGAACTATTACTAGCTCGTCGTCAGGATCGTGATTATCAAATTGATCATCTTCACTATATGCAGGTTCGTGAGATATTGACCAAAAAGGAGTCAGAAGAATCCAGCCATAGCAAAATCGGCTCATGGGCCTGCAATTGTATGAGATTTGAAGGCTTACCCGACTGGAGATGTCAAAGAAGCAGAATTGTGCCCTTCAACGTGGTGTCCCGTTTTGCAGCTCGACCTTTTTTGGGAGGTCTTAGGTTTTCTGGCTGCGGCATCAATGCTTTCTTTGAGGAAAAGCATATCTGCTCCAAGATTGCTGTGTAGACCATGAGTTAAAACGACAAGATGGACTTTCTTCCTACGCGAATTCCGCTGGGTGCTTGCAAGATTTTCAGCCACTTGCGTCGATCCAGCATTGGCTACCTGTTGGCGTGAATCTTGGGGTCGCTTCCCTCCATGAGGGTCGTGTTCAGATGGGAAAGGGGGGGTGTTCCAAAGACTGGTGGTGTCATCTATATTCAAGGAAATAGCTTGTGAGAAAACACCCTTACGGGCGAGCATTTGTTTTCCTCTTATTCCGGGTTCCATGTGATCCCGCAGTTGGGCTGCCTGTCTATGCTTCCCGACTGACGCTCCACCGGTCAGGGATTGCGCTGGTGATCCGTCATCGCGACTCACAAGTAGTTCGTAATTGACAACAGCCGTGGTCGAAAAAATTACCTGGGAGATGATCTCAATTACCCACGTCACGCTCTGTTGGTTGTCAGAATCGACTGGCAGCTTTCGATGGAGGTGCTTCGGTATAGGTATGACTGCTTTCCAACTTCCCCCAGCTTTGAGGTAAGGTTCAAATTGAGGGATCTCCTCTTTATCTTTCCCGTCGACATGGGTGTTCGGATCAAAGCCTGAAGGGTAGCAGGAGGTGTACAGAGTATACGGTCCATGAAGATATGCGGCGCGGAGCGGAATAGCAGAAGTATTCTTGACCTTGACATGCAACTCGGTCGGAATGGGATATGGATCGGCGGATGGTGTGTAGGTCAGTGTATATCTGTTTTCGAAACCACTGGGTCAGTATCATGGGCAAGGTATGCGAGAAACATGGGTTTGGTTACACCAGAAAGAACCGACCTTATTACTTCACCTACACGGACACTGCCAGCTTGATGTAATAATAACATATTGATAGCTCTCCTTTTCTGTGCAGAATCTGGCTGCCACCCAGTGATTGAGTGAAACCTCAAGAGACTCGGTTTAGAAAAGGAGTGATCAGGAGTCTGTGAATCCAAATAGGACCGTGGTGTGATGAACATTGATTAGAGAAGGTCATTTCTATGTTGATAATGATAGAAAATCATTTCCAAGTTCGAAAAGCTTCATCGTAGGATAGATCAATGAAGTAAGTAAGCAGTAGACTTCCATAGGAGTAAAAGATAACGATTGCATTAAGAGTGCTGTAAGGGACAGAAGCTTACGAAGTATTCATTTATCATTAAGCATTGCTTGACTACTTGTACAGTTGTACTAAATACCTACCAGATATTAAGGTACCTTTGTAATCTACGGAGTACGGAGTACTTCTCTGTATAATTGTGGTACAGCTAGTACTAGCAGTACAAGGTGGGTATCCACTAGACATGCAATAGGAACCTTAGTGATGATGTCTATCCTATCGCTCTACTCCGTACTATGTAAGTATTTAGTTAGTGGTTACTGGTTGTTAGCCTTTCCGTGTCACTATAATATTAGAGTGCTATTTAGCTACTCCGTACATACTACGAAGTAGTTAACTAACTACTGGCGTCCGATAGATATGATGGTGGGGCAAGGCACGCCATAAGTGATCATCAAATGACCCAAGTCGGCTTTTGGCTGCCTACCTTATCCGTTCCATTATTGAGAGAATATTCATCGGTCTACATAGCATCTGTCACAAGACCTCGACGCCATCGAATACGGAGATATGGCTACAAGTCGGTTTAGATGTCCTTTACCGAACCCATTCAGTGAGTGGAGTATGATTATGAGAAGTGGGGGGAAACTAAAGAATATTTTTGCCTCTATGAGGTACAACTATTCCATGTCATCCATTGATCGGACTAGTAGCCCTACCAAACGCCTGGACTCCTTTCGTACTTCCACCCAGCCACCCTCCTCAATGACAAAGATTCTCCCGTCGATGCAAATTCGCCTCCATCTTTCATCTGCTTCAAGAAGATCAATTCTAAAGCCATCCATCTCTGAGTAAAAGACTTCTCTCTCGTGGACGTGCCCTCCCCCTTGATACGCGGATGCCATTAGTTGCATGGCTTGTTCTGGTGGAATGGGACCAAAATGAACCATCCTCAAACAGCCATCCAAGGGGACAGACTCTGGGGAAATGACAAAGTCCCTCTCAAGGCGTGGCACAAGAGCTGCCAGCATGTACATGTGTTTTTCGCATTCCACGGTTTTCCTCTTGGTTTCATCGGGGTCCGTGTTCCGCTGCAAAAGGGTAAGTTTACCGTGGTAGCTATGGGTTGCAGTCCCGTTAGATGGAAAGAGAAGCTCCTTGGCTGCCATTTGAAACCTCTCGGCCCCAAATTTGCGATACTCAGGAGTGTCACTGTCGGCGACCAACGAGGCGTGAACACCCCAGCTCGCCACAACGGCGCCATACCTCAAATGGCCTGTAGATTCATTCATCGATGGGTTGTGTACTGAAACCCGAACATGGCCTTCTTCGAGATATTGCACACCCGGGGAAAAATCAGTAACAAAGGTGGGTACTGGATGCGGCCGTCCCAGCACCAATGTAGTCAAGCTAGCTGCTGGGTTGGAAAGAAGATTAAGGGAGCTTGCCATAGCATTGCCCGTCCCCAAAGGTATCAGAGCGATACTAGGAGGAACAAGGGCATTGTTAGTGGCGTCATGAAATGAGCCCACGATATCAGTCAAGCCCCCATCTCCGGAAAGAAGAATGATTGTTTGAGATATGCGGAGGTTCGCGCGAACAATCAGCTTTGTCCGACACAAGTCAAGTATTGATCGTGCTGATTGCGTCTGGTGAACTTCGTACTCAGTCAAACCAATGTCTGATAAAAGAGGTTGAAGAATTTTGCTGAAGAATCTCCTTGCTTTTCCTGTCCCCGAAAGACTGGATATGATGACATGGATATCTAATTTCTGGCTCCCCGTTGATCTGAGATGTGGAGGAAGTTCTGCACAGAGGTACCGGGATAAAAGTATGGATGGTGGAGACGTCAACAGAATGCTTGCTACCAAACGAGCCGGGGTATTTTCTTCCAGCTGAGAGATCGCTTCCCAGGTATTGTGTCGAAGATAGATCATTGTGTATTGACTTTTATCTTGGCTGAGATGTGGTAAAATGCAGATCACATCGTCCATAGCGATTCTAAGCACATTTTGCCCTTGAGCGCCACTGCACTGAATGCTATCACCGATAACATGACACCAGAATAGTGGAGAGGTCCCAGAGATGATATTCACAGGCTGAGCCATTTCCATATGGCTTTTTGTAGGATACGGAAATACCTCTTCAAACTACTGGTGGTTGTCGAAAGGCGAGGCATCGGCAGGAGATGGTGAAGTGGGGGAGATGGCCATACTATTGAGGTAGGGCTGCGGTAGGCAACAAGGATGAGAAATCAAAGACACACCTCAGGTCTTCGTTAATCCTGGCTTTTTGGCAATTCTGTCACAACCCTAGCACTGAATAGCTGATAATCAAAACCCCATTTCCAAACAATTTCGATTTTTGGAGGAAAGGGAAGGACAGAAGAGAAACAAGATGAAAAAGCCGAGTGTTTAGGCAGCATGCTCTGTGGTAACTAGATATACCATCTCATTCAAATTTTATGTTAACTACCTGCGACCTTTCTCTCAGGGTCTCCATTTCATAAACGGTGTGGTGCTCCCACAAAATCTGTGATGGAATGAAGGACGGCCACACAATAATGATGCGAAAGCTACCTGAAGCCTCTCAGAGCTAGTCATACATAAACCAACATCCCTCTACCTTAGTAATTTGAAACATGCTTATCGCTAAGATTGACTGCAATGAACGTCTTGGGGAGCTTGACACTAGGTTATTTTCATTAGCGGTCGACTTTATGGTCCAAAAGAGACGGGGTGGACATACGTATCGAATTTTGCTTTGAGGGTCTCAATGACCTCCTTCCAATCTTGGTGCGCTGTGAGACTTCTTCTTGGAGCACAGCCGATTGCGTGCCGTGAATCAAGTTGCACATCCAGTGGATCAAAAGCGTGGCAGCCAGGACTTATGGAGATGCGAATTGAATAGGAGCTTGTGGACGACTCACAGTCCTTAGCCTCGTAAAGCTCGAAGCATATTTGAGACAGGTAATCCAACTCAGGTATAGCGGTTCTGGCTATCTTTGTTTGTATGCCTCCTTCCAATATGCAATTTAGGAGGGTATAGATATGAGACTCCTTAGTAAAATAAAAAAAGGATTTGGCGTCGGGAGAGGCCTGAACTTCCTCAAGATCCCTAACAATCTCCTGAAGAAGGGGCAGAGAGGTCAATAAGCCTATCTCCAATTTCTCTGAATCAGTAATCCCATACTCCTGGGGAGTCACATAATCAAAGAGAACTTTGGCTAGTTTGTACAATTCCCTCAGTTTCGAGAGCCGCCCATCCATCTTAGCTTTCGTGGAACTAGAACCGGGGTATAGCTTGAAATAATGATCGTAAGAATCATCGAGAGCCCTGAGATGCGGCATTGACTCGAATATATGCGCTCGCTTTTTGAAGCGACGAAAGTGTGTCAAGGTCGGATTTTCGGCCATTTCCTCGGCTGCTTCGGTATTAGAGCCGCCATGGGTGGACCGTTTGTCTCCAACAAGGTCACCACGCGTGGTATTGTTGGAAGAACGTCTATCATGTTCGTCCTCGATATTGGCATCATCTGGAGGCATGAAGACCCATTCCAGAAAATGTCTGTTGTGCAGTGCATCGAACTTCATGCTGTCATACAACTCGGAGAGTTTGCTTGGATCGACCTTTTCAGTGTCGCAGAACTCGGCAAATAGCTTTTCCCACCGCTCTTTGAAGAGCATTGGATCTTCACCCGTACACCACCTGCCTTGAATAGAGGAAAGAGTAGGATTATCCCCACGTTGGCCAGTATTCGAAAACGCTACATCGTCAATAACAAGGGCAGCAGATTGGCGATGCGGAGAGTTGTCGAGTTTCTGGAAATTGTATCTCATAACATCTCTGTGGAATTTCATCAACTCCACCACAGTAGCGAGAACAACTGATGGTTCGGGAATGTTATCCTTAGGCCATGTAAACTGGGATGGCGCAGATCCTTCTCGTAAAAGCAATTTGAGTTTCTTCTTCACTTTATCCATGACATCCTTGGCAGCGTTAGAGTCATCGAGAAGATCTTTGCGTACTTGAATGAAGTCATCCGGAAGCTCTTTCTGATCGAGGAAAGAACAGGCCCAGATTTGAGCTAGAATTGTTCATGAGTGTCTTATCTCTAGATGGTGGTACGCATGGAGACCAGACTTACCACTCGTGCTCACTCTTCGTTCTGAGCTTGTAAAAATTCGAACATTGTTCAAAGCTTCTTTATTCATCAACTTCAAATCATCTCGCATGTTAAGCCCCAAATCCTGTGATTGGTAACGTGCAGCGTGCGTTGGCTCCCCGCCCCATTTGATTACAAGCTGCAATTTATCTATTATGAGATCATTTTCGACAGCGGAGAATCTCGAAAATGTGGTTCCCGATATCGAATCACTCCGGGTTGGCGATCGACCAGGTCTCCGGTCTTCAATGGGGACGTTAGAGGCTGGTTCGACCTGGGACGCTTCAATTAATTGATGCTGAGGATCAGGCGTATCTAATTCCTCCTCCGTTCGTTTACGAAACATGGGTTTGATTTGGACCTTTGTTCCGGGCCAGCCGCCTTTCTTTTCGAGGGACGTGCGAAGTAGCTTGAGTTTGTCCATGTCTTCGAGCTTCTGTTCCATTGCAATTCTGACCGCATCGGAGACGCTGGCCAAGGCTGCCTGCCCTTTGATCACCACTTCTTCCTGATGACCCTTCAAGAGATCAATAAAGGGTTGACTGTGAAAGGTGAATTTGAATTTCTGCTTCGGCGTGCGGTCAGCATGTCGTATAACCGCAACCATACCCTTGAGCTTCCAAGAGTGTTTTGATGCTGGAGGCGGAGGCGGCACAGACGACTTTTCAACAGGAAGGCCAGTTGACTTTGGCGACTTCGTATTTGCGTCCCCAAAGCTCGAGTCATTCGTTTGGCCAGGATTGAGACTTGCTTGGCTTTTCCTGTGGGTAACACTCTCCACGCCAGAGTTTGTCTGGGCCAAGGTCCCAAGGTCCAAGGGGTTAGTGTCAAGATTCTTATGACTCCCATAGAGTTTGGAAGCGGACGGAGATTTCAGTAAAGTCTTCAGTGTGTGTCTATGGGAAACAGAGTGTCTTGAATGATGGCCTGAATCTGGGGAAACAGACTCCCTCGGTCTTTGAGAGCCATCTTTCTTACGCTTCTCATTCAGGAACATGTCGCTAAGGATGCTTGCACACTTGTCGTAGTAGTCGTTATTGTCCTTGACAAAGCTCCAGCCATTAACATCAATCACATAGCTCCTTTCTCCAACGCGAAGCATGTCAAAGCCACAGATCGTTTGGCCGAACCCATTTGATATCTTGGATGCAACTGCTGCCTCTTCCTTGCTTAGCTTTGTGATGTACCTAAGCTCCTTTCCATGTGTATTACGACGCACAACTCCATCAACCACCGGCGATTTGCGCGTCTCTGCATGGCAGAAATCAGGTCCCACTGTGTAAGCCTTGACGTCTTCAGAATTGTCCACCCTCAAGAACTGTTCGTAGATATAGCTCGTCTCTTTTTCAGTGACGGATCTAGGGACAACGAGATTGGGGTCGTATTCCGAGCTTTTGTTTCCGACTTTCCGGAAGAGCCTTCTGCCTCCCCCACCATATTGCTGATCATTCGGGAAGTATATGTGAATGTTGTGGTTCTCTCCATCAACTGGCTTCTCGACAAACGGCTTTCGAAAAACCTTTCCATCCACAATCAGAGATTCCCCATCATCGGACATTGAGACAGTCTGAGTCGTGGGAAAGCCGCCTCCAGTACCATCCTCGGGACCATCAAGTTTGACCCCTGACAATCTGTAAACGTGCTGAGCCAGCTCAGCAGACTCTAACCTAGGTCCACCGTCACGGTTGACCTCCAATCTTTTCGGGGTTGGGACACTCATATGATCTAGTATTCGCAAACACAGTCGTCGGTCCCACAAGACTTTTTGCATTGGCAGATCATTCACGCAGAACGGTTTCCGCAGTCTGGCATAGGCGATTGCCTTTTCCAGCGGAAACCCATCCGAGAAGAATGCAATCAAGAAATCACATACAGGCCAGTTCTCTACGGCCTCATCTAGAATAACCTTGTCACCAAAAACAATCACTTCAAAACCACCCTTGGCCTGGAGGCGCGTGAGGATGTTTTGGCTCGGTTTGCTGCGTGCTTTCACATCCAAGGCACAAACACCTATCCTGCCAATACTTGAGAGGCGGATTTCCGTTTCACTAATTGAGCTTGTTGCTGTACTCCCGCTGAGTCTTCGAGGGGCTCGACTGGAGGAGCGGGTTGAACGAGCGGTTCGGGTTCCACTCGCATTATCAACTGCGACATCGGATGCCCGGGGCCTATTGAATTGATTTTGTGCATTGTCCGAACATCCTCTTAACACCGAAGGTGACTCTGGATCGTAGAGAAGAGTGAAGGATAATTTGTCTGTCTGATCAGGCACTGTGCCAGCTGTAGGCTCGGTAGTATATGTTTTCTGATCGCTGCTGCCTGTGATGGATACAGCATCCACCGAAAATCCGATTTGGCGACCCGCACTGTCTCCAGCAGGTGATGCAGGTTTCTGAGAAGTGTTCGGTGGCGAGTAACCTTGTCCCATGGGATGGGAGCTTTGCAAAGAATCGTTCGACTCCATTCTTTTGTGAAGTTGTGATGGGACTGTGAGTTAGGAAACGGACAGCCTTTTGCTGCTCGTGAAAGGTTTTATCGTAAATCGGGCTTTTGTTTGAGAATTCTTTTCTTTTCTATCAGTGCTTTTCCCATCTCCCCTTGGTTCTAGTCCTCTTTTCAACCAATTTTCAAGGAAGAGTATTGCACTTGCAAGGTGGGATGGATTGAAATCATATGAGGTCCACTGGTGCTTCTACAATGGATGGAGCAGCAGCTGGAACAATTTAAGGTAGATAGTATATTGACCGCTGGCTCTTTGGGACTTGGGCCAAGAATGTCGATTGAATAAAAGTCAATTAAAACTTGGTTCATAGTAGTCTAGTGCAAGACCACAGTCCCATGATTCATGAAGGACCGATTCCCCACTGACCTAGGGTCAACTTGGAAAGCTCTTTCTGTCCCCGCCCCGCCAAAAAGGAAAAGAAAATACTGTAAGATGAAATAGAATAAGAGAAGGAAAATAAAGGAATGATACTAATTAGAAAACGAGTTATCTGATTGCTAGCCGGCATTACTATCCCCTTGAAGATATCTGGGGAGTAGAAGAGGTAGGTAGTACCAGTGGGTGGTGTTGGGGACGTCCACGGTGGAGTTCACCGTGACTATCTGGGCAGATAGAGTGGCAGGATAGAGCTGACTCATAAGAAGTCCCGAAATTCTAGTCTAGACACCACCTGGTCGCTTTAAGTATAGCACTATGAGTATAGAGTAGTTACATACTGGTAACTGGATGGAATGCTTGGGCCATGAATCAAGGATAAATTTCATTCTTTGCATGACAACTGTTGTACTGTGTACTTTATGGACGCATATTTGAAATGGGCAAACGTATCTTACTGAGTCAATCTTAGGTATCTGGACAACTAGACAGTCCTATATGTCTACTAGATAGAATGTCTCTCTATGCATAATCCTTACCCCCTAGATCTTAACTTCATGTTAACCCGAATATGATTGCCATAGGTAATCGGATCTGCGGGCCCGTCGCAGTAAGTAATACGCAGCCAGAATTCCTGATAGCATGTGCAGGAGACCCAACTGGTAAGCTGACCAGCCTGACCAATGACATTTTGCCAAAGCGGTGTATAGGGCGGCAGCACAAAACAAAAAATTTTCGGACAATCTAGTGCGACAAAAGACCAACAATTCTACGCCGAGGAGAACACTCAAGAGGCCCTGCCAAAACTTGCTAGTATGCCTTCAATTGATGATGACGAATTTCGCGTCCCGCTTGCGAAAAGACAAAAGCGTGTAGATGAGGATCAGAGTACTCCAAATGTGCAGAAGTCGCTTGAATCAAGAATATTTTCACCATTCCGAGTAAGTGAAAAGTCGTTATCAAACCAATACTTTGTCTTTTAGCCTCGATGATTTGAACGTCCTCAATTGACCTGTTTACGTTTTTAGACTCTCGGATTGGTTTCTCCCACAACGGTACCTTTTACCTCTGTTCGGTTAGGCAAAAGTACTTTCCAGATCACAACCTGCGTGGAGCGCTCTTTGCATACATATGATCTGCGACGAGGATTAAGTTTGATATTTGTTAGCCGGCCTCGGACTCCAGAGGCGATCACAGCCACGTTTGCATGGCATGACAAGGTATTTGCAGCTTGGGGAAACCTCAGGGCTGGAACTAGCGGGGCGATATGGGTTTTCAAACGCGGCAAAAAAATTGCGAGTTTGGAGATGCCGTGCAGTGTTGATGAGCCTATCAGTAGGTTACTCGTTTTAGGTTCCTGGGTTGTGGGATGCACCAGCAAGAAAATTGAAGTTTGGAAAAACACAACATATGAACATTACACAACTCTGAATCATCAAACGAGTGGGAATGTCTCAGGTGGTCACTTTTACAGTGGTCAAATGTGCAGTATGCCCACCTATCTCAACAAAATTTTCGTCGGAAGAATCGACGGCTTTGTGGACATCTGGAACGTGAGAACGGGAAAGCTACTTTATACCATTCCTCTAGCATCCCCCAATATCGGGGCTGTGACTGCTATTGAGGCAAGTCCTGTTCTATCCTTGATTGCTGTTGCGCACGCCAATGGCTCCCTGTTCATTCGCAACGTTGATACTGGGCAAATTATCTCGTCTCTGCATACGGAAACTTCACACGTTACCTCGATGACTTTCCGAAGTGACAATTCTGGCGCTGGTGCGGATGGCCAGAAGGCTGGGGTTCTAGCAACATCTTGCCCTGATAGTGGAGATATCACTATGTGGGACTTGGTGGGCTCTGGTCGTGTCATGGGCGTGCTTCGAAATGCTCACAAGATAAATGGAGATGAATCTGGGTCTGGCATAAATCGCGTGGATTTTTTGGACGGACAGGCTTTATTGGTTTCATCAGGAAAAGATAATGCCCTCAAAACATGGATTTTCGATGAGATACCATTTTCGCCACTCCCAAGACAGCTTCATTCTAGAAGCGGTCATTCTGCTCCCATCACTGCCCTGGATTTCATACCCTCAGCTTCGGACGGTTCTGAGGCCAGTGGCAAGTGGCTCTTGAGTGCTAGTAAAGATTGCAGTTTGTGGGGATTGAGTGTACGAAAGGATAGTCAAAGCACTGAGATCTCGCAGGGGGCAGTGGAACGCAAAGCAAAGAAAGTGCAAGGACTAGGCTCTATGGGCTCCGGCATGAAGGATAGCACGCCGGACCTCAGAGCTCCAGAAATCACGTGCATCGCGTGCTCGCTGAACCGGGATGGGGGCATGAGTGCACTTGCGTCTGGACCAATTTGGGCTAATCCTAGAGTCACAGATGCAGATGCTTCTAACAAGACTGGATGGGAGAGTGTCATCACTGGTCATCGCGGTGACAAGGTCGCCCGGACTTGGTTCTGGGGGCGAAAGAGGGCCGGGCGCTGGACATTCGAGACGTCGGATGGGTCTCCAGTTAAGGTGAGTGATGAATAATCGTCAGCACTTTGCATCAACTCGAGGGTCACTAACGAAGTATTATAGAGTGTTGCGATCACCCTCTGTGGAACTTTTGCCCTGATTGGGTCAAATTTGGGTAGCATTGATATATTCAATTTACAATCTGGTCAACACCGACTTCGCTTTCCGGGGCGCAATTTGAGACACAATCAGTCTGGCCCATTGAAATCATCCGTTCAGACACTCAAGGACGATAATGGACACACCAGGGCGGTCACAGGGCTGATGGTTGATGGTTTAAATCAAACAGTCGTCAGCTCTGGTCTGGACGGAAAGGTCAAGGTAAGATAGCCAAACCTCCCTTTGGTAAGATAAGAATAGTCTGTTTTTAACACGAGTGTAGTTCTGGGATTTCCATTCGGGGAGACTTATCGACGAGCTCGACTGGTATCCGTTGACAGCAATTACTGGTCTTCGCTATAATAGCAGTAGCGACTTAGTCGCGTTCAGCTGTGACGATCTTTCAATTCGAGTCGTCGATATTGAAACAAGGAAACTTATACGTGAATTTTGGGGTTGCGCCGGTCAGATCAACGACTTCACATTCTCCAATGATAGCCGGTGGATCGTGGCGGCCTCCATGGATTCCCGAGTTCGTGTCTGGGATCTTTCGACAGGGCATCTCATCGATATCTTCCAAGTGCCCAGTACATGTACCTCGCTGACAATGTCTTCCACTGGGGAATTCTTAGCTACCGCCCATGCCGATAGTGTCGGTGTTCGTCTTTGGACCAACCGAGGTCTATACCTCCCAGTCTCTACGAAAAACCTTGAAGAATCCAGTTTCGCAGATTCCCACGCCCTCGGGAAATTATCTATCGGAGAAGGCGCAGGAGTTCTTGAGGCTGCTTTCTCTGACGAACATGGCCACGATGAGGCTGACGGCCCGGTATTATCTAACCAACAGCTAGATCAACACATGGTAACGCTCAGTACTGTTCCCAAGAACAACTGGCAAACACTACTCTATCTCGATTTAATAAAGGTGATATCCGCTGCTCGCTTCGATTTCTGTCGGTACTGACTGTGCTTGTGAACAGGAGCGTAACAAGCCTCAGGATCCTCCAAAAGTACCGGAAAAGGCACCATTCTTCCTGCCTTCTCCTCCTGAGAACCAGCACATTCAAAATGCCGACAATAACATGAAATCTTTGACCCCAAGAACTTCGTCTGAACGTTCAAGAATCGTCAAACTCCAAAATTTCGCAAGCACGGAGTTGCGAATATCGGGAGGCGGCTTGACAGGAGTCTCGCCTTTAACCGTCCTTCTACAGTCGTGTCGCCAGTCTGGTGATTTCGAACCTTTCACGGAGCATATGAAGGGTCTGACCCCTGCGAAGATTGATCTTGAGATTCGGTCCCTGGATCCACGGGTGGAAGCTGGGCACTGTGAATTATCGAGTTTTGTAATGGCGTTAACTGCCTGTCTACGTTGCAAGAAGGATTTTGAACTTGTCAACGCTTGGATGGCTGTTTTCCTGAGGATACATGCTGATATTATCAGCAGGTGTTCAGGAACAGGGGTTCGGGATAATGGAGAATTGAGAAAGTCTCTCCTTAGCTGGAGTGAAGAACAACAGCGAGAGGTGAGGCGCTTGGCGGATTTAATAGGATACTGTCGAGGTGTGGTGGGATTTTTGAGATCGTCACGTTAGATGATGAAAATTGTCTAATTTGAGTGAAACAACACAGTCTAACAGCCTCGCCATTCTTCTCCGCATATAACAGGATAGTCCATGCTTTACCGCAAATACTAGATTGAAGAGATGATTGTAGCCATATTCAGTTATGATTGGATCCATACGGGGGGCTAAGTCAAGAATCGTATGTTACATGCGTGCATGGACTTTTGAGTTTTTGACACGAAGCAAAGTATCAACTTTGAGCTCCTACTGTCATACTCGTCGTGACATGTTCAATGCTTGATTTAGTGTAGTCAATTTACATGATTGAGGTCATGATCCTTTGGATACCGAACAAAGGCCAACGATTTATGACGGTTACGTCGGTTTCTTCCTAATCCACAAATTGATCGATCTATGGCGGAATTGCCCATCTTCAAATGGGCGGAAGGTCATTTCAAAACGCATGAGAGTTAGAAACCATCTAGCTGGGCCGGGGCTCAGGGCCTCCAGCTGGCTGATTATATGTAGTTATTTCTCTGTTGAGCGGGTTAAGCGTTATCGTTGACCATCGCAATAGGACATGGGATGCAGACAGGCATTCAACTGGGAAGATGGTAGAAGTAGCGTGCAAAACCGCCGACAACTTCTTCTCTGAAGCTTTCACTTGTCATCTCATGTCTCGATCTCATCATACTATAGAGTGGTGGAAGGCCATCCAGTCTAAGCTTCAGCCCAGCTAAGTCACCATCGGTCAAATCTGCGAAGTCAACTAGTTGTTTGAGAATTCTCAGGGAATATTGCACAGCTTGGATCTGCGCAGTGAGGTGTATATCCGCCCAACCTATTCTGTCGCCCATGTAGCCAAGACGCAGGAATTGGCGTAGTTGCCCAACATTGGGGAGCGAAGAGGCATGGGTTTCCCAACCATATACCTCGCAGAGTGCGAATATCCTCCAAAAATATGGATCCATTGTGCAAACGCGGAATGCGGTTTCGATGATGCGCAGACGCTCACACAAGACTATTGTTTCGTTTGCAATCCAATCTCCGCCACCCATTTTCATCCTAGATTTCACGATTCTACCCCCCCGTCGTACGACCTCATCAATAAAATCATATCGTTCCGACGGTAGGCGAGAATTGTTGAGAATCGAATATCCGAGATTTCTGTATGAACAACCGTTCTCCCAAGCACACCGTCGTGCTGGATCCTCATTCAACATCACAAGATACATCTCGATAGTTTTTCCCGATTGGTTGTTTCCATGACATTCATATTGACAGACTAGTTCGGAGACTCTGGGGTCAAGCAGGGGTGGCTGAGAGATATGGAGTGGGCGATCCTCGTATTCCTCAATAAACGCCGAATAACTAGCGGATGCGTCTGGTGTCTCGAAGTTTCCTTGTGCGAGTCGTATCAGTTCCTGCAGTCCCAACCTAGGATGATTTTTAACCTCATATGCGAGTCGTCCAATTTCTGTCAATCCAAACCGGGAAGCAATTGAAGTTGGGCACAGGCGCGCGGCTAATAATGGTACTTCTGTGGAGTCGAAACAATCTGGATCCCCTAGTTCAATCGAGTTCAGTAGCACAACCGAGCCTTGAGAGCCGAGATTATGGAGGATGAGGTCTGAATCATTTGTGAGCACTGCAGATCCCGTAAGTTTCGCCAAGTGTGCACAGTACATGTCGGCTTCACCGTTAACCATGACAGTGACATCCGCCCAAGGGAATCCTTGAATATGAGGGAAGTCATTCGAGATGACCTCTCGAGTAACATCTTGAATGTTCTCTTCGCTCCATCGGTATTTGAGGTCTTCGAATACAGCCGGTACCATGAAAGGGTTGTCCGGGCATCTGATGTGTCTCGCAGCCAGAGCCCTACTTTGCAGCACCTTTGGCACATCAATTGCTTGACGAGGACTTATATTACTATGGCCCACATTTTTGTCTCGAACTTCGCATCGGAGAGCTTGTAGCTTTTTCCTCGCCTTTTCCAATCGATAGAGTCTGGTCTCACTTTTAGATGCAGGCAGGGCTCCGTCGAAGCAAATTGCCTTTCTATGAAAATTTAGTGGTATTCATAAGATCATCTGCTGGTCATGCGTACATTTCAACTCCAAGTATGCTTAATCTCAAGAGGAATATCATAACTGCACAGCTTACTTCATTACATGTTGGCTGTGCGTCATGAAATGCCAATTGAGGGTCTGACCATGATAAAAGTCGTATAAATAAATGATACACAAGACTGGGACCATCAATCACAACTGATTGAACATGACCTTGTCCTGGATGTGTTCTTTGACCTCCTGTGAGAATAACATGTTCTGAGAATGGAGTCAAATGATGTGTCAGGTGTGGTATGCCCATTGCTTGTATATTGCACGAGAGTGATCTATTCATAGCAACTTCTTTTTCTCATGTCCATTTTACCACGATGGGCTATAGTTCAGACACTCTAACATTTTAGTGTGGCGCTGGTCCATGTACAGCAGACTATAGCTACAAAGCTGCCACAATAGCTTTTTTTACTGTCACCTACTTGTATTTACCTACTGCCACTATCTCCACAGAGTATATGTTATTAGTATATCATGAAGTTAAACTATAGTTAGAATATCCTTATTACTCTAGTAAATAGTTGAATAACAGGTATATTAAATAATAATATAATAAGATATCAAATGGTAGGGGTATTGAATAGTAGGCATATCAAGCTTGCCTGCATGGCTTGTCTTACTTACTGTAATCAACCTTTTTCATCTCTCTTACCTTACATATATAGCTTATCTTACTTATTATAATTAATATTTATTAAGAAAGACAGGTCTTCTAGTAAAGGGGCAAAGCCCATTTTCTTTATAATATTTATAAAGATCTAATATTAGAAGGAAGCTAATTAGTAGAGACTATATAGGACTTATTACAGAGGTGTGCACCATAAGTTTCTGCGCCATGCTAGTAAGCTTGGTGGTATCCTTACCACATGATTACATATTAATTTATATGGTAATCTGTTAATAGGGAACTTATCCCTCTCACCCTCCCATCAATGTGCTAAGATATTCTATGCCACTATTCAACTCCACTATATAGGTTAAATCTACTAATCTTCTGGTGTTTAGTCTGCCTACGTACCTGCCTACTTACCTGCCTATCAGGATGCCAAAGTCAGGTTTCCATCTAGTGGAACTATGGATTTAAATACTCTCCCTTCCTGCCTGGGGCATTAAGATAAAGCAGATTATAGCTACTCTTAAGGTCCCTCTTTAATCTATCTAGGATATAATAATATAAGCTAAAGACTATAGATTTAACCCTTCTCCTACTTAATATATCTATATAGAATTTATTAAAGATGCTAAGTAATCTAGATGCCCTAAGGAGATTATACTAGAGAAAGAAGAAGCTATTATTTAGTCTATATCTAAGGATTATGCTAGAAGGGATAAATTATCTAAAATTCTAGCTTTTAAGATAATATATTATACTCCTCTATTTTATAGATTCTTAAGCACTATATATTTAGTATTACTAAGCCCTTCTAGAAACCTAGACTAACTAAAGCTATAAAGGCTAAGTAACTTAAATTCTGCCTAGATTATTAGTATTAGATCTTAGATAATTAGAAGAATATTATCTAAATAAATAAAACTATAGTAGTTCTTAGTTACTAGTATGGAGCTATACAGGTCTAGTATATAGTAAAAGAAAGATATAATATTATATATATATAAAGATATTAGAAAGGAGTATCTAATTTTATAATTTAGATATGCTTCTTCTATAATAAAAAAGGTCCTATTTATATCTAGATACTAGAGATAGCATAAGATAGAAAGTAGACTAAGATAAAAATTAAAGCCTTAAATTAAGAGCTTAAGCCTATCTATCATATTAAACAGGAGATAAATATATTTATAAATTATCTTTATCTTTATAGAATTAGTAGCTGTAAGCCTATATAGAAATAGAATAAGAAGACTAGTAAGTATATTTAAAAGATAACTAAAGATAATATAGATTAATAATAATATAGAAAGATAAGCCTCTTCCTTTCTTAGTATTTACTATACTAATTAAGAATCTCTTATTTCTAGGAAGTTCTTATTCTAAAGCTTATTTTTTTTATTCTTAAGTATTAGAAAAAGAGACTAAAAATAATTATTCTTAAAGATAAAGTACTAGCTTATATCTACTATAGTTAGTAGTATATATATGATTTTTACTAGATTTAATAGCTTCTTAATTAGCCTAGTAATTCACCTAATCTAAATATAATTAAACCCTACTAGCTCTTTCTAAAGAGAAATACTACTATCTACAGAGCCCCTTAAGATAAGAAGACTAGAAAGAAGAGATAAATAAAGATATAGATTAAGCTTCTATAAGAGAAGATTTAATAGTGGATTTAATATCTTATATACTATATTAAGGAAGTAATATACCTAGAAGGAGAGAATAAATATAGAGAGGATTAGAAAGATAAAAATAAGTAGATCTAGAAGGATAGACACCTTAAGGATTAACTTTCTGTATGTTAAAATTTAGGGATATTTAAATAGCTTTATATTTCATCTTAGAATAATATGACTATATTATCCT